AGGACACGAGACTCGCGAAGCTATCGTTGGCTGGGGTCGCCGGTTTTGAGGGCGCCTTGAAAGGCTGGCTGGCGCCGAGGCTTGCACCTAGGCCGGAGGGTTGGGCGGAGAGTGTAGAGAGGGGAGTAGATCGGCCGGAGAGCTGGGGCGTGGGGCTCTGGCGAAAGGGTGGGAGGGCCGCGGGGGAGTTTGTAGCTGGCTTTTTGGCAGGCTGCGACCAGTCTAGGCCAGCCAGATCATCCATTGTGGTTGTGTTGGTAGTGAAGGTGTCTTAGGGAGGGTGCGAGGAAAACTTCATGACATGATTGCGGGTTGGGTACATCAAACGTCGTCAAAGGTGGCTGTATTGCAGATGGTCGGGCGCGCTTGTTTGGTTGCGCCACAGGTACCGCCGGGTCACGTGATAGCATGCAGGGTCTACGGTAGGGTCGACATGTCACGGCAAAAGCAGTGAAGACTACTGTCCGTTGAGCCACAGCTTGGCCCCAACGTGCTTGAGCGTTTATTTCGGAGGCAGCCACGGCAAAAGTTGCCCTTGGCGGGGGTGCATGAAGTAAAAAAAGTACCTTTGTCAGTTCGCAGATGGACATGTACGCGGCTCATCTGCTAGAGAGCGCATGATGCCGGATTGGGTAAGAAGGCAGGGCAGGGCAGGAAAAAGCCGAGACGGGTGTCTAAAGAGGATTGATTGACCGACGCCAGGAACATAGTTACATAGTGGCACAGTCGGGGTTACTCCAACCAGGGACCTTGCCGCTGCATGGGGACGAGCAGTGCATGGGTGGGTAGAGTAGTGTGTAAAGTATGTAAGTATACTACTCCATTGAGACGTGTGGGTTTGTGTGTGGAGACGCGTCCAGGTGTGTTGACACGTAGTAAACAATATGAAAGTACATGGATGGATAAATGAATGAATGAATGAATGAATGGAGGAGTAGACAAAGCGGTAAGCAGAGGCGTGGCAGCTCTTGGGGGTACGGCTGTTGGGTTAAGATTTGGTCAGTGTCAGCATGCAACGAACCGCGACCGCGGAGATGGAGAGCGGAGCACGTCCTGGCGTCGGTACGGGTGTGCCGGCAGAGAGAAGTAAGTAGCAGTAGGTACTAATTCGGCTCGGAGGGGACAGGAGGACAGGAGGACAGGCAGCCTCGGACCGAAAGCTGGCAAATTGACCATTACTCAGTAGCGGGCCAGCATCCGGAGCCGCGAGACACCCAGGCGTGGAAGGAGCAACTGGCTGAACAGGACAGGAACAGGAGACGAAGACAGAAGGAGCAAGAGGGGAGGCCTTGGAGTGCTGCCCGGGCAGCTTGTGGCCATGGGAAGATTGGGCCCGTCTGGCTGCTGGCTCAGACCATGAAGCCGTCGTATTAGACTGATGGCTATGAGGCGCGGCGGCGGCGGGAGGTAGGCAGGTAGGCAGGCAGGTCACTGGCGGCTGTGCAGAGAGTCCAGAGGCCAGAGTGGACAGTCGCCACTCACCAGTCGCCAGTCGCTGATGCTACGCTGGCGGATTTGCCGACCCGCGAACCCGCGGCCACGGTATCAGAGTCGTGCCGCCCGCGTCTCCCCGATGGGTTGCATGTAGGTGATGGGATGCTGAGTAGTGGCACAGGCGCGCTAGGCCCGTCCTGCCAGTGGCCGGGCCCTCAGTGCGAACACACGGCTTTACCACTCGGCGGCACTCAACGCCCACCCTGGAGCGAACGGTACATGGGCCAGGCACAAACGAGTATGCCCATGTTCACATGCAGCCATGGAGCCGAGACCCTGCAGCGCCCCAGTTGCTGGTCGTTTCACCCTCGACGGGCCTGTCTACAGGGAAAAAAAAAGGCCACCGTTCGGAAGACTTGCACGCGGTTCCTGGCGCGCCTCTGGTCCAGCGAGGCCTCGAGCCTTTATTGCTGCCCCGCTAGCGCAGAGCCACTGTGCCGTTCATTCGACCCGCGCGACCAGCCAGGGGGGGGAAGGGAGGGAGGGAGGGATGGATGGATGAATGGGGAGGGGGGGCTGCCTCTAGCACCAGCAGTCCGACGGCAGCGCCTGCGCCTGCGCCTATGCTTGCGGCACCACATACATTGCATACTTACCTTATTCTTCCACCAGGAGGCGACGCGTCGGCCTGCTGTTCTCACGCCCGCCTGTCCGCTGTCTGCCGTCCTGTTGGGGCCCTTCCTACCCCCTCCCCCCTCCCCCAGAGCCGCACATGCTGGCTGCACCACTGCTCGACTACGACATCGCCCTCTAGGCCTACCGCCGCCACCACGACTACCTCGACCCACGTGAGGATCCCCTTGCATTCCAAGCTCCACCGCTGCAGTCGCTTCCGGTTTCTTCGTCCAGGGATCTCCCGGTCCCGCCCAGCCAACAAGCGCGCCGATCGCCGTCTCTCGAGCATCCTCGACCAGCTCTAGCAACCTTCCTACTCCCCAGCAAACCTCCCCAGCCCTCCAACCGCCCGCGTTTCTCGTCCCTCGTCGTCGTGAGCCACCATGCGTCTATTCAATCGCAAGGGCTCAAAGCCCCAGGTTTCTCCCGGCGGCAGCCAGCCAAACAGCTCCAATGGCTCTCTGCGCTCCCCTGGTCCCACTCCAAACGGCTCCCGCCCGACCAGCTTTCCAGACGTCCCGCTGCCAAAGGCCCCAGATCCATCTCTCGACCCGGCCGGCTACCTGCGCAGCATCTATGCAGTCCGCGAGCGCTCCAGGCTGGTCCTTGAAAAGGCAAAGAAGAACCAGCTCAAGCACTTCACCGTCGACATGAGCAAGTTTGGAGATGTCGCCAGCTTTGTAGTCTCCATTATCAAGGTGAGAGCGATCCCGTCCAAGCACGCCCGCCCCGCCACGCTGCTCTAACTCGCCTTCAGCGCGACTATGCTCCCGACTACGCATCCATCCCCCCGCATGGTAGATGGCAGCACTTTGACGTTGGCGGCCGCCCGCGAATTGACCAACTCATGGCCTCATGGCCCTCGACTGTCGACAACCAAGAGCGAACGCGCCGCCTGCTTGATCTGTTTCTTGTTTCCGTCCTGCTCGATGCTGGCGCTGGAACAAAATGGCAGTACAAGAGCAAAGAGTCTGGCAAATTCTACCGCCGCAGCGAGGGTCTCGCCGTCGCCAGCCTGGAAATGTTCAAGGCCGGCACATTCAGCAGCGACCCCAAAGAGCCTTTCCAAGTCGACAGTGCCGGCCTGAAGAAGCTCGACGTTGCGACCGTGGCCCGTGGCCTCCAGGTGACTGCTTCCAACCCAATTGATGGTCTCGAGGGCCGCACTACTTTGCTTCTTCGCCTCGGAGAGGCCCTGCAGAACCAAGAAGTCTTTGGTCTTGAGGCTCGCCCAGGAAACATGCTCGGTATGCGCACGCGCCTGACATGACATGACAGGACCGACACTAACATTGCTAGACTACCTTCTCTCACATCCCACAACACAAGCATCTTCTGTCCCCATCATTCCTCTGCCCACGCTCTGGAACACGCTCATGGACAGCCTCACTCCCATCTGGCCAGCATCGAGGACCCAAATTGACGGTGTACCCATGGGCGACGCATGGCCCTGTTCCGTCATGCCATCACATCCGACCCACCCATGGGAAAACATTGTTCCACTACACAAGCTCACCCAATGGCTCGCCTATTCGCTCATGGTACCCATGACCAGGCTACTCCACGTGCACTTTGCCGGCTCTGAACTCCTGACTGGACTGCCAGAGTACCGAAACGGAGGTCTCTTCATTGACGTTGGCCTCTTGACACTAAAGCCCGAAGACCAAGAGCGCGGACTGGCGCAATACCAGGAGAATGCTCAGCAAAAAGGTCAGCCCAGCATGGAAGTGGTTCCCATGTTCACGGCCGACGACGACGTGATTGTGGAGTGGCGCGCGGCAACGGTTGGCCTTCTTGACGAGCTTTTAGCCGAGGTGAACAAGCTGCTGCGTTTGAGCGGGCCAGACAAATTGACCCTGGCCCAGATGCTGGAAGCGGGAAGTTGGAAGGTAAGTTTGCGCGGGACGCCAAACTAATCGGAGCTCTACTGACTCGCAACACAGGGAGGTCGCGAAATTGCCGAAGTGTCGCGGCCCAACACTAAAGAACCGCCGATCATGATCCTCTCGGACGGCACTGTTTTCTAAGATACCCCTTTCTTCAACCGTTCCGCCTTTCTTTCGCTTCATTTTGATATCAACTGCGTGCAGCGGACACACGCTCCCGATCTAGAGGGTGTTTGCTTCCCACCCGCGCCGCAATAAGGACCTTCTAATTCTGGCCCAAATGCATGGGACTTTATGATACACGATCTCGACGGTCGCATTTGGTGGCTCGGCTTTTTGTTGATATGTTTTGCTTCGTCACATTGGCTACGTGTACATTTTTTTTTGTTATTTTCTTCATCTTCTTCTTCATCTTCTTCGAAACTTCAGTGCTCCGGGTTGCCTGGTCCCTTTTCTTGTAATATCTCGCCATTTACCGAGGAGCTTTCTTTTTGGGGGGGAGGACCAAACACAAAAAAAATTGGACAATTAGCTGAGGAGTAGAGCCGATTGAATTACAGCCAGTAGCCTTTGCGATTGTACGATTGATAAGATTACTCTTAATCTGCAAGCCATGTTGAATTTCGCAATCATGAACACGGGGTGCGTGACGTGCAGACCGTGCTTCCACGGGTGGTTTGTGTGTCTGCACACAGACATGGTTGTACACACGGCATTGAGTGCTGTGCAGCCGCTCCAGCCACTGATGTTTCAATGCTGGTAATAGCACATACAAGGATGCCATCTAATAAGTCTCCACGTGTGCGTACGTGCTGATGATTGCGGAGAGCGGAATGTGCCCCACCGCCAAGCAGAGGGTAAGTGCAGCTTGCACGAGGTGCGCGTCCAAGCTCCACGCCCTCCCATGATCTGTTTACGATACGTCATCCTCAACACACGGCGGAAACATTCCACAGCCTCTTCATCACCGTCAACGACCCAGATTCCCGCTTACGTACGCTCACAATGAACTCGGTCAAGCGCCAGAAACAGCGCAAAGTGCTGCTTATGGGCAAGAGTGGAGCCGGCAAGTCGTCGATGAGAAGTATCGTCTTCAGCAATTACGTTGCCAAAGACGTGCGCAGGCTGGGCGCGACCATCGATGTCGAGCATAGCAATATCAAGTTTATGGGCAATCTTATGCTCAATCTTTGGGACTGTGGAGGGTATGCCTACCGCCGCCTAGCGTCTGGGGCTGGCACATGCTGACGCATCACAGTCAAGACGGCTTCGTCGAGAACTACCTCAACCAGTCGAGGAATCATGTCTTTGGCTCCGTTGCTGTTCTCATCTTCGTCTTTGATATCGAATCACGCGAGTTTGCGGCCGATGTCGTCTCCTATTCAAACATTATCCGCGCCCTCCACGAATGTAGTCCTAGCGCAAAGGTCTTCTGTCTCATACACAAGATGGATCTCGTGCAGGCACGGCTGCGACAGGCCATGTTTGACGAGCGCGCAGAGTACATCCGGGAGGCTAGCGAGGGTTTCAAAGACACAGTAGAGTTCTTTGCAACAAGCATTTGGGACCAGAGCTTGTATAAAGCCTGGACTAAGATAATCTACTACCTGATCCCAAACGCTGGTACCATCGAGGCTCTGCTGGAACAGCTTGCCGAGGTCATTGACGCAAGAGAACTGATATTGTACGAGCGGACAACTTGTCTTACGGTAGCGCACGTCACCAGGCAGACCGAAGAGTCAAATCCTTTTACCGACCGGTTCGAACGCATCTCAAGTATCCTCAAGACACACAAACAGAGCATGGCGTACGTGACTAAACTTGGTCCAAATTTGGCTCTTGAAACCTTACTTATATGTGACTGCAGGAAACACACCAACATACCCGCTGGAAGCGCAAACTTTGCTGAGATGCAGATCAAAACTGGTCGCTTCATGTTCTTCATCACCCGTCTGACAGAAAACACCAATCTCGCCGTTGCCATTCCACCTTCCGAGCAAGTCTTTAACGCTGCACGTGTCAACATTTTCCAAGTACGACCAAAGTTTGCTGAGCTGGACATTGCGGCGAAGCCCCGCCCACCGATCCAACAAGCATTTGCTGGATCTGCGGATACCATGGGAGATGCCTCTGAGAGAAACAAGGGGAGAGAAACGGCGATGCATGGCTCTGGATACTAGGAAACACAAGACTGCAGTGACAACGCCAACAAGATTGACCAAGTGGAGCGCAGTCTGGACAGTAATCGATACAGGATTACACAAGCAAGTGTACTAAAACCGAGGATGTAGTGGGGCAAATTGCCAAAGGTCCAAAACTTCGCACAAGGCTACAACCCGCCGACAAAGCAAGCAACATTAGAGAAATGGTGGCCAAGAGGGAAGCCTAAGAGGCCATACCTTTGCTGCTCATCACACGTTGCAAAGATGCTCAGGGCTTTGCAGGGGGACAGTGTACAAGAGACGCAGTCTGGATCCTAGTGGTTTCTCAGCAAAGTCTTTTTTGGGGCGTCAAACGGCGGCGCTAGAGCAGTTTTTGGAAGTCTTTGCATCCGCGGCACTAAGACCAATATCCCCAGCGAAGGACCGATCAACGATGGTGCAAGCTGCTTAAATCGGTGATCGATACGGCAGGTACGAGAGGGCCGCTCGGAGTTGCCGAATGGTATGTGCGTTATGGGACACCACATGTACATACATGAGACATGGGACATGAGAGCATTCGCCCTTTTCAGCCGCGCTAAGAAAATAGACATCACATGACGTTGCTCGTGAAGCGCATGTATGTGTAATCAATAAACCAAATTTGAAACACAGTTTGTCAGTCCAGAGAGGTTGCAATGCAGGGAGCTGCTCGCTTCTAGTTGACATTAGTAACAGGCTGCCGATCCCTATCTTCACAATCCATTACCAAAAAGAAAAGAAAAAAAGGGCATATCGCACAAAGGGCGCGCGTGCATGCGAGGCGAAGGGTTCTTGACCTGTCATTGAATGACTGGAAAGCTGTTGGTGGACCCTTGCTGCAAATCAAGCCCACGGGAGGTTTGGCAAGACCCCAAGTACGAGAGGCCAAGCTAAAAATGCGGGGAAGTACATTGCACGGTTGCAGCCCTTCTTCTTGTCTGACCGGTCCTTGGCTTCTTGATCAGATGCTTGTGAGTAAGAAGAAGAAGACCCTTGAGTACCTTGAGGGTGCGGTGCGCTGATATATGACTGGGTATCCTGGGGCCTCTACGGTGCACTCAGACGTCCTTTCAGTGTGCAAATGAATATCTTGTTGCACCAAAATATACTTACCGTCCGAGGCGCTCCTATCTGTATCTCTGCCTGCCTATGGGAGTGGGTGAGTAAGCTGATGGTTGGGCTGGCTGCTCTAACATCTGGGAAAAGCGTGAATAATGCATGCAAGTTCGATTTGAGGTTGCACTACTACGCTCGCGCTCTTCCGTGCTTGGCTGCCGTGCTATTATCTTGCCATGGCCCGATTGCCTGAGGCTTCCAAGATCGACGCTGAGTAAGGCCAAGACACTTGCAATCTACATCTCTCTGGGTATTGTATTCGTCTCTGAAATCATTTTCGAGGCTGTCTTATCATCCCTTCTTATTTGGAAAGTTTGTTTTGTTGTAATCTTGTTGCAACGCTCGCACTGGCCACTTGGAAATGCCGAAGTGTAGCATACTCGTCAAAGTGATATTACTTTCACTCTCGATCTCAACAACTTGATGCGGGACCAGGTCAGATTATCCGGACATGGGGGGGGAGCTTCGCAACTCCATCTTAGCTGCGGACAACAAGACGAAAAAACGAGTAGCCAAGGCAACCCCAAGAAAGAAAAAGTGAGCGCCAAGGCGCGTACTCCACCTTACACTCTCAAGCCACCGACGTTGGATACCCCAGGAATGAATGCAAGTGGTGCAGCCTTGGCTGTCCACCCACGACACGATTGGCCAATTAAGTAGGATTGTACCGCGTGATGCGATCCAAATCGAGCATGAACAATGTGACAATAGGCAACGCGCAATGAAACGAAGTGGGGAAAACGCAGCTCTTTGACAAAGACGACTACGCAGAGTTGGGTACCTCGTGACAACCCCGACTTACCAACGGACATAAAGGTGGCCATTGCTCAGAAGAATCACAACCCCCCCGCCAATTGCGCGCCCTTCAGATATTAAGCAAACGCGGCCCCGGGAAACTTGGACTGAATACTTTACTTTCAAGTCCAACTGTTTCCAAATTCAACTGGTCCACCATGGCGGAACCAGAGAAGGATACCAAGATAGAGTAAGTATATTGGATTTATCTCTTGCACTACTTGAACATACTAACATATCTTATAGGCCTATCGTCGACGAGCACAAGGAAACCACCGAGCGTAAAGCCTCCATCTTCGACGATGAGCAAAAGCGCCGCGAGAGCCTTGCGCGCCTAACAGCCAACATTGAGGGCGAGTAAGTGCTTAACAACAACCCCAACCCCAACTAATATCACACACACCCACTTACACACCCATACCATTCTTTTACTAACTCGACTCCCAGAGTCCGCAACCCCCTCGTTGACATCCCCCGCGCTCAACTCCTCTCCGACGTCCACACCTTCGCCGTCGAGCACAACCTCGAAGACGTCGAACCGCTCCTCATCAAAGGCGCCCTCGTCGCCCAATCCCCTGCCCTCTTCGAAGAACTCGAAGACCTCGACGACACGGACCGCACCTTCCTCCGCGAAGAACTAACGCACCGCTTCAAGCTCCCGCGCATCCTGTACTTCACCATCATCCTGAATTCCATTGCGGCGGCCATCCAAGGGTGGGACCAGACGGGCTCGAATGGCGCGAATTTGACGTTTGGGCAGGCGCTGGGGATTCCGGATTCCGGGCCCGAATGCGAGGCTGCGGGGAATTGTGACAAGAATGGGTGGATTATTGGGTTTGTGAATGCGTGTCCGTATATTGCTATTGCCGTGTTTTGTGCGTGGATTTCTGGTGAGTATTTACTTAACCCCCCCAGAAATTGGAGTTGTATTTCTTTGGGGAGGACTGGACTAACATACCATAGATCCGGTAAATGATCTCTGCGGTCGTCGTGGTACCATTTTCATTGCTGCAGTCTTCTCGCTCCTGGCTCCGTTTGGAATGGGACTCAGTCAGACGTGGGGCCAGCTCGCTGTGTGTCGTGTGCTCCTCGGTGTCGGTATGGGTCTGAAGGAAGTCACTGTTCCGGTCTTCTCAGCTGAGAACGTACCTGCGAGTGTTCGAGGTGGTCTTGTGATGTCCTGGCAGGTATGCTTAAACTAAAAAAGATGAGTGAATTGATGTCTAGCTAACGATGTCAAACTAGATCTGGACTGCTTTCGGCATTTTCCTTGGTACCGTCGCTAATCTCGTTGTCATGGTAAGTTGCCATCTAATCTTCATTCAATACACAATTTTCACTGACATTTCACTCAGAACACAGGCTCCATATCCTGGCGTCTACAATTCGGCTCCGCTTTTATTCCCGCTGTGCCCCTCGTCCTCGGCATCTACTTCGTCCCAGAATCTCCGCGCTGGCTCATGAAAAAGCGCAAATACGCCCAAGCCTACAAATCCTTCCTGCGCCTCCGCAACTCGCCGCTGCAGGCCGCCCGCGACCTCTACTACACGCACTGCCTGCTCGAGCAAGAAGAAGTCCTAATCCGCGAGGCAGGCATCAACCCCAAATCCAACTTCTTCACCCGCTTCATCGAGCTCTTTACCATTCCACGTGTACGCCGCGCAACGCAAGCCTCAGGTATCGTCATGATCGGGCAACAAATGTGCGGTATAAACATCATCGCCTTCTACAGCTCAACAATCTTCGCAGAAGGTGGCGCATCGAACAAAGAAGCTCTTATCGCCTCGTTCGGCTTCGGACTGGTAAACTTCCTCTTCGCCTGGCCCGCCGTCTGGACAATCGACACGTTTGGGCGCCGCGGCTTGCTCCTGGCTACCTTCCCCAACATGTTCTGGACGCTGCTTGTCGCGGGAATGTGCTATTACATTCCCAAAGATAGCTCTGCACATCTCGGTCTCATCGCGTTTTTCGTATACTTGTTCGGTGCGTTTTACAGCCCCGGAATGGGTCCTGTGCCGTTTACGTATTCGGCCGAGGTATTCCCCTTGTCCCACCGTGAAGTCGGCATGTCCTGGGCCGTTGCGACGAATAACTTCTGGGCGAGTATTTTATCTTTGACTCTCCCGCGCATGCTTAAGGTTATGAGACCGCAGGGTGTGTTTGGGTTTTATGCTGGACTCAATGTTGTTGCTCTTACCATGATGTAAGTCTCTCCCCCCTTTTTTTATACATACAACTAACCATATGCAATTTTTTACTGACGTAAAATAAAGCTTCCTTTGGCTCCCCGAAACCAAACAACGCACCCTCGAAGAACTCGACTACATTTTCGGCGTCCCCACCCGCAAACACATGAAGTACCAAGTCGGGGAGAATCTGCCCTGGTGGTTCAAAACGTATATTCTGCGCAAGCAGGGGTTGGCTAAGCCCCAGCTTTATCGGTTTGCGGATCAGAAACCCCCCGTGAGTGTTACGGCGCAGATTGGCTGGGCGTGGAATACGTATGTGTTGAGGAAGAAGGGATTGCTGAAGCCGGGGGCGTATGTGCAGCCGGCGCCGAGGGGAGAGAAGCAGGTGTAGGTGTGGGATGTTTGCAGGGGGAGTTGAGGCTATAGAGGTGATTGGGGGAAATGGATTTGGTAATGGTAAGAAGAGGTGGGAGGTGGGATGTAGAGAAGAGGGTATCGGGATGTCCGCATTCAATGCTTCAACTGCATGAATCGCGGTGGGAAAGTAATCAGGTACCAGCAATGGGGGGGTACACATGTCGTTCTTTCTTCTTCTTTTAGGCTCTATACCCTTTTTGCATAGCTGCTGGTTAGCTGCTGGTAGCATGCTTACTTTCCTTGATGATACCGCCGGTTTTACGGTTTATTAAATCGGGAGGCTTCTGTGTTTCAGACAGTGATTTAAAGGGTTGACTAGCAACTACCTATATATTTGTTTTTCGAGACTGAAATGTGCTACTTCTGGACATGATGGATGCTGATGTCAGTTTAAGCGGTGATTACGTGGTAAGCGGCCGGGATGTGACAGGGTTGGGAGCATGGGTTCTTCGCGTTTGGATAGATAAGATGGCTGCATGTGATTGGTAAGGTCGTGAGTAATTCTCACCGTCGTTGTGAAGATATCCAGCATGATTTTACAACTTATGATAGGGTTGGTTGATCCAATATGTCCTCTCTGTACAGGTTTGCAGTAAAATTTACGCGGTTGTCTGCTACGACGATGTATTAGAAAGTGCGTGAGAGCATATACAGACCGTTTGAGATTCTAAGGGATTAGATAAGTGCAATAGTGGGATATTTCAACGGGGCATTCATATGTCTCATTCGTGTGACCTTTTCAACACACGTTTTATCAAAATATTTCTATGTGAGCACTACGATATTGTGGCATTGAAGTATGTAATCTGGATGGGTGAGCATATAAATCAAAGAAAAGGACCTACTCTGTATACTTCCATCCGCGCCGAACCGCTACAGTAAGCACTATTGCGGCTGCCGCTTTTGCATCTCACATGTCCTTAGAAGGTGATTATGACGAGTAATGTTTATGCTTCGGGCCAAAAATAGGTTTATTGTGTCATAACACGTTTTTGACTGAGGCCTTGAAGTCAACATTCAAGAACATCCAAAATTCTTCATGAGCACAGAGTGGAATAAACATTTGAAGATACTCGGCTATGCACCTTACGTATAGTCTGAAATTAACAAGATAGAGAAGCTTAATAGCTAGAAACCAACCCACATCTATTAGGTACACATACGACAGGAAGTGATCAACTATTGAAGAAAAGTTCAGTCTCGTATGTTCGCAATAGAGCAGCATTGTTACACACATCACGTGACGTCCAGGTGTGTACGGCAACGCAATCAACCGCGGATTCCACGGTGATACTCAACACCAAATATCCCCAGACTACGCGCTCAGCCAAGCCCCCGCCTTGCGTCACCATGGCACCGCAAAAATACCACCGGATTACTAGATGATTCCACTAAATCTTCTAGTGCCTGTCAATCTCACATGCAGCAATGGCAGACACAAGCGCAGCCGCCCATCAAACAGTGGTAAGACTGCGATAACAAGACCCAATTGAGTTAATACCTCGGCATGTCCACCGCCATCCAATCACAACCGTTTCCCCCACATCCGCCTAGCCCCGCGCATGTCAACGCTCATTCGGCCGCCGCAAGCAACCCCCGTGTTTGGCAGTACTTGCGATGGGGTGACCGGTAACTGAGGCCTTGACAGCCGTTACATTACAGCCCGGGGGCGGCGTATATAGAAGGCGCTAGATCCTGCACACCATCTTTGTCTCAGCTCTCCACTCGAACTGATTTGCAACATTATTTGCTTGCCTTGGCTTCTGGGCTGCCCCGGATCCGCTCTTGTTGCCCCGCATTATAACTCCTTGCTCAGCATCCTACATATATAGAGTGTGTCAGCGCTGTCGCATGTTGCGCGCCCAGTGACGTCTTCCCTCCCTTCTTCTCATACTCTTTGGAAGAACCAGCGACAAAGGAAAGCGATCGCATACATCTCACAATGGCGATTTTCGACCTAAAAAAGAACCTAGTCTTCGTACGTCTACCCAACTTCCAGATAGAATAACAAAATACCTTTCATCTTGCACTTCTGGCTAACAAGCATTCGAAAAAACAGTACGGCGCATACCACCGCGACCCCACAAACGTCGCCATCCACATGCTCTGTGTCCCCATCCTCCTCGGCACAGGATTCCTCTTCGTACGTCCCCCCCAAACCCTCAATAGCAACTCTTTTGCAACACACCACACCACACAAAAGTATACCTAACCAACCAACTAACCAATCCTCCAGGGCACCAACACACCCCCCCTCTTCCGCACCCCCACCCTCCTCTCCCGCCTCCACCTTCCCCCCAACCTCGGCACCCTTGCCGCAACCACCTACGCAACCCTGTACCTCGTCCTCTCCCCCAACCTTGCCGGCGCCACCATAACCCCTCTCGTCCTCTCCCTCGCCTCCGCCTCAAACTACCTCACCTCCCGCTTCTCCAAGACAAAAGTCAACAGCATCGCCATCGCCGTGCACGTTGTAAGCTGGATACTGCAATTTGTAGGACACGGCAAGTATGAAGGGAGGAAGCCCGCGTTGCTGGATAATCTGGTTCAGGCATTGTTTTTAGCGCCCCTGTTTGTCTGGTATGAGACGCTGTTTAAGCTGGGGTTTTATAAGAATCTGAAGAGGGAGGTCGAGGAAGGGGTCGAGGCGGAGGTTAGGAGGATGAGGGAGGAGAAGAAGAAGACGGGGAAGGGGAAGGAGAGGAGGAAGATTGTGGGGGATGGTGAGGAGAGGGGTTATGGGACTGTTGGGGGGGAGTGAGAGGTGGGTGTTGGTAGGGATCGGGTTTGGCCTTTTTTTTCTTTTGCGGCACTATCAGGGGAGCCTCTTTTCTTTTCTTTTTGTGTGGGTTGATTAGTGGTGGGGGTAAATGAAGCGTGTATATATGTAGTGGTGTTTTTGGGGCACTTGGGTGGCTTGAGTTTGTATTGCGAATTCAGCGAAATAACTGCTACTATATCTCGCGGAAATATCAGAGTTTCAAAATCAATTGAAATCCCTCCCTTTTTTTTTACCCTTGGTGGTCTGGCTTGATGGCTAGCAAAAATTTCAAGTCCGATTCTTTTAAAATTTGAATTGCGAATATTTTCTTTTCTCTCCCGTACTACCATATATATATATATACCATACAAATCCCTCATTTACACACACATACACGCATCCAAAATCTTATGACATGGCCATAGAACAAACCCCAACACCATTTTTCTTTTGAAATCAGAAAAAAGAAAGATCCTCCCACACAAGATCCACCCAAATTTTTAATACTCGTCATCACTACTCTCCTCATCGTCAACCCTATACATGAAGTACTGCACAAAAACACCCGCATCAAGCAACAAGGTCCCAAAGCTTCCTAGCAACCAACTCATATTCACCGCAATATATTTCCCATACTCCGCGCGGCCCTCGCCGTCATGACACACGTTACCTCCGCATTTGGGCTTGTATACCAGAATGCTAAGGACATAAGTGAGGTTACCGAGGCAAGCAAAGAGGAAGAAGAGCATGCTAATCCCCTCAGTGGACTTGCGGCGGTAGTTGAGTAGGAGCTGGGGCACGCGGGAGCCTAGATACAGTGCAGCGCAGACGTAGCCTGAGATTTGGCCCCAGAGGTTAAAGTGCAGGGTGGAGTCGGCTGGGGGATCCGAGTCTCTGGGGACGGTTGAGTTACGCGCGCTGAGGTACCAGCCGAAGACGCCGGCGGCGCAGACGAGGATTATGGTGCCTGCGTTGAAGATGATCATTTGCAGGTTGGATTGTTGGGGTGGGGGGCTGGTTGCAATGGCGCTGGTGCTGCGGCCGGACGTGGGGTCGTCGAGGAGCGGAGTGACGGGCGAGAGATGAGTTCCATCAATGGAAAGATAGCGTTCGCGGAATGAGCTCTGCGAGTTGCCCGATCCGCGTCTTTCATAGTCTGAGATTCTGGGCCGCTGGACCTCGATACCACTGCCGTATTGGTTGTTGTAGGGAGATCCGTTTGAGTGCGGCCTGCGCTCGCCAAGGAGCGGAGACTGCTCGCTGGTTATGCTGTCTTCATCAGAATCAGACGTGGGCTTCTTGAAGTTGTCGCGCAGCGTGAAGCCCTTGTACCAGAAACACTGGAGGAGCAAGACAATATCTGCGAGCGTGTAGTACACGGCTAGGATAATCATGGTGGGTAGCACCCCTTGCAACACGGCTCCTATGATGTTGAAGAAGTCGCCGAGAAGCCATATTACAATGAATACGACTGACAATCCTTCGGCAGAGCTTCTCTTCCAGTTTTCAATGATTTGCGGCGAAAAGACGACTGTCACACGCATTAGCCGAGGCTCATCAAAGGGGTGTGCACAACGGCGACGTGATGCATGTTCGGTTGTACAAGGTTCCTGTGACACAAAATAACAAAAGTACATACCTATCCAGCATGCAATGCTGATTGATCCAAAAATCTGACTAATGGCATCAATGTCCAGGCGCAACCCTTGGGTTGGAGGAAACATGTTTGCTATGACGTAAGCCAGCTGATTCCAAGCTCTTTTCAGTTCTCAACACCCAACGCGCTTTTCCGAGCCAAAATAGCTGAGTTGTGTACTCTCTCGGTAGCACAAATCCGGTATGATGTCGCGTAAAGATCCCCGTGCGACTCTTTGACTGTATAAAAGCTTGTGGCGCAAATATCGCGCAAGCTTCAGAAAAAGCGACTATAGCGCGTCAAAGTGGCTGCACACCCCAGTCACGTAAGGGTATAGGTGTTGAGATGTCCCAGATAGGCGGTGGACGATGTTGGCCTAGTAATGAATTGATGATGAAAGAGAGCACAAGATGAAGTCTGGAGCACAGTTTGGCCCGTCTAGATGACTGGCTTTGGGAAAATCTCGGGCGAGTACGTAATCTGGGGTTTGCAGGGATGAGCTTCTGCAGGAACCGGAAGAGCCGCACGCCTAAGCGAGACATGTTCACGCGGGCGAATAACGGCATTATTGTTATAACGATTCATTATATGGTGTTCATATCGATTACAGACTATGTCGGCGAATTACTTTTACTTTTTTTGAGCCCGCATACACGGCTTCAAAAGATACATGAGCGTCATTTAGTTATCACCCTCCCAGAATACAGCCGCATCCTCCAGGTCATCAACGTTGAGCAGATCAACACCCGCATCCCAAAGAGTCCTCCATACAGCGTTCCTGGTACCAACAGGGTAGTTAGGCTGATTCCAGTACCTGGCCTTGATGCCCTTTCCATGGGCCACATCGAGCTGGCTCCTCAAAGTCTCGAGCTGCGTCTCGTTCATTTCGCGTTTGCGCACGTCGCCAAACGACGCTGCAAAGTTGGTGGATGCAATTGGGGACTCATTCTCGGTCAAGTCCTTGTACTTTGCGTCCTGGAGGTTGGCAAGTGGTGCATCGAAAAACACATCGCGAGGAGATGCTGCAAGAACATCGGAAAGCTGCGTGTTTCCTGTTCCAATGACTGTGACAGGGTTTCTGCGAAGTGTCTTGCCATCGTAGGTGGTGAGCCAGTCTCCGCTTCGCAGAGGCTCCAAAGCCTTAAGGACGGCTGGCCAGGTCACGTCGGCAGAAGTCTTAAAGTCGATGAAGAAGTACAGTGTCTGGCCACTAGACGTGTCAAACACACCATTCTGCTCGCCTGGCTGGACAAAAGGCGAGCTTGGGTTCTGGCGATGCAGAGTGTCAAGAATTGGGTTGATGTAGAGCGACTCAAGAGTGCGCTTGTCACTGAGAGCAGCAGGCTCATGACCAACCTTTGAGGTGTTAGTCCAGACATTCGACCGAGCGAGGATGTCCACACGGAGTAGCACAAAACTTACATATAGTGTACCGTTGATAAGCCAGACATCCGCCTCGGTCGAGATGGCGCCGACACTCAATCCGGAATAGAACGGAACATCGCGCCAGTAGTCGTTGTGGCTATGGAAGGGCTTGGGCAGAATGTTTCTTGTGAAATCGGTAGGGTACTTGTACTTGTCACTCTTGTCGGTGTTTTCCAAGATATTCTTGAGCGGAGTCTGCGGTCCATAGGGTGCCGCGCTGCAAAGCGCAGCTAGACTGGCGGTAAGAGCTAACGAGGAACGCATGATGATAGCGATACAGGAAAAGCGAGAGGCGACGCGTGCACGATGAAACGGTCGAGGAGGAGCTCTTGGGATGAAAGTAAGAGGCTGCGAGAATGATTGAAGGGTACCTGGCAGTGGTTGATGAATGCTTGGGATTGCTGCATATCGACGATGTCACTAGTGGGGAACGCGTGTATATCCGACCAATCCCATTGCTGCTGCTTGGCGCGTGGACGAGGGACGCGCTTCTGGAGGTTGCAGTTCGGTGGAGAGCGGGCGGAGGTACTTTTGTGCCTTAACTCATTCTAGCATTGCGGATTCAATGCCGATAACGTTGAGTTTTTGATTTGAAAGCAGTTTGACATGTCTGCGAGGAGGGCATCATGATGCGGAAGACGCAATGCTTCGGTCGCGGGCGGATCAACCCGGACAACCTTGCATGACCGAGGGGTTGGACATGTGCGGGGAAGATTGCATGCAGTAGTAGTAGTAGTAGTAGTAGTAGTAGTAGCAGCAGCGGCAGCAGCAGCAAGCTTGTGGGTTAACGCTTTGGGTATCCGTTGGGCAAAACTGCGTTGACAACACGGTGGTGCGGTGTTGAGGAAAGCAGGGTCGACTATACACCGAGCCAGAGCCGATAGCCGGGGTGGAAGAACAGGTTCTCGTCCAGGACCACGCAGACGGGAGCCAAAAACGTTGGATTCGGATGTGTCGGGGACCGGCGATAATTTCGGCATGACGAGTTGTCAAGAATGAAGCGCGATAGCCTTGTTTACATACCTGGTACGCTACAAGAAAAGGCGTTGCTGAAAACGCTCTCATGTCCGGTGTGTGCAGGCCGACTAGCATACCTACTTACTGCCGTGCAGCCCAAGCCAATAGTGTTTAGCTAGCAAAAGGCTAAACACGGTGTAATAGAGGTATACGTGTTGTGTCTGCATACCGGATCCCCTCAAGAGGTACCTAGGTAGCCCCCTCGATTACGCCTCGATAAGCACGCCATCTCCACCGTTTCCACGTGTTTGCCATGCAAATCCCCAACCCAGGATGGCAGGTTGGCGAGGCTACCTCAACCTGTAAGTAGCTATTGCCCAAGAGGCAGCCATACCCCGGGGGGGCGACGGCGGTTTAACGGTGTTACTGGCGGGATTATCAGGTTTTGAGAATCTAGTGCAAGACACTAGTGCATTTGAAAACAGGGTCTGGCTAGTGGACCCTGGCTGGGGGTGGTTGGCGCTCAGCGTATCCGCTTGGGCACTTTGCTTGCCGCAGCTGCAAGCCCAACTTGCCCGTGGTGCCGTGGTCATGCGGAAATCAAGACCCTGCAGGCGATTTTCAACATGGCAATTTTTACATGGGTAATTGGTGCAACCATAGGGGGGCGCCTGCATGCCGTGGCTTGGAACCGGTGGCCGGAAAAAGTCACATGGCATTTTGCTATGGACATGCTGGCTCAACACACGCACAACGCATACTGCTGTGCCGACAACGCGTACACACCTCTACATGGTAAAGCCTGTATGCAAATTTACACTGGGTCCTGAGGATTTTGGTTTGCCACGTCGTAGATTGCGTGCACCTGTGGCCTGAAATGCAATTTGGAAGACACGGGAACACGATTGGGCACGGAGTCAAATGCGGAGAAGATGGCAGACAAAGTAGTCTCTGACAAAGGAGACGCTGAATTGGTTCATTTAGACAAGGTATCCGCTAAGTCGATCCAACACCGAACCGTGATGCCACTGGCAAAAGCCGAGTGTAAAGCAAAAAAAAAACGCCAACCGCCCTCATGAAGTGGATAGAAATTGTGACCTTGGTCCATGCATAGCTATAGAAAAAAAAATTGCGTCTCGGACGCCGACGTGGAAAATATCGTAAAGGACGAGTGTGAGGCAGACAGACTACGAGCTGGTGGAGCTGACAGAATCGTTGGAGCCTCCGCTTCGTCGGCGGGCAGAGTCGGTTGCGGTGGTGAGCTGGCGCTTGGTGTGCTCGTGCATGATTCTGGAGCGAGCGAGTTAGTTGGTGTTGGTGGGCCACGTGAGGGCTGAAGAGACATACCTTTGGTACTCGCTCATGGCACGCTCGGGGTCGTTGAGGTCGAAGTTGTTGGCAAAGTTGTGTTGAGCGCTCATGGGCTCCGAGAAGCCCTCGGAGACGTAGACGGACTGGCGGGTCTCGGTGATGGCAGACATTGTTGGAATGGTTGGAGATGGTTGTGTGATGGTGGTCAAGTGTTGGAGGCGGTAGGCAGAGCGCAAATATATGGTGAGAGTAGTGGTAGTTGAAGATGTTTGATGGGCAGTGGTGATGAGGGGAGTAGCAGGCAAGCGGGGTGCAAACTATATAGTAGGTGGTCACTCGTATCTCCCAAACGCGCGCACAGGGAGCAAAGTAGGGCGGACGGGACGAGATGGTCCATCATGGCAATAGATCTGCCCATGACTATCGGCTCAGCACTGAGATCCACCCTCAGCATTGCGCCAGGCCGGGGTGGTGGAGGGGAACAGATCTACAGGGTCCTGCTTGTTGCGCGCTAGCCGGCTAAGAGAGCCAATCAGCGCGCTCCGATCCCGACATCCCTGCTTGCCGCGGGCTGGCGGTGTCAGGATCAGGCCGTTGGTGATGATGTCGCCAATGACGGGCTCGTGGAGAGGTTAAGCTGAGAGAAGGGTGTTTAGGGGTCTGGCTTGCATTAGAGGCGACGACAGGCACTCGAGCCTGCCAAAGCCTGGCCATTCCCAGCCCACCCGCGCCCTACCGCGCCTACTGACTGGTGTCAACACCCGACTGTTGTTTTGCTTTGCTGCGACGGAACACTGACCCGCCGAGCAGTAGCCTGCCATGTGCATGCATGCCAGGCCGCGCCCTCGCTTCGACTACTTGCTTGCGCAGTCGCTAAGTTTGTTTCTTGTTGCCTGGCCACCCACTCCATGCTAGGGCCGACAAAGTAAAAACCACAATTGCAAAGATGGTGTGTACCCTCTCTGCTTGCGCTGCAAAACACACAGAGAGACAGAGCCTGTGTGTGTGTGTGTGCCTGTGTGGCTAATGACGCAGCGTCTGGGGCGGCAAATCTGTCCTCTGGCCCACCGTCCCTCTCTGCTCCACGAGAGGCCCTCCATCGACGTCAGACCCGACATCTGTTCTGCAGCCTCGAAACCAAATCTCCCGCAAGGGACCCAGCAAAGCGGAAAAGGCATCCACCTTTGACAGTCGCAGTCCCTCGTATGTGCCCACCCACGTCATTTTTCCTCGACCTCGCACAACAGATTGGCTGCAATGCCTGCACGGCTATGTATAAGCGGGTCTAGCGCCACCCTGAACATGCAGGGTCTCGGGCGGCCGCACAGCCGTTGCGTTCGTTCATACCCTCCTCCCCACTGTTGCCGCACTCGCTGCATGTCTATGGGCGGCATATCGTCACTTCTGACGTTTGTCCCGTTGTTTGTTTGCTTCTCTTCAGCTTCCAGTCTGCTGTTCCCCCATCCAGGGGCTCTACACTGCCTATTCACCCACCAGTCCGAACGCCGTTTACCAACGACGCAGGCACCACCATGATGAAGTAATGGAACCACAACCACGACGCTGACCACCATACCCCGAACCCTATGCATGGTGTAGCCTATCTCCGTGCTACACGCTCTCCTCTGATCATCATCAAGACGATCCCTGCGTCTGGCCCAAGATAGCCGTCTTGGTAGCCGTCACTGCTTGCATGCCCTCGATGCAACCACAACTCCTACCTAACTTTGTACCCAAGCACCCAGACATGCCGACAACAAGCTCACTCAAGCCTCAGTGAACGTGGCAGAAGAGTTGTGGCGCATGCTCTGCTCCGGAGCAGGCTCGTACACAACAAACATGTCAAAGGCCAACAAACACCGATCCCTTCGCAAATCCTCGATGCCGCTACCCAACGTCTAGACCACATCCACGCACCCCCCATCGTCAATTTCACCTTTCCCATCACCATCTCTCTTTCCCATCTTCTGTTTCATCGCAAAGTCCCACAGAGTCTCGCTTCTATTCCCAGTGCAACTCGGGCTACCGCCACACTTTACCGCTCGTGCCACAGGCACGTCATACCAAACTACCTTCAGCAGCGACGACCCATCTGGCCCCAACACCCTCTCCCCCTTCCCCCTTCCCGCTCGGGAAAGCGCAGTGCACTCACCCCGTCAACCAACCTGCCGTCCCGCGCGCTACTGCTCGGTTGATATGCTGCAAGGGGTGCGCATGTTTGTGATATTTGTGGACTATGATGCTGCTCGTGGCCTGACCGCCATCACCCATAAGAGCTAGACGTCTTCTCAAGCGCGGCTTGCGTCAGTCCGGCATCCGCACCAGGTCCGTCGGCATCACCATCGGCACACCTTGACGTTTTTTGTTCTACCGTCTCGACATTGCTCCTGCCGCTTCCCAACCAACGCAATGCCCTTTCGCCCTCGCGGCTGCAAAAGCTATGCTATTGTGGCAACTCGAGTTGAACTGTGATTGCCCCCGGCAAGGCGAGGCTCTGTTGATCAAAACTCTGACCACCATTTTCTCGGGCGTGATGTCATACTGCTTACCACCGTCTGTATAGCTAAACTGTGCAAAGGGAAATCTCGTCTGCAAACATACGGCTATTGAAAACGATCGACAGCAACCATGTCCACATCTGACGCCCATTACACTCACTTGCAGCTCGTCATCAAGCGAATCATCCGCCCCGCAACAGCCTCCACATCACCCTCTCCCTTCTGTATGACATCGTTTTGCTCGCTTCTGCTTCGACAACGGACATGCCCGTCCACCCCATGACATAATTCCACATTTGCTGGGAACGGGAGTCATGGGCACCCTGCCTATGCCTGCACCCACATGGCGCTGCTCCACTACGGGACGGCGTTTTGCTAGGGATGATGCAAGCCACCCTTTTTGTTTGTTTGTTGGCAATGCACACCTCGCATGTGATTGCGTATTTGTGCAGACTTGGTATGACGCGTTTTGAGCGAGGGAGTCGGTGCACTTTTGAATGTGCCTTCTCGCGGTTGTTCAAGTTCCTCTCAAAAACGTGTCGTTTGAGGTCTCATGCCTCCATCTGAAGCTAGGGCAGAAGATGCATGTCGGCAAAGAATTCGTATCGTGAATGAGATTCAATGACGCTTCCATATATGCATCAGGGGACTTGGTTCGTGTACTCTTTCGATTCGACAATGTCTGATTGTGACACATCCAAGCACATTTTACGAGTGAGCTCTTGGCCTTTGGATTCATCCATGGTTTGCCGTTGATAGTTGATGTTTTCTTCTCATCGAAAATATGATTGTTCAATCTCATTATTTTCTGCTGAATGTCGCACATATGGAATCTTGCACGATGGCAGTGTATGAAGAGGTTGTCTTGCTTTGGTTGTGATATTTAGTAGACATGGTTAGTATGAGGAAGGCTGAGATGACGAGCAGGAGTGATGTTAGCATCGTTGTCTAAGACGGTAAGTTCATGGTCTTGCGTAGTATGGTGTCTGCCTTGTGACTCTGCTTGTAGTTTTTGCATCGGTTTGGATGACATGATAAGAAAGAGACGAAAAAGAGGACGTGCTACAAGTTTGCATAGCGAAGTGTTAGAGGTATTTGTTAAATGGCTATTAGTACTACTGATACATGATTGACGGAAACGGCTACTCTTGTAATGCATACGAGGATGTGCAATGCAACATGCTACAGAAAGCAACAAAAGCAAGACATTCAAACACTAGCCCTGTGTTCCCATTCACACATATCTCCTACAAAAATTATAAGAAACATAACAAGCAATTTTCTTCTACGTCTTATCCCACACCCATCAAACACTATACACGAAACGGAACTCCCTCCCTCATCCCTTCCAACCCACACCCACCTCACCACCATCCCGCAACTCCAAAACGAGATTACATGTACCTCACTACTATCCCCCCCCCCCATATACTAATCCTCAAACACTTCTCTCCCTCCAACACTCTACCCGCCACACCCGCCAAGCCCACCCCACCCCATCACCATTCTCTCAGCCAAGCAAATCAAACAATCAACCACACTCACCCTCTTAATTCTCAATTTCCTCCCCACAACTAAACTCCTCCTACATGGTGACACCAATCAACCCAAAACACCCCCACCAGCGGGGTCCTTACCAACCCAACCCAACCCAACCCAACATCAGATAAATTAACCCCAAGCACGAGGTATAACCCACACTAGCGCAGCCAAGCAAAACACGCCGAGAAGGAAGAAAGAAAAAAAAACGAGCAAGATCAAGAAAAGACCAAGTATGTGTTTTGTGTGTGTGTGTGTGTTTAAGTGAGAAAGAGAGAGAGAGATTAAAAAAGCACTATACACCTATCATTGCGAGAGATAGTACAATGGAAAAGAAGTATACAAAGTATACTCGATATGAAAATCCCAAAACAAGACTTCTGTGTATATATGTACGTATTTGTAAGACTCCCATCTAGTCCTCACCCGCCCAAAAAAAAACGCGTGAGAATATTATTCAGGGTGTTATTATTTATTCATTTAGTTATTTATTTATTCCTATAACTATTTACAGGGCATATGTATATATGTATACATGAAAAAAAAAATGTTGCCTGAGGCTGCAATGCCCGTTTTTGTTTTCAATTACTTTACCCCATGTTTATATATATATATATATATATATATTTAACTGTATACTAACTGGGGGTTTGGTTTTGATGCAAGATATGCATGCACACACCCTAACCCCAACCCCAACCCCGGGATGCGGGATGCGGGACATGTCACTGTCACTGTCACACATACATCACATCACAATGTCGCCAAGTCTGGTGTGTGTGTGTTTCGTTTCATACACCCCCTCACACCTCTTTTCGTAGCTAAACCCTAACCCACATACACACACACACACACACCTTCAGTTCACCACATCCTCACCGAAGAATAGGGAAAGTAAGGGGGGACAGGGTAAACAGTTCTATAATTCTATTAAACAAAAATCACTAGCTAGCTATAATGCATATATATATATATATATGTTACTTTGTGTAAAAGGTGTAAAAATTTCTTGTCATTTGGTCATATCGAAGAAAAGAAGAAAGACAAAAGGACAAACATAGGTATCAAACAAGCCCCATAAGATACTTTCTCCCAGAGAAAATCGATGAAGAAAAAGAGTGCGTAAAAGTAAAAAGGTGTTTATTGTTGGGGGGGTTTTCGGTCGTGAAGTGGTAAAATCCCAAAAAAAAGTAAAATGCAAGACAAAAAAGCCACGCGGGAAACAAAAAGGGGTTTGGCGCTGGATGTCGGAGGTTGAGGCGGACCATACAGATGAAGTTTTCAGAAGGATTTCCATTTCTAAAAGATTGTGTCTTTCCCTTTTGTTTATTTCTTGCTCTCTTTTTCCTTTTTTTCCCTTTCTCATCTGTTTCCTCCCTTGGAAAAGATTTCGCAAATAAACAAGAACGGGAGGGGAATACATTTCGTCAGAGATTTGTGGTAGAGGGAAGATACAAATGGAAAGGAGAAAAAAAGAGAACAAAGGAGAAAAGATCCAAGAAGAGATTCAAAATCTTCTTAGTGCTTGCCAATGTTGCGACGGTGAGCGTGGGCATGGCGGCGGCGGAGAGGGTCGGTGACGTAGACCTCAACCTCCTTGATGGCAACAACGTAGACAACACCGTCCTTGGTGTAGGTGGTGGTGCTGACGATGCCGTCATCCTTCTCATCGTCCTTGGGAGCCTCCTCCTTGACGGCCTCCTTGGGAGGCTGGGCAGCGGGGGTGATCTCAGGGTAGCTGTTGTACTCAGCGGCGGGAGTAGGCTTGTCGGCGACGTTGTAGACGGAGATGCCACCGGCGCCCAAGGAGCGAGCAGGGGCGTACGACAGGTTGGGCACAGAGACGGAGGAAAGAGTGGGCTTGACCTCGGGCTCGTCCTTGTCACCAGAGGAGGGAGTGTTGGGCTTAGCGTACTCAGGTCCGTACTGGATGGGGTTGTTGCCGCAGAGAGAGTTGGCAGGGCCCTCGCAGTTGTCGTTGTCAAGGAACTTGGGGAGCTTTTCAATTTTGCACTCATCCTGCTTCTGCTCAGACTGGAGACGACCAGCAAAGACGGGGCAGTCCTCGGTGCGGCCAGAGAGGTTGGTGCAAGTGTCAACGGCAGATTGGAGGGTGTCAATGTCCCATCCGTTCATGAAATCAGCGTGGTAACCGCAGCCTGGTTTTGTGTTAGATGTGTTTCGAAGTTTAGAAAAAAAAACGATTAAAAAGCATACCAGTTGGGTCACCGTTTGACCAGACGAATTGACCAGCCTGGCCCTTGAAGGCGTAGGTGTTCCAGATGGTCTCGTAGAAGAGGGTAGGCAGACGAACGGGGAAGCCATCGGGGCATGAGCCACCGTCAAGCATGCTGGGGTAGGCAACGTGACTCTTGTGGTCAAGGGTATCGAGATCCTTTCCATTCCAGCACGAGGCAAAGAGCATCTCGGCACGGATACCGTTGGCGCAGTACTCATCGAGGAACTCCTTGTCGGGGAGGGTGTGGCGGTAGCGCGAGCCCTCGGGAGCCCTGGCATAGTTGAGGCAGTTCATGCCAATAGCCTTTGAGGCAAGGGCGCGCTGAGTCCTGTCCTTGTCGGTCCACGAGTAGACTGGGGGGTCAGGTACGGGGAGAGTGAAGTTGCGCTGATGCGGGTCACCAGCAAGCATCATGAAGCCCTTGGGGAAAGCCTTGATGTTGTCGCCCAAGAGGAGGTAGTATGCGAGCATACCACCGATCTGGGGGACAATCTCAGTCTTGCCGTTCTCATGGACAAAGTGAAGCGTCGGGGTCCAGTAGGCCGACTTGTCATCCTCGAACTGGGCAGAGGTGCACTCGGAGTTGCGGAGGTCCTCGTACGTGGTGGATGCACCAAAGTCTGTTGAGTGTTGTTAGCGAGTCATGTCAAAGAGGGAGTCGGTGTAGGGGTTGGGGACTCACTGTTTCCACCGTGAATGGTATGGGCGTGGGAAGAGGCGGCGCCCTTGTCGACGATGGGATCAAGACGAGCGACAGCAGTGCGGCCGTGGGCAGGCATGCGCCAGAAGGCTTCGGCAGAGCCGGCGAGGATAGCCGCCGCAGCGGAGAGAGAGGCGACAGACTTCATTGTTTGCTGTCACGAAGTGGCTTGGTAGTCGTGATGGTTTGTCGGAGTGGGAGTGCGGTCCAGAGAGCAAAAGTCGATTAGTATATGGTCAACGGCCTGGGGCTTTATGATCCGGCGCGGTTGTTGGAAAAAGTATTGCAGACGCAAGAAATGAGTGTAGCGCTGTCGCGAAGACAGCAAGAGGAGTGGTAGCGAGTGTTGGGGAGGAGGGAGGGCGTCGGAAGGGGAGAGAAGCCAAAGGAGTGACGAGCGAAGGAATGGACGCGACTAAGGGCAATAGAAAAAGAGCGAGGGAAATAGAGCCTAAGGAACACGAGCGGTTATGATGCTGGGGGCCGTGCAGTGAAGACGCTTTTAGGGGAGATGAAGGAATGCTTTGAGTTAGCGAGAATGAAACTCGGGCTAGCGGGATAGCCAGGGAGTCCCTGACAGGACGCAAGCGGGCGTGTGGTTGGTCCGTGGCGTGGTGAGCACCGGCGGCTAGCCCTAGGATAGTAAGATGAAACATGGCAGTAAGGGGATCTATGTCATGGATTGCGGCGAGGGGGCGCAGGTTGGCAGACGGCTTCAACCAAACGGCGTTGAGCATGGCAGCATCATGAGCGGCCGTGGGTGGAGCCGCGAATGCTTGGTAGTGGGTGGGCAGAGGGGCGCGAGGGGCGAGGGGGGGCATGGTGATGGTGATGGGGGGGGATGGTTCCATGGTGAGGCAGACAGGGCATTCACCCTCGCCGCCTTGGTGCCTCTGGCTTCTGCTTCACCATGCAGCAAGCGGGCTGCTTCGCCAACTCGGCCGACCCAGTCATTTGCCAGAGGCCGCTGGCGTCGACGGTTGCGCCTAGCAAGAGTTATGACGGCGCCCCCCATCCGCAGGCAGCGTGGCGCAATGTGTACATACAGCCGGACCGGCAGTGTTTTTGGGGGCAGAGGATTGGCCTGCCGCCGTCGGGACCTAACATGGTGGCCCAGCAGACCGTGCGCGCCAGTGCCAGCTATCGCAATCTCCTCTCCTCTCCACTGCGTGTCCATCACAATGGCCTGCGGCTACGGCCAACGGCAGCCTTGTCATGTTGTCTCCAGCTCTCCGCCATAATTGCTCGACTTGGCTGTCCTGGGGCAAATTGGGCCGTCGCAGGGGCGTTGCCTGTCGCACCTGTGGTGAAGATGCGGGTGCAGGTGCCGGGCTGGGGTGGGTGGTCCATGTGTGTAGGCAGTATATGATTAAGTAGCGGCATCTAGGTATGTACAGACGGTGTATGAATTTGTACACATGTAGTAGTGTACTTGGTATGTGGGTAGGTAAGTACAAGGTGGCAGCGGGCAGCCGTCGTGTCGGTGAGCACGAGGTTCAGTTGGCACGGGAAAGCGGGGCAGGAGATTGCGCCAATCGACCCCAAGAAGACATTACTGGCGCGGCAATACTGCGGTCAAGCGCTGACTTGCTCGCCCGACCTCTTGAGGCTACTCTGCGTCGTCGTCGTCGGCTTCGGCGTCGTCGTCATACGTATCGACGACTGCTGTGGACACGGCCATGTCGGCACGCTCCAGGGCGTCCTTGCTGGCTAGTGGCCTGCACGGTCGCTGCGTCGCTTTGCCCAGGGCCAAATCTCACGTTTGTTTACTCAGGCCCAAGGTCAGATGCGGGTGTGAGGAAAAAATGGTTGTACATGTATTTTCTTGGCTGTGTACTTGTCGATACAAGAAACACATAGTGAAGTATCCATGGCTATAGCATCGCCCCTCGCCATGGCCGACGCCATATCGGTGACATGCAGCCTATGAGCCGGCCAAGCGCTGTTCCTGCAGTAGCGCAGCCATCCACCTCGCCTGGCTAAACCACGTCGAGCTGCCTGATTTGCCGGTGCTATTCTCGCCGCTTATGCACACAAGATGCTCTCTTGTCAGCACCCGCCCTGCCCATACGAACCCCCTTCGCCCTCAACCCACACCCGCAGCCAACCAACACTCGACCATCCTACAACGAGATTACAACCCGACCTCTTGCGCTGCTACCGAGTCCTCTTCTATTACACTTCATCTCTGCTCTGCCCTCCCCTCGGCCTCACCGCCCCGGCCTCACCTCCACCACAGACTCTCATCACACCAGAGGCAACAGTCATCCAGTGGTCCAAACAGAAGCCCACAACCCGCCTCTTCCTCGCATCTACTTACCCCCCAAAACTTGATATGAAGAGGGCGAGATGATGAGGGGAAATTTTTTTTGCCTTGTTGGCCCCTTTGCCCCTCACCTGCCAGCACCTGCCAAAAACAACCGTCATTTCCCTATCCAAACCTGCCATTCTTGCCAACCGTCTCACACGCACACGGCACTCGTCTGACCAGCCCGTCTCTCCTTCCTTGCCTCTCTTGCCTATTAGATCCACCCCCAACTCCTTTTTACCCGTGCCCCATGCCCTTCTGCATACTCACTTACTCCTCCATACATTGCCCCGCACCCACGCTCTCACACGACCTAGTAATAACAACTCCCACTTGCACATTTGAATCGAGTCCAACAACACGTGCCCATCGGGAGCTAGTTTCCTAGACCGTCCCCTTCCTCGCCTCACCAAACACCCTTTCAACCCCCTCGAATTTCATTTCTGCCCTTGTCTCTCTCCCGCCTTGCTCTCTCGGCCGGCCCAAGACCCAATGAAAACAGCATTCTGGAACGCTCAACGTTTGCAGTATCCACGGCTAAAGACACTCAAGAAAAAAATGGTAGTAGTCCGGAGTCGATCATGCCCCCTACCCGTCCCACGCTCATGTTGCGACACCTCCACACGTGCACGCATGCGGCACGGGAAGAAGGGGCAGGAGTATCATCTTCTGCGCATCATCTCCCTGCCCTGGCTTTCTTTTTCATCCCTACTCTCTCTTGTGCACAATGGAAAAGAACAAGTCCCGAGACACGAGCTAGTTCTATCGCTGCTAAGCCCGACGCCACGCGGAAAGTCTTGGTGATCTACGTAGATAGGGTTTGGTACCTGGCTTGGCTTTTTTGGTGTCCGAGGAGTTCGTGCCAGCTGAGTATGTAATCGTGTCCTCCGAGTGAACCATTACACATACGCTTGGTTGGTTGATTGAACCTGGCTTCTTGCTGGTTCATGTCTTGGCATCCATTCTTGTACGTAAAGTAACACCGGATCATTGCGTTGAGCGAACACGACGTTGCAATGCGCACCCTATGCAACCGTCCCCACGCTTCCCCCAACGATAAATAAGTATACTCCTAAAAAAGAAGCAAGAAAAAGCGGATCTCGCTCGCGCCGCTCGTCCGGCTGCGATAGCAATAGCGTCAATCGATTAAAAAAACCCGCACGCACATCTATCTCGATTGCATTAACAATCCTTTTAGCCCGGGAGGGGGGTCCATGCCTGTTTTTTTTTAGTAGTTATCGATTCTTTTTTTGGGGCACGCGGCGGCGGCCACGGCCTACAAGGCTCATGCGCCGCGGTGTACCTCCCCAACATAGCCACATCAAACAAATGGTAAAGAAAGAAAAAAAATATTCCCTATAACCTAACAATTCTGATACACTTGTTTTTTGAACCCCAAGTTTGAAAATTGGGGTAACCAAGCGGCATTTACCTTGCTTGGGTTTTTGAACGAGAGAGAGTGAGTGAGAGAAATCCGCGCCGGCTTCTTGCAAATTCCCGAGACCTCGGGACTCAACAGCTGCGGTATATACGTACTTGGGACACTTGCAGCCATGTGTTCGTGTCGCATGGTGTCCTGAACACACACACACTCGGCATTTGCACCCGCGCCCGCCCATACGCCCCGAACTTCGCTACATCATAGTCCCCCCCCCTTCCCTTCTGCTATGCGCCTTGCTTGCAAGTATGTGAGATCACTTACTCGCGTGACTCTCTGAACGAAGTTTTTTGTTTTCACGTACTACTACTTTTGCTGCAATCCTGTCCTATCCTGTCCTGTCTATTATGCGCATGGACAAAAAGCGTCAAAGTGTACGAAAGTGATATCGTTTAGTGGCTAGCTAGCTACCTAGAACTTCTACGCAGCACGTACGTACGTGGGGGGGGGGGGCGATGTTTATTCTAGACTCTTTTTTTGGCGGTCTAGGTGGTAGGTGGGAGGGGGGAGCGCTGGGTGGTGTAGATAAGGGAGGGGGTGGGTTGAGAGCAACATGGGGGTTGGGCTACACAGCGCATGTAAGTAGTGGTAGTAGTAGTAGTAAGAAGTCTAGTTTTATTTTTATTTTAACAAGGTTTAGATGCTAGGAAGTAGATTTTGTTAGGGTTATAATCAAGATGATGACGATTATTATGGTTATTAGATCTGTGATATAGCGATGGATAAGGGGGTTTAATAGACTAACAATATTCTATATCCTCTTTTCTCTACTTATGTACTATAACTTGTTATTTTGGATATACCTGTATATATCCCTTTTCTTTTTGAAAATGTTTTCACCACCCACATCCCCCCATGCTCAAGCCTTACATATACTAACTTGCATTGACGACAATATCTCCGGCACCCATTTTGCTGCGTCCTCTCGCGTCCAAACAAAAAAAAACTTCCCTCCTTCTACTTCTTTGGTCTCGATCCTGCCCTCTTCTTCTTTGCTCCTCGGAGTAAGGAGAACTACTTCCCCTTCTAAGTTGGGTAAGTGAAAAGCAAAGTCCCGTAACTAAAAGTGATATGTGATAACAAGGAGACATTATTGCAATCTCACCCACGCCTCTCGCTGTAGCCGCTACTTTTTTTGGCCTGTGTTACTGAAAAACGGTACTAGGGGTAAGGACCAGGTATACGTTGTATCTGCAAGTTCCAGTAATAGTTTGGATTGAGTAATACAGAGGCGAGTGATGTGTAAAAAGAAGGTGCTTGGAAGTAAATAAATATCTTGATATGGCATTATCAGCAACCAAGGTATACGCATGAAATGATAGCTAAATGATGGATGTGGGGGAAATACTATATTCTACTCGATCCTTCGATGCAGAGTAGGATGGGGGGCATGTTGCGAGGTCAAGTCACACAACTAACTCCGCATATCCTTTCCTGTTACAACGTATGTGATCGCATAGTACCAGTAGACTGCTGTATTTTTTTTTTAAAAAAAATTGTATGGACCTATACTCGGACAACAATTACCCCAGAACTCTCAAACACCACGCTATGCTACATCATAAAATATTACAGTCGTTAGCACTTCCCCCACCAGCTGCAGATATCCTTTGCAATCGATCGTCCATCAGGTTTAGTACTTCTTCGCCTCCATTCCCTCGGGTGGCTCAGGAACCACCTTCCTATTACCAACATTACTCCAGTCGGTACTCAGCACCGTGCCGCCGCTCTCCGAGTAACTCTTCATCATAGCCCGCTGCTGCTCGGGCGTAGCGCCGCTGTACAGCTGCTTGAAAAAGTGCGATGTCTCGTCCCCCTCGATTTCGTCCTTGTCGTCGAGATCGTTAACCACCACCTTGTCCCAATTCTTTGCGCCTGATTTAGACGATGTAGGATATGCAGGGGCGGTCTCCTTTACAGGGGCGACAGAAGACGATGCTTGCGATGTAACGGCGGCTGCTTCGCCCTGAGCGCGCTCAAGGCTGTGCCATTTCACGCCTGGTGTTGCCTTTCGTAGCGTCACCTCGATCTTGGTGGGGGTTATTCGGTATTTTGACTGCGAGGCATCGATGGAGGAAAAGAGAGGGTCGGCGTTGTAGCTGTATTCGGATGACGAGTCGGCAATGGGAAAGGAGACGGAGACAGAATCTTGTTCAATCTCTACAACAGCTTTGTCCTTGGGCACACCCTTGGCCATGATGTTCAGAGTCACGCTATCATGCGACTGGTACCAATCGGTCTTGATTTTCTCTTTGGGCGTCGGCGCAGGAGGCTTCGGTGCCTGTGTTGTTGCCGAGTCTGCGGTTTTGGCTGGGGCGCTAGGTGTGCTTGTACTGGGTATTTCCACGTCTGGGTTCTCCTTGATGGTAATTGTCCTCTGCTCATCATTCTCTGGTACGTCTTTCAACTTGGATGCCACCTTGGCTTCCCAAATTGGCAGCATCTTGTCCTTTTCGTCAAGGCCTTTTACTATGCGCAAGAGAAAGTCAGCATCCGCATATTTGCCAAGGTGGTAGAGTGCGACGGCGCGTCGAAACTGGGCGTCCTTGATAAGCTCGCGTGACCCGCGCTTTCTGGCAAGGACAACTGCGACGTCGGCATCGTGAAGGGCTTCGGGGAACTTGGAGGTACGCTGATAGGCTGTCGAGCGGCCGATGTAGTATTTCACGGCGGTCGGATTGACACCAAGGGCCTTGGTGTAATGCTCAATGGCTTCGTCGGGTTTGCTTGCGCTGAGAGCAGCGTCACCTTTGCGGGCGTCGTCCATTGGGGCAGAATTGCAGGTAGTGGAGAAGAAAAAGAGCAGTCAGAATGGTGCGCAAACCCCGTCAGACGTATTTTCTCAGTGTGGTGACAGAAATGCGCCAATATTGGTGGCTAGGTTGTGTAGCAAGCGCCATGACGAGCGTAGAAGCTTCCATGGCTGCCTTCCCCGAACAAGGGTCCCGATATCCCAATGCCGCGCTAGTATTAACCACCCAGGTCTGCCACAAAAGGCGGGGTTTGGTGGCAGGGCAACAATACATCATCCGCGCCGAATTTGGAAACAAACTTACTCGTACCAACGCAGCTGCGTAGACTACCCGCGCCTAAGTGGAGTTGATCACCGTATTGCACACACCATCAGTACAAACAAATACACGGAAAGTACAGTACTTTCCACAATGCATATTCAAAATCAAATCAGGTTGTGTGATGTATTACTACACAACGAAAAAAAAAGGCCAGGCGCCTGCAATGTCTGACAGGTATATGCAATGCCGAGCTAAGGGCCGTCAAAGAAACTCCAGATACAAATAGGAAAACCACTACACTTGTACGAATCTATACGTGCGCATCCTCGCACCCTCCCGCACTCCGTGATGCATAGACCCCGACTTGTCATTCCATCTAAAACATAAGCACAGCGCCAAAGATAGTGCTCGCAGCAACCATGCCGATGATGCGGAGGGGCACATCGAGGCCAGCAGCAGCACCCTGGCTGCCACTGGCACCGCCGGTGGCACCAGCTGAAGGAGCGCGCGTGGGCTCGCCAGATCCAGGTTGGGCCTGGGACTCGCTGGGCTCACCGGCGAAGTGGGAGCCATCGCCAGAAAGACCGGGACCAGCGCCGGCACCCTTGTCCATAAACGCAGCAGCCTTCCTGGGGATCGATGGGAGGTTGGTACCCTGTACTTGCCAGTCGTCAGACTCGGCAGGGCACTGGGAAGCACTGCCGTTCTCCTTGAAGCCGCCGTCGTCAGTAGGGTTGGGGGTGGCCTTGAGGGCCTTGGCAAGACGGTCGAAATCAGCGTTAGGCTTGATGTTGCCGTCAGAGCCAACCTCGACGAGACCGTAGCCGTTGGGCTCGACAGTGTACTCGTAGGCGAGACCACCAGAGTAGACACTGGTCATGTTCTTGGAATACAGAGCAGCAATCTCACCCCACTGGCGGGTGTTGGTGATGCAACCAAACTCAGACAGGAAGATGGGCTTGCTGTAGTTGCCATAGGTCCTGACCTTCTTGTCCCAGCCGGACTGGGTGAAGGACGAAGGGTCGCACCAAGAGTAGTCGTTGAAAGCGAAGAAGTCAGAGCGCTCGTCGTCGGTACCGCAGTTGAAGTAGGTGGCCTGCTGCTCAATGTTCTCAGAGACATCGGCGGCAGAGTATCCAACGGGGATGATACGCTGGTGGCGGTTGGAGATGTACTGCTTCATGTCACGGGTGACGGCCTTGATGTAAGGAGCAGCATTGGAGTTGTTCTTTGCGTTGATGACCTCGTTTCCGGAGAAGAAGAGCATCAGGTTGTTGTACTCGGCGAAAGCATCAACCGTAGCAAAGACGGACTGGAGGTACACATCGTTGTACGAGGTGTGGAGGGTGTCGGCGTTCTCACGGTTGAGCGAGTACTTGGGAGTGTTGGCGTCAAGAGCCAGGTAGATGCCGGCATCATCAAGCATCTTCATACCCTCGTCGTGGTTCTTGGAGTTGTCGATTGTGTAGATACGGACAGTGTTGATGCCGAGCTTCTTGAAGTTGTCAACATCGCGCTTGAGCGACTTGAGGTCAAGCAGAGGGTCCTGTGCGTCAGCGGCACCACCTATGTACATGTTAGCATCACTGTAAACACCACCACCATCTGGTGAAACAACATACCGGGCTGGTAGGCGACACCACGGACGTAGAAGCGCTTGTCACCGGCGAAGAAGGCATTGCCCTTGACGGTGATTGGGGTCAGGTTGCCCTTTGCGGCGAGTGCGGGAGCGACGGCGGCTCCCAGGAGGGAGATGATAAGGCAGGCCTTCATAGTGGCGGATTGAAGCGAAAATGGATTAAAACGAAGAGTAGAACAAAGCAGTTGGAAGTCTTAACGAGTGACTGGTAAGTAGGAAAAGGAATCCTCACACAAAGAACATTGAACGGAGAAGGAGGAGCCGGGATGGCAAAAGTATTTGAAGCAGGAGCACCCCCAATTTCTTGGTAACCCCCGAGTGCTACATGTGGAACTCGCCAACCCCCGTAGTTTGTCTGGCGCTGATGCGCGCCAAGTCGTCGAGTGTTGGCGCGCCGGCAGGAATGGCGGATACCAAGCAGCCAAGTCCATAGCCTTGGATTAGCAAAAGGCTGCCCAGCCTTGGTCAGGGGCAACGGCGCTGCTAAGTGGCAGGGCCAGGTCCATGACGAGACTCTAATAACAAGTGAATTGCGCGTCTGCTGCCGTTCCGCTCGACAACACAGCCTCGTTGAGCAAATTCAAGATTTGCCCATCTGCAAATCCATCGTGTTGGCCGTGGTGGCCCCCTTCACTTGGAGCCGCACGCGGCTTGGGGGACAATGCCCATCGACGGCCACTGCAGCGCATCGGGAAATTGGGCGGAAAAGGAACGCTTGACCATGTTATGAAGGTTTGGCGACCGCACAACTACCGTGGCCTGGCCTCACTGCTCTTTCGTATCGCACTGTCCATGGCTTTGCAGCTCCGGTGTTGTTGTTGTTGTTGCTTGCGGCCCCAGGGAGATCTGAACATCAGTCTAGGCGACAAAAAGAAGCGTTGCGCATGTGCATGCAGCATGCGTCAACAGCTCAGCCCATTGAATGACGGAATGGATACGTGCGTTTCCTTGTTTGCACATACATACATATACATGGAGATCCGCGAGGTTGGTGGTGGAGGAATGGCTGGGTTGACAGTTGTTGCACGTCTGGGTCTTGGGTTGGAACTGGTTGGCTACCGTACCACGGCGTTAGAGATGTTCCGCTCACCCGCCCTTTCCGCCACGCAATCATTGCCTGCACTTGCACCGCACCGCCCAACCCACGTGACATACTACCACCACATCCACGCGCTATCCGGCATGCATTTTTGTAACCGGCATCCCCATACTTCTCTGACCATTCAGCCATGTCAAGCCTTGCCCAGCGCCCTGCTGAGACTGGCATGTTGTCATCTGCTACAACAAATGGCAGATGTCATTGGTTTCGGCCTTGTCTTTTATTAGATACGAAACCTCATCCCTGAGTATGGGCACACCTCTGCTATGACGTTTCTTGCTTTCTTTTACAGCATTCTTCCCGGTTGTCTCTTCTTTTACCCTCAGACCCCGCAGAGAGCCCAGCAGCTTACATGTGGTTGAATATGCAATGGTCAAGCCTTTCAACACTCTCAACACTCATCCACTGGTTGCCATGCGGGTTCCCTACTTCCTTCCCGCTTGAGCGCCACGCCGTCAGCAGTGGCTTGACCGATCTTGAACGGGCCGAGATCAGGACTATAGCTTATGCACTCGGAGCTACTCTCTTAGTCTAGCTATTTCAGAAGATTGCGCACTCGAATAGCCGTCGCCGCTAATACTCTACTAGCTCATGAGTCTGTTTGCGATTCACGCTTGAGTGGCGCTGCTACAGAGTCGACTCGGTTGAGTTCCCCGGTCGGTATGACCATGCGCACGTGCTTCGATTTGGTGACGTCCAGTACACCCAGAGTGTCTCCTGGCTCAGTAACTGGTATTGCCTCATCCGTGCGCGTCCAGGTTCCAAGACCGAGGTTCTCATGTGCTAGGCGTTGCAGCTGTAAGGTGGATCCGGCTTGCCACTCACAGTAGCTGTATACCAACTTTGCACTGCATAGGCGCGGATATCGTAAAAAAAGGGCGAAAAGTTCCTCCACGAATGTCGATGTGAGCATCAGCATGCCTCCTACAATAAGGATCACACCTAAGGTCCATGCGCTGAAAGAATAGTGCTTGGAAGAGCGCATTTTCTGTTGTCGCGAATATCAGTACAGGCAGGCTGAGCAGTGTCATATACAAACCTGACTATGACATATCCTACGGCATTCCTTTTCACCCTCGCACAATGGGTTCCCGCTAATATCAAATCCTCTAGCATGCTCGACCATCCTAGCTTGTATACCAGCGAGACTCGCTTTGTATAGATATTCGCGCTCCTCTTGCCATCGGTCCTTTGGTATCGCTGCTACCTGTATATTACCCAGTATGGTACTGCGTGATAGAAGAGTTGGTGAGTGTGGTATGTTATAATAGTAATCTAACAGGCCAGCGCCTTGAATGCCCAGTGCAGCCACCAGTGCGCGCATCGCAGATTGATCATTTGCGTTTGGCCAGGCGCTTTTGAACAAGCCCGACGAAGACTGCTCGTTCAATGCTGCGAAACCATCAATGCATCCAACGTTTTCGGGAAGGTTCGGGTTGCAATATAACCTCTGAGTTACGCAGCCCAGTACACCGACAGGTTCGTCAGCAACAAAGAAATCTCTGCTGTTCGCGCTGGAAACCAAAAAGCTACTATTAAACAAGCTTGTAGCCGAGAACCAAGGATCCTCGGTCTTTTTGACGTATACGACTTCCGAGGAATCCAGAAATAGCAAGGAAATGGTCGCATTTGGTTTCCGTAGTTCTGGTATGAGCTCAATGTTTATTTCTGAACCGGCCGTTGCCATGGCTCTGCTCTGAAGTTAAAATCAATGAAAATAGTGTACGACAGGTCTGATGGGACATACGTGACTTTGTAGTTACCAACAGTAACGCCATCAAATGACGGCCTTTTGGACCTAATATCAACTGCGAAGACATGGCTTTCATTGCCCTCGGGTCCATATGTATTCCCATATCGATAGACCTGTCGAGTCTGGGAGTCATTTGAGGCCACGACAGTGTCAGTGAAGCCAGCTGTTTTCAAAGGCGCGCAGTGTGTCCGATGGCGAAGAGTAAAGTGTGGGTTTTGATTGAAGCCAAGGTGTTTCTCAGAGTGTAGTACTCCTGAATCTAGGAGGATGTTACCAATACCTGACTTGCAAATCTCCCTAGCAAATGGACACGAAGCATTTCTATCTGACGTAAAAGGCAATGTTGGTCTTACAAACGTTTCGCATAGCCCGTTCTGAGCAGTGTCGCCCTCGCGGTAGCATTGCATCGAATATGTAAAGGCGTCGACAGATTTCTGACTCTGGTAAAGCATGATGGGCTCCATGAGAGACACTTGGGAGTCTGGATCACGGTCATACACCCCACACTTTCGGCCAGCTATCAAAACTTCTTGATTCGAGTTGGTCAAAATTCTCGAGGACAAAAGACCTGAAAAGATCAGCCATCTATAACCACAAAAGTAGTGATAATGAACGCACCAGCAGCAACAGAAGCAACGGATATAGCAGAAGCTATTAGGATAACCGGTAGTATTCGCTGTTGGCTTCTCTTGGCGCGATCTCGCCAAACATAGCTGAGTGGACACAGATCCAGCACGGCATCGAGTGCTAGCGATTGATTACGCAAAATGGCCTGTCGCTGGTGGTAGACACCATCCTGCTCACCGGAGGTTGACTCAATGGCACAGACTAAAAATCGTGTGATCTTCCAGAAACTACGCGCTGTGGCAGCAATAAATAAAGCGAGAAAGGCTATGATCAGACCACCAGCTTGACGATCAAGTGTTAGGGTCGCGCCACGGACTGTACCAAGTGATTGATTGATCCAGAACCCTTTGTAGATGTCTTCATCAATGGACCATGTTGGTAATGTTAGGGGCATGATGTGAATGGCTTCGGAGTTTCCAGATATCCAGGCTCTTAGGTGAACGATCGATCGAACGAATGCTTTTGGCTGTTTCACTGACCAGCTGAGCTGTCTCTGCTATACTGAGATGAATATAAGGTAAGGAGATTTCGTAGTGAGTGGTTAATAAGAGGGCCGATGGCTGCGCTCCAGCTGTTCCCCTCAGCCTTGTCCGAACGATGTCAGCTCGGGAAAACGCTTGATACAGGCTGCAGGAAGCCCTGCCAAGTCTAGTGCGACTTGCCTGATTGGGTACTTGCTCAGCAGGAGTGTGGTTGCACTTCTGACTTTTGGCCCCATTTCCATCGTCGATTAGTAAATGGACTGATTCTGCAAGTGTAGAGTACTGCCGAAGATGTTGTATATTGTAGCTGGGTATGTCGAGTGATATGAAGGCTCCTCCGAGAGAATAGTGTTCTCCTCCCCCCACCTTCATGCGTATGTAGCACGTTCTGGATACTCGCTGAACAACTTCTATTGTGACATTTGGTCACGTGGCTCAAAGCCGAACACAGCGAAAGAACGACGGCCAGGTCACCTTCAAGTAGCCACTGAGAGCGCGGGATAGTGCTGGGGCAGTGCTGAGGCAGAGCATGACTTCTCGAAACCATAGCAATACATAGCGTTGACCTGTATCTTGACCAGGAAACCCATCGATCGTTTATTTATGGACTTGACTTCGGAAATGAAAGCGCCGTACCGAGGATGCACAGCCTCCTAGCTGAACACGATATGTACAGGGTTCTGTTCAATCCGAGTACCAGGCTGCTCTACATATTAGATGCATGAAATGTAATGTTACATCAGGTTGCTCTCTGTGTGTGATGCGAGCGACACCCCCACGTGACTGAGCTAAAAGAAGAGACCCACCCCCATCCTACCCATACTCAACGAGGCTCTCCGCGGCTACATCCCGCTTCCTACAATACAACATTGGTAACAATCGCGCCAAAAGAATGAATCACAGCTGATTTACTGCTCGAGACGCCCGACTATAGTTTCAAATATATGCCTGCCTCCACTGCAACAACCGCGCCGCACACGCAGACCCTGGTCGCATAATCGCAGCCGACGAACCACAGGCACACTGCAGGCGCCACCACCAAAGGTCGATCGCATCTCCACCACAACCAATAGCTGCGGCGCTACCCGAAATACACAGCAAACCAGGTCAACAAGGCATACTTTTGGTGTCCACCTTATGGTATGATCTGAGTGCGGCGTAGTTGCAAGCGAGATAAATGCAGTTGAACAAAGAGGAAGGAACGAAGGAACAGCAAGGATAGCAGTGAGATAAAGAGCAAGGAGAGAAGCCCACGTATTGCATCTACTCAAGCTTTACGACACCTTCTATTTTCCAACTATCACGATCTTAATTACATCCAACCATGTTCAACGCACTCCTTCTCGCAAGCCTACCCGTGCTACTTTGTCAAGCCACCTACCTCGACCCTTCCCTTCTCCAGCAAAAGCCACTGATGCATGGCATACCCTCAGATATTCTATCTGATGTTACCATTCTACCCCTCACTGTACGTCTCTTACTCCCGCCCAAGGAACACATCCTCAGCTCTATCTCCCGTCTAACACTGAGAACCAGCTAAACAAGCACTTCCACTACACCTTCTCCTCCCCCACCAACAACCCCACTCCACTATCCCGACTCCAAAATAGCGCTGCAGTGCACGCCACACACTATGAGCACTCCCGCATCAGCATCGCCATCCCTCTCGACGCCGCGCGCACAGGCACCGTATCCTTCTCTTCCCCCACATCATCTAGCGTACAAGACACAACCGCCACGCACATGACGTGGATATCCCAGAACCCCTGGGATGTAGATATGCACTACATCCCCCTCCTCGATGGTGGTGTGCGCAAAGGCGGGATGATAAGTATGAGCATCGAATCCGCAATCTTGGATTTCAACACAGCATTCATCACATTACCCGCTGGGCTGTGGGATGTGGTTGTTCTGGCGACGCAGCCGGTGCTGAAGCCGAGTTGGGGACAGGAAAAAGGACAGGAGGTGATGAGTGTGGAGTGTGAGGCTAGGAAGAGGTTTCCGGATTTGGTGTTTGGGATGGAAGATGAGAGCGAGATTGTGGTTGGACCGAAGCAGTATGTGCTGCAGAGGGGAGAGGAGTGTGTGCTCCTTGTTAGGAAGGCAGAGGAGGGGGATGAGGAGAGGGTTGGTCTGGGTTGGGCGGTCGCGAGGGGGAGGGAGGTAGTGTTTGATTGGCAAGAAGGGAGGATTGGGTTGGGGGAGTTCGAGGGGTGAACGTAATGGTGTTCTATATTCTTTGACTTTGTTTTAGACTTGTACATCAAAATTGTATTTACCCTAGAATCATAATCATAAACCATAAATCATACCTCATACCAACAACAGACTCAACACCACTGCACTCGTACAAACAACCATCGTCATCCACGCAACCCTCACCCCACTCGCCGCATCCTCATCGTCCCCTCCATTACCTCCATTACCCTCCTCCGCCGATGGATTCCCTTCCCCCCTCCCCGTCTGCTGCTCCCTACTTGTCACGCTCCCCAGAACACACCTCCCCTCATCCAACGCACCTCCCTCGCCCCCAAACGCGATCTGCGCCGTCTTCTCCCACAACCCCGTCACATTAAAATAATCCCTCGCCTCATACCAAACCCGACAACTCGCACTATCATTCAAAAACTGCGTTGGCGCACCCCCATTCTCCAGCCCAGCCCGAATATTATCCTGAAAATTGACTCCAGCATCGAGCACCGCAATCGGCGGCTGCACCGGTAGGAACGACGACCACTCCGCGAGTTCGGAGCGCGAGTCTGCGAATTGCAGGGCCACGAAGACGGATATGGCTTCTATGTAGACGGAAGGGAGGACCAAGGTGCCCTTGGTGCCGCCGACGGATACCATAGGGCCAGCTAGCGGGCGGCCCCCGAGAGCGATGCTGCGGACGCCAGATTGCTGTACCATTAGTTCGAGGAAGATTGAGCAGGTGGAGGCGCAGATGCCGTCAGATAATATCACCAGATCCTCCGCGCGAAAAGGGTCGTCTGTGAAATTGCTGCGATCGTTGTAGCCGGTCATCGTTATGCCGACGGCAAGCCGCGTGCTGCTCGTTGTCAGGGGGTCCGAGAGGTTGTATTTCAGGAGCGAAGTGAAGTTGTCGCCTTTGAAGCGGAGGGGCGGGTACATAGAGGCCCAGTCTGGGAATTCCTCGAGGGACGCAGAGAGGTAGGCGTCGTTGCTGAAGGGGCTGGTGAAGAGTTGGCCATTGCGTAGGGTGATTTCTTCAAAGGAGGAGATGCTTTCGCCGAAGAGTTCGCTAGCGGCGTGGCCGCGGTAGCGGGATTGTGTCTGGGGTACTTGTGAGGGGAAGAATTGAAGGTAGGCATCGTAGCCTGAGAGTACTTTGCCGCCGGGGTTGCCACGGATGTCGATGATGTGTTTTTCTACGCCGCGGGATTTGGATTGCGAGATGTATTGTTGAATTACGCGTTGGAACTCTCGTGCTCCGCTGACGTCGGCGGTGTTGAATGTTTGGATTATCAAGACACCGATTTGGCCTACGTCGGTGTTGATGAAGTAGCCGGCGAGAGGTACATTTTCTTCTGTGTGGGAAACGAAGGGTTTGGGATAGAACAGAGGCACTGAGCCGTATTGTTGCATGGAGGCAGACTTGAAGTCGCGTTCGCGAGGGTTCTGGAGCTGGAGTGGCGGATCATTCATATCCCTCTTCTTCACTTCGCCACCGGAGCTAGTCGTAGGAATGCAGAAAGTATTGTAAAACGAGTCTGCATCTCGTACACTACGCCAGGCCTCAGCATCAGCAACAATAGCAATATTCGGGTACACGTCGGTCGTTCCGTTCTGGTAGGTAATGTTGGTAGCAACACCGGGGAAGAAACGTGGGTTTATAAAGCTTCCGTAGCTCTCTGCTGCTGGCATGAACAGCATAGAGTTGTAGCGCGTATCCGGGTCATGGTATGCTACTAGATTCGCCTCTTCAATCAAAAACTTGGAAGCGTCTTTTCCGTTGATCTTGGTAACAGGAGAAGGCTCATAAGCACCATCAGTGTTGTTAAAGTCTGTCAGTGTCCAGATCTGGGGTATTTCACTGCCATCTCTAGACGCAGAGATGAGCGCAATCTTGCTACTTCTTCGCCATACAAAGACTCCTGCGTATGCCATGCCGTACCAGGCCAGGTGACCATCGTGTGCTTTGACCAGCAAGCTTGCAATGTCGGCTTCAAAATCGTACTCGTTGGCGTACCCTCCTGACTCAACATTGCTCTTGATCCCATCCAGTCCAGATACGATGTCGACAGCCGGGTTTGGGTATCCTTGAGGCGGATCCTTGAGATAGGCCAGTGTGGACTGGAATTCTACCATCTTTTTTATCTCGTCGACCGTAGTAGAGGCGTCTGTCGTATAGAAAGGTAGTGACTTGAGACACGCTATCGCACGCTCAGCCTCTACTACAGGCAAATCTGCATTGCTATCTGAAATAGCATCTGCTATTTGTCCACAGGCCTCGCTAGTCTCAATTGGTCCCGAGATAGGTTCGATTGTGGTAGGCTCTACCTCAATATTTCCGATCGATGTAGGCGTTGGCACTTCTGTTGGCTCGAGAATCAACGATTCTGTATTGTCGAAGGCAAAGCTGCTTGTCTGTGCTGAGACGACTACTGCGAGCAAGCTTAACGCCGTGAACGGCTTCATAGTTGCCGGACGAATGTCGGACGCGATGCGCCGTTATTGGTTTTTGGGTATAGTCTTCGGGGTGGTTTTCAACAAGGTCCGCTTCGTAGTTCAAAGGTACCAATCCTCGATATGTTTAGGTGAGTTGAAGATTGCTTATCGTCCTCCCTGCTTGCTCGTATTCTGTTTAGCCGGTGTTGGTATTCGATCCTAGAATCCACTTGGGCCTCCAGGATCTTCAACAACGCGTGATCCCAGGCCAAACTCTCCCACAGAAGAAAGGAAAAGGTAGGCAAAGTGATGAACACACTATGCAGTTCGGCGGGGGTATATGCATCTTTAACGCCGCATCCTCCTGCACAGCCTAGCTAGTTTGTAGCTGGGTGCGCCGCCGCAGTCTGGAGGTCTCCACACACATGTACGTCTGCCATGCTTAAAGCCTTGGCTACTAGGCGGCACTGTGCATGACCCGTCTAGATTGCATGCACGCTGCAATAGGACTAGCACTCAACTGTGGCTTGTGGAGGCAGAGTCACCTACAGAGATAACATCATGCCATATTGGTAGGAGGTGGCTGGATGGGGCTGGCATGGGGAAGCAGGGATTGGATCCACGTTCGAGGTAGGCAAGCGAAGCAGTGCATTTCCTAGTTGCGGCTGAATTGTTGCGGCTGGACAAATACGGCGCTATTGTACTCTCTGTCGCAAAAACTTACATCTTACGAGTACTGCTTATTTCGAGGGGCTATTTGCTGTTTGACGCCCACCATGACCATTGCTGTTGTGGGACTCACTGCGCACTGAGGTGCAAAGTTGCTGTATTCACGTCCTGTAAAACTTCACGAGCGATACACCTCGGCTAAGCGCCTCACAACACCAAGAAACAGTCACAAGTCGGCCAGCGCATAGAAGTTGTAGTCGGTAGGGTTGGCTGGACGCCTCGATTACTTTGCACCGCACAGCCGCAGTTGTACGCGTTGCTGGCGGTTGCTGGTGGTTGCAGTGACTGCACGCCGCATCCATTGTGGGGTTCATGTGCCGTTTGGTCCGGTTTGCTTGGTAGCCTTGGAATGACGTACTCGTTGACGCTTCCAACAGTCTTTACTAACGACTGACATTCTAGAATTGCAGCGTTGGATTCTCTGGATGTTGATTGAAGGATGGGAATACTGGCCGATGTATGCTTCAACTACATGATGGCAGCTGATGTCTTTACCATCGCCAAGTCAAACACCCGATGATCTATTTCTTGAGGCCTACCACCACCAAATTGCGCGGACTATGCTTATATTCGAAAACGGGCTCGACCCATGCATGCTCAACCTCTTCCTGCTCTCTTAGCCACAGATACCGATCCGTGACCACGACAGCTTCGACCACACCAGCGCTGAAGGCCATCAGGCTCCACATGACACTCAGCTCCTTTTTCCTCTCTGCATACCTGACCTCATAGTTCCGAATATCGTCGTCTGTCAAACCATCCATCTTCTCCTTGATGAAGTTGGGGTCGATCTCACAAAATGAGTTGTCGGCCGTAAGTTTTGCAATTGCGGCGCGAACGTATGAGACGAAATCGCTGTAAGCAAATTTGCGCAGCGTTCCAATTGTAAGAGGCGTAGTAGTGCCGTCTGAAGAGAGGCCAGGGCCACGGCCATTGGGTGGTGTCCAGTTTACTTGCGACGTGTGACCGTTTGCTGACACTGCACTGCCAGTGAGACCTTGATCGTGTAAGGGCGCAGAGACTACGCCACGATCGAGAAAGATGCGCTGAAGCAGTGCTCGAAAGAAGTGACGGGTGAAAAACAGGTCTGAGTCGACAGGACCCCAGTTGAAAGGTGCTTGCACGGCCATCATGCGGGCCGTGATGTTGAGTCGAACCCCTCTGGGTTGTTCAGCTGTCTCGCCACTGCGCGAATCAAGAGGGGCATATGGAAGTGGGTAGTTTGCAAGCTTTTCTGACATTGGAAAGCCATTGGGGTCGAAAGCACTGGATGTGGATTCCAGGCGCGGATGATTCGCGCGCAGTGTAGGTAGCTTGTACGTTGGCGGACCAAGACGTTCAGTGAGCAAGTTGTAGCAACAGCCCACCATGGCTACGGCTGAGATGTGAGCGTTAAGCATCATGGAGCGCAGCCCATAATGCACTAGATTGCCGCATGAATGAAGAGAGATTACCATGGCGTTCACATCAGTGGGCTTGGGCACTACATCCAAGTTTGTAGCTTCGGCAACCACAGCACTGTCTTGTGTAACAGCTTCCTCAGGTACACGAGTGGTATCCAGAACCTGGTCGATGACCGGCGTGAGATCGCCTTCTTTGATGATATGCTCAACGTATTGGACACTACCATGGCCTTCGTTGTATATCTGTAGCGTAGACGTTTTGGTCGCCTCACTCGGGGGGCTGTTTGCAGATATCTCGGTTGCTTGTGGAAGCACACACCCGTCGTCACATTGTGGCCCGCTAGTCAAGGTTGAACTGGCTGATTTATGTTCGGTAGGTGGAATTGACCCGACTTCATTTGTTTGTGAGTTTGCTTGTTCATCTGTTCCCTGCGCCAGAGCATCTGCGCTAGACGACCCAGTAGAGGCATTGACCCCATTCTCCCTGCCTTTCTTGACTTTGCCTATTTTGGCCCTGTATTCCTTCTTGTTCCTCATAACGACAGGTTTGGGCACCAGCTTTGCCAACATGTCCATGTTCTTGGCACCCTCAATGTTGTGTTGCTTACTCTCCACTGCGACAATGTGCTTGGAATAGGGCGCTGCAGCAAGAGCACGTCCAAGGTAATTCTGACCAGAACCAAAATCCACGAGGTGCGTGATAGGCTTCTTTTTGGAGGACGCAATCTCAGCGGTCAGCCTGTCAATGTAGCGTGCAAAGTTATCGACCTCGTGCACCTTCTTGACTTTCATGCCCATGGCAATATGGCGTGGTATCGCAGGCTTCCCAGCTGTGATGTTTGAGTTGGGTGGAGGAAAGTCGCGTGCCAGCAAGTGCTTCCGGACTGTCTTAATGTAATCTAGCAGCTCCTGTGGCGGTGGTGGCCCATCTCGCCAATCTCCGGGGCCTTCTGGTTGCTTCACATCAAACTGGCTAAGGTCCTCTCTCATGAGCAAATCCAAAATGTCCATGATGTCGCGTGTCTTGAACCAATCCCTCCATGATTGGGGCAAGATGTGCGAGTAAAGGTCAGGTGACCTTGTGTAAAAGTCCAAAATGTGGACGCCGCCGCATAGTGTCTGGAGCAGCCATGAGGAAGTTGCAAATTCGAGCAGTGACTCGACGTATTCGTCGGTGTTTGTGAACTCGGCTGGAAGAGGCAGAGGTGTATCCGGTCCCATTGTCTCAGCCAAGTCCTCTTCGCCGACAAATCGACTGTTTCTGTATCCAAGCTTTTGGCGATAGCCGGGCCATCAAGAAAACACTCTGGTGGTGGTGTTCTGAGCAGACTGTGGGGGGTATTTTTTTCGGGAAGGTGGGTCCGTGCCGAGGCGTTCGTTCCAACGCGTCATCCGGCCAGGCTGTCGCTGCGACATTATCCTTTGGAACTTGACCATTTCGCCCACCCACCTCCACGATTGGAATTGACGACAAGCAGCCGTCGCGTGTATATATACAATGGCGTCGCTAAATGGTGAGGATCCATTCCTCCAGGTTCAAGCGTGAGACGGCGCCCTACAACCCCATATAGGCAGCACCGTTAACCCGCGATAGTGATGTGCTCACTGCACTCGACAATGCGCGGCCATTATTCAAGTCATACCTGCGCATCCGGTCATCGGCGTCCTCCGCCAACAGCCCTGAGCTCCGTGAAGCCCGCAGCGAACTCGAGCAGACGCTACAGGACCTCAGCCAGGACCTCGAGGACATGGTGGAGAGCGTTAAGGTGGTCGAACATGACCCCTACCGATTTGGGCTTGAGATTGATGAAGTCGAGCGCCGGAGAACTCTGGTCAGGGATGTTGGGTACGAGATCGAGAATATGCGGGAGGAGCTCCAGCAGACGGTCCAACATGCCAAAAACAAGGGCAAGAGCACTGCAAACGGCGACGTGCTACCCGACCCAGACAGTTTTGAGGACGATGACAACTATGCTGCATTTGAACAAGAGAGGCAAATGGAGTTGATGCACGAACAGGACGAGGCGCTCGATGGTGTTTTCCGCACTGTTGGCAACTTGCGCCAGCAGGCCGACGACATGGGCCGCGAACTCGAGGAACAGGGCGAACTGCTTGCTGACGTTGACAATGTGGCTGACCGGGTTGGCGGAAAACTCCAGACAGGCCTCCAGAAGGTAGGCCATATCATCAGGAAAAACGAAGGTATGTTATGTGGTGCAAACTTTTATCGCAATGCTGACTATCCCCCTCAAGACTCGTGGTCCAGCTGCTGTATCGGCGTACTAATATTCGTCCTTATACTCCTACTTGTCCTCCTTCTGTTCCTCTGAAAGCGCGACAGGAATAGGTCTCTCACCTCGGCCCGGCCCGATGCATGTCTTCCCGCATGCGCATGTGCCCAGCTTCCAGCACTCGAGAGAGCTTGCTGGCTAGCTTTGCGCCTGCGATATCATTATCATATCCTCCTTTCAGCGAGTCGTACCATGCATTCTACACTTGGCTAACACGAAGTGAAGTTGCTTTTTCGCGCACTTGACTTCGCAGGTCTACCTATGCCTGGCAGTAATGACGACGATTCCGAGAAGCTATCACAAACGTGATTTAGTCTGTCATCTCAGCTACTTGGCTTAATTTGGACTATGTTATGCTCCGGGATATCCCTCCGGTTCTTGCATAATCGCTTTCCCGACGTGGTAAAGTCGCAAATGTGCTTCACAAAGCCGATTACCACCCAAACATGCACGAATCGCATCTGGAAGAGCTTGCATCGGAAGCAAGACTCGATACAAATCGCATTTGGTAGTGCTGAAGAACTGTCACGGTTGCCAATCGTTGTTGGGTACTGGCAAGACCACGTTCACCCATGGGTTTTACGATCGCCAACACGCGCTGTCTCATCATCGTCCAGCTCTTTCATCCACTTTGATAAACAATTGGCTGGGATACCTGGCGTCACATCACATCGTATAGGGCTGAACTAGTCATGTTGCATACGTAGCGTTGCTTCTGAGACGCAGCCTGTGTGAGATCTTTAACACATTCATGCAACCCTTCGAGGAAGCCCACCTTAGTCATTACTTGCAGCTTCCCGTGTCATTCAATCCTCTGCTACTACAGTCACACTGTTTTAAATTTACAATCAATGTATTGGCTCAAATCCACTTGTCTCTCTCCCGCCTTCATACGTTCCCGTTCATGTGATGGCTGGACGGGGCCGCAGCGGTAGCAACGCTGACCAGTCATCCACAACGACCACCGAAGCCCACTTGAAAGGCACGCGCCGGAAGATTTCTCTCGTTTTCATCACAGTCATTCTTAATATACTGCTTTGGAGCGCTATCATTTGCATCGCAGCATCCCTCTATCAGATCATCTCAGATCCATTTAATACTTCAAGCTACGCCCAAGTGGCTTTAACGATAATATCGGTACGTGGACCCAATATTTTGGTACAAACGACCGTATACTGATATATATATATATAGGCCCTAGTGACGATTGGATACACCATCTTTCATTCAATTCTTTCACTGAAGCAGAAGCTATGGGAACAACAACGGCGATATTCGGTCGCTATGAAAAGGAATTCTACTGTTCCTACTCGTATAGCAGGATCAATGTGTGCATTCTGGTTGCTGACTTCCGGCTGGGACATGATACTGGTCGCAAGCACACCTGTCTGTTTACCAATGGCGCCAGGGCTGGACAGCTCGGAATATGGCCTCACCTGTCATATTAGTCGTGTGGGAATAGCTTTTGCGGTAATCTCACTGTAAGCAGCATCCCTGCATGGCGGTCTATATGCTAACAACCGCCTAGTACTGCGTCAATTGCCCTCTTGGGTATTCTCGCTGGTATTGGCCGTCCGTTCGAAGCGCATTTGCTCAACCACGGTTACCAGCCGCCAATCGAAGTGTACTCAAAACCCTATACTCCCGGACCATCTGATTCGGAGGTTGTCATGTATCAATCTCATGAGTATTTCGAGAGGCCAAAGTCTTTGCATGAGATTAAAGTCCCCAACCCTTCGGACGCTGATTCAGATTTGCCCAATCCAGAGGATGCTCTGCTACGCGCAATCATGTCACCTCCTTATACAGTGTTTTCTCCCCGAAGAGGCGTTTTCACGTCGCATCATACGCCGCCGCCCATTCCTGCCGAGTACGCTGCTCCACGAAGAAACTCATTACCTGGCACCTTTCGAGTAGCATCCCAGCCACACAGATATCAAAAGTCACTTGCAAACTCGTCGCGATCTTTTGTATCTGGTATAATCCCAGGCTCCACACGGCAATCATTACCTGCGCACTTTTCGACAGAGACATGGCGCGTTGCCCATCCCAACCCAGCGTCACTATCACTATTGGCTCATTCTCATCCCGAAGTTGTTAACCGCAGGTTTTCCTCCTATCAGAGTTCTTATTCTCGCCATTCGATGACACTCACTCGCCCACAGCGCCTGAGCTATCATTCAACTGCTCCAAGTGTTCGTTCACAATCTGAACATACAAACTCAGATCGTCGAAGTAACTCGTTAACGAGAGGCAATTCAAGTGAAATAGCGCGTGCCTTCATGCAAGGTCTACCTATGCCCGCACCTGCCCATCCCGCTAACCACCCTCGCAACATCCGCATAACAACTACCCTCGATACCGGATCCGCTCAAAAGCAGCTGCACCGTATGAGCGCTCCCCTCCCAACCAACACCACACAAGACTCTCCACCCGTATTCCCCAACCCAGACAGACCTTACATCCGCAGCGCCTCCCCAGGCTTCCTCAGCTTCTTCAGTCCCGACACCAGTCCTGTCGACACCTCCCCTACGGACGCCAGCCTCCCAACCACCACCCTCACCCCCACCACCAACAAACCCAAGCACAACATCCCACGCAAACCTGTCCCACTCTCCCGCCGCCCTTCGGAAGCCGCAAGAGCTATGTTCAGCAACATGCCTGAGGACTTACCGATTCTTCCGCGATCGCCCAGATCGCCCAGATCCCCCGGTGCGACGATGCTGGTTATGATGACGCATGGGCCTGTCAAGCAGAAGAGGATGAGTGTGTATGAGGAGGTGAAGAACAAACCATTGCCCCGGATTGCGATTTTATAGGCACGTGGAGGGAATCCGTGGTTGATGGAGATTTACTTTGCATTTTGAGCGAAGTTTTGATTTAGACATTGCGTGGAGCTTGGGAATGGTGTTCATGATGGTGTTACGGGGTTGCTTTTGGAACTATGTATGTGTATAATGCATAATGACTCTCATGTCTTCGTCTATTTCTTTGGTGCGTCGCTGAAAGGAGGGAGGGGGTGGTTTACGGGATGAGAGTGTGAGTGGGGAATGCGGTCCGCTTCTGCGTCCGAACGACATGGGGGCTTTGCTGATGCAAAATGATTGGTGAGCCAGAGGCGTTGTTTTACGTTATTGGGTTGGCGTGGTTGGAGTAGGTGTAAGATGATGCGGTGGCGTGGCTTGCTGAGGACAGGGGGACGGGCGTTCTTTTAGCTCTGTGTGGGTGGAGGTGTTTCGGTCTGAAGCGAACAGTGGTTCGTCATGGATCAAGTGGAGAGAGCCACACTGTATATTTTAGGACAAAGATGACAGATCGTTCGAACTGTTCTTTTGTAACGTTGGTCGTGCTGAAACACGGCGCAGATGAGGCTAAGCTGATAGAAGCCATCTCCTCTTCTAGAAAACTGAGCTAGTATCATATTATGAAACCTTTGAGAGTACGATTAGTGATGCTGACCGCCCGACCCCCACGCTGGCTCTCTGAATTCACTCATGTTTGTAAGGGTGCAGTGCTGGGTAGACACATACAGTGTGCCCCATCGAGGTATTACGAGCGCTGTGGAAGGTGTCTGTAGCTCCCAAGTACGTACATACTCGTTGCTACTACTGTCTCCCCGATCCTCCAGCTCAGTTGCGGCGGGGTTGGACTACACCTATGAGTCTCACGGTGTCGCCTGAACTACCTGTATACCATTTGGGGACATGTCCTGCAACTTCTCGAGTTTGGCGGGTGGACTATAAGTCTCGCGAGTGCTATATGGACTGGCCCTACCGGATCGGATTTAGAGAATCCATGAGACAGATCCTCGATACCAAATTGGGCTTAGAAAATCTATCCCTCCGATCCTCTAAGCTTAATACAGTTCGGAGAATCGGGGACATAGATCCTTGAAACCCAATCCGGTGTTGGTGATCTGTCTGGAGGCCTGCCAGTGCAGTACAAATCTCCACCTGGAGTGCCGGGAATAGGTTGAAAGGTTGTGAATGGTGGGAAGGAGGATGGGTATGGCTCAGAGACTTAAAGGTAGTATGCTAGAGCTAGTGTCGCTGCAAGATGTATCGAAGTAGTCGTCATAAAGCGGTATGTCAAAGACGCAGATGCAAATGGGTAGTGAAGAGATGTAACTGCCTTTGCTCTCTCTTCGCGTTGCATCGCTAAACAGACAGCGTGCGATTCACGGCTGTGCAGGGTGAAAGTGCCAGGTGATATGATGTTGAGTACCCATAAAGAACAACAAAAGAGACCTACTCTTCACACAGTCCATCCTAATAATGAACTTAAGGATAAGCAAGAAAATATTCCCACTCAATGCATTGCCAGATACAAGCTGCACGTGTCACAACAACCTCAAAATATTCTCGCTATCAAATGCACCACCATATCAAGAGTAGATCCAACGCCAATGAGATTAGAGATCTCCAAAATTGTGATATGCGAAACGGCGAGAGAATTCAGGCCTCCCACTCGCGTAATACAATGTATAAAAGTTTTCTTGCTAGAATGTGGACAATGTGCAATAGGATCGTGTGGTCGCCTATATATCACTACGCATATTGGACCGAGGCTCACTACCAACACAGCACCAAGAGTTTACTAAACAACCGAGTATGATATGACACTTATTACATATCAACATCGCAGCTTTTCCCTAGTTGAGGCATAAGAATGATGACAGCTCAAAAAGGCAACCAGTGGCGTCTGACAGCCAAGACTAGATCATGACCTTGACCTGTCTGTTCGTGTAACATATGTAAGATCCCACGTGGAGAACCGCGCGTCAGTGTGCCGCGATGCGTGGGTTGGCCCTCGACTCTACGTTAATGTGTGTGTTGGTTCGGGCGGATTTTCTGTGCATGCGATCGCTGCCGGGGCTTGACCTGGTATTCGGGTCGATGCTGCAAGTGCCAGTGGTGGGCAGATAAGAAGCACTTCAATGTAAGATATGTTTCTCGATCCAGTAGGAATTTTTCTTCAATTAAAATCTATTGGTGTAAGTGAACGAGAGATGAATCAACATCTCCTTCGCAATGTGCTCCAATATTAAGCACAGCTAACGACACAACTCTCTAGCCATGAATCTGACTGCTCATTAGCCCACCCCAGGCATTCTTCTCATGTCATGGAAACATTCAGCATCACTTGACTCCCTCAGTTTTCCACTGCTGATATCAGCTCAGCCTGCACTAAAAAACTTCATCGACATCATCTGCTCTCTATCCAACCAACATCGCTTCGAGAACAGCTGCGCCACCAACCATTAGCAAGCAGAGGTTAAGGAACGTCACCAAAGTTGGTGGAAGTCCTCCTTCATGATAGTGACACAGCAGAGTAGTACGTAAGAAGATCTTAAGCAAAGAAACCATATAAAGCAGACACCGCTCACCCACATCTACAGAACATCATCTATCCAGTTACTTCATCTTATCTCAACACTCCACTATCCAATCAAACCCCTAAACCCCAATTTTCAAAATGCAATTCACAACTCTCACCGCCCTCCTCGCCACTGCTCTCGCCGTGAGCGCCACCCCCCTCCAGCAAGACGTCACCAAGCGCCAGGACGGCGGTGTCCCCCGCGTCTACGCCCGCTTCTACAACGACGGCGGCTGCGGTCCTTCTCCCTGGGCCGAAGACACCGTCTTCATCCAATCCGAGACGGTCGGGCTGGCCGGATGCCAGGATCTGACTGTTGGGCCGTTTGCTAGCACTTACTTTGATACCAACAACTTTAGCAGGACTGGTGAGTTGCTATTTTCACAGGAGATGAAAGTGGGTGGGAGAGGGGAATGATGAAAATGCTGATTGAGATTTACAGTTCGATTCTTTAACCTTCCTTGCTCCCAACTTACTTCTACGACGAGTGGAAACTTCGTTGATATCAAGCCTGGTCAGCAGCCTGGATGCCAGAACTTGGCTATTAGGTCTTGGATTACTTTGTAAGCGGCTAGTATCTGTCATTTAGATGCTGAGTGGTTGGGGGAAGCGAGGAAGTTGGGCGAACACAAGAGCGTGGAGAGTGAGAGAAGTTGGAAAGTGGACGATTGATGGTGGCAGAGTCGGGTCCAACACTCCGGCCAGCTCCACTAGGAGTGTTTTACTTTCCTTATTTCGTAGTCACTCATTAGGATAATTTTAGAGATTTTGGGGACGCCCCCCTTTTGTTCTAATACTTATTGATACGGTTTGGGGAAGTGTAATGTTGTGTTGAAAGGATATGAGAGAAGTTCAGTATGAGATTGAGTGAAATGGAGTTGTGGAGACTTGCGAGTACTCGTTGAAATCTAAAGTTTGCTGCAATATCAGAAAGTGACAGTGAAAGACCCGGACACAGTTGTCCGCGTTGAACCGCTACCAGCTCCTATTACAAGTCGGTGAGCGCTCGTTTGATTGGCCCGTGATACTGGTCCTAGTGAAAGGCCTTGATGAAAATCTGCATATGATTTTAGTTCTGTGCCAATTTCACGCCTATCAGGCATTCTTTTGGACTTACTCGTTTGTCCTTGACAAAGGAATCCACGCCGCCGCACACCCCATCCCTTACCTATATATATCCCGCTCCCACCTCAATCTTTCTTCTCTTGCAATTAACCCATTATAAAGTAATCCAACCTCAAAAAACCCAAATAACCATGCATTTCCTTTCTCCCGTTCTCGCCCTCAGCGGTCTCTTCGTCGCCAACACCATGGCCGCGCCTACCAACCCCCAGCTCCCCTCTCTCGCCATTCCCAACCCCAACTCAACTACTTACGAAGCTGATCTCACAGCTGTGGTGTCTTATGCTCGTTCTCACCCCGCTTCAGTCACCGCTATGGACACCGTCAATACTGCTGCTTCCATGAAGACGTGCGGCGTCTACAGCAAAATCGCGAACCGCTTTACTACCCCTGCGTACATGACCGGCATGACCTGCAGCAACACGGATGAGAAGGAGCATATGGAATACTTTTACAATTGGTATTGCGGGTTCTGTGTTGTCTTCCATGGTAAGTCTAACTCTATGAGCACAGGAACAAATGTCAGACTTGGAAATATAATGCAGTCGGCTAACGTGGGTGACATAGGTCTTGGTTGTCAGGGCGATATTCGCTGGAGTGGTGGACCGAAGTTTCCCCCTAACGATAGGCACCCTGTCCATGGTGCTCAGAGTTATTTCTGCTACTAGCATATGGGTCGAAGTGACGGGCTTGGACGATGAACCCCACTTTGGTTTTCTTGAGACAAGATCTGGAGACATGGCAGGGTTGTTCGGAATGCTCGAGTTCGTGCTGATCTACATGGGTATGGTTAGAGACAGTGAACCAAGTCTACACTTGCCAAGCCATGGCCTAGGCATGGTTCTCTGGAAAAGGGAGAGTAAACAGGATGTATACTCCAAGATTGATCATTGAACAGGTAGATATTTTCAATAGATAGATATATCCAACAAGATAGAATTCTAAACTCACTCTTAGAGCGTCCATAACATTTACTTCTTGCCTTTCTTCTTCGTATCCCCCTCTTTACTATCCTTTGCGAAGCCACCTAATACCAGAGCCTCTCTAGCCGCAGTGTTGATGATACGAAATCGATCTGGACCGAGTAAGATTCCACCGTACCACCGAGTCACAACAACCATTACGTTCCATACATCCATGAGCTGCATCAGGTGCAGCATGCGCGAGCCAGCAGCGGTCTCGCCATCGTCATCGCAGTCCTGATAGCTCGTATCATTCGGACCCTTGATGCGCCACGCAGTCATATTATGTGTCGCGCGAGCGGCTTTCTTGTCGGTCGCAAGAAGGTGCGCAACATATTGTCTGGCCTGGGCCGGAGACGACACTGGTGCTACACGGGCTAAAAACACCGATTTCTTCTCGGTAAGAGCGGGTGCAATAATCCACGGAGGCTCTGGCCCAAGGTCAACTGTTGGATCAGAGAGACCATGGCCATCGTGGTCGTCTTCTACATCTGCATTTTCATGCTGGTCATGCAATTGAAGATCCCCCTGCTCTTCGGCTTGCTCCAAGGCTTCTCTTGCCTCTTCTAGCAAATCGTAAATGCACGGTTCTCCCGGTTGATATACTCGTGCGAGGACGTCTCGCACTACATCGACAGCCCGGCTACCCATACCCTTGGGTACATCCTGGCCGACAGACTGAGTGCCTAGCACTGATGGAGGGGCATCTGGATAGTCTTCCGGAAACTCTATGCGCAGGATAACTGAAGGCAGAGACGGCAGGCGTAGACTGTACAGTCTCGCATGTTCATCAATGGGTGATAGAGTGCCTTCATCGAAGATGGCGTTGAGGGAGGTGACCTCATCTTGGATGGCGTCGTTGGTAGACATGGTTGTGGTGGCTGCAACCAAATTGGTGGGGGTGCACAAGATCGGCAGGCGCGCTAGGCTTAGCGTCTTGTGCGCGCAACCGTCGTCCTGTTGGAAACTTGACTGTCGCGTTCAACTCCCTTTCTCGTCCACACTCGCCTCTCAGTCGAACCTCTGTCGCATTGTTGTTCACGTCGCCTATCATGGCTCCCAGCGATGATGCCAAGCGCGCGACGACTATACTGACGATTGCACAGTTGAAGTTCAAGCAGGCCATCAAGAAAACAGACAATGAAGACCGGCTCCCACCTGTGTCAGTGGAAGTCAGCTCGCAACTCTTCAGCGGCATAGATGCTGTTCTTCAGCAGAACACGCGCGTGAACGTCCAGGTATCCTACTATGAAGCCATCGACCACATGTATCCGGGAGCAGACTAATTCGCCCACCGTAGAAATGCACAGAATGGATTGTGAAGCACATAGCTCCCTCCAAGGCCCGCATCGCTCTTCTCGGAGACTATCTGATTTCTGTCTCAAAGTCCATTGTCCTAGACCTGAACAACCCCGTAGTGGCACAGAAGGCAGTCCGGAACCGGATGGACCTTTTACTGATTATCAACGATGTTCTCCATACTGACAAGTTTCATCGTCGTAGTGCCATGAAGCAGGGCGTATTTGGCGACGTGTGTGGCAGTTTTGTCGCTGAGCTGATCGAGCAAGCCGCCACGTGCATGATTGAAAAGGACCCGCAATCCGAGAAGAAGCTGAAAGCCATTATCAACTACTGGGCTGTCAACCAGCTTGTCACCACAGATTGCCTAAAACTATGTAGAGACAAGGTAGACGAGGCACTGTCTATAGCACATGGTGGTACACCGGTTCGAAAGCGCAACTACCTTTTGCCCGAGTATCATGGCGACAGGACTGCCCCATGGTACGATCTCCCCGCCTCGTATATGCTTGAGCCCATGATCAAGCACCCGAACCGCCCGATCGACCCTTCGCAAATCAAAATTCAGAAGCTAGACAAGAAGCCTGTCTCTCCACACGTCCGTAATCTGCTCGACAATTTCTTTGAGAAGATTGATCTCAAATACAGACCGACTGGTGACAATCCAACTGGCGAGACTGCAAAATACAAACTTTCTTTGGACCCTATGGGGCAGCTGGTCAAACAGGACAAGGAAACTGGCGAGACGACAACGGTAGCGAACGGTTATGGGTGGTCAATGAAGTTCTGTCAAGATATGCAGAAGCATGGTGTTCCAGAGAATATAAAGATCGCACGGGAAGATATCGAGCGCATGGAGAGTGGTGCACAGTTTGCGCCAACCAGGTCCACAGCTCGTGACGCACGACGCAGTCACCGGTCGCCTTCATCGGGTTCAGACTACAGACGAGGACGGCGACATCACAGTCGGAGCCGCAGCCGTACCCGCCATGGTTCAGAGTCGTCTTATGATAGCCGTCGATCACCTCGACGGTCAAGATCCGGCGCTGGGATGCAAGAACACCGCAAATCTTCCCCCAAACCAACACACAAAGGCCATGACCAATCTCGACAGCCACCAAGATCACAGGATAGAGACGGAGGTCAGAACAGAAGCGCTCATGGTAGTCCAGGTAATCAACCATACCAGGCTTCAGCAATTCCACCCCAAAACTTCGGACAGTCGTACTCTCAATCGCCTCAGCCATCATTCAATGCGCCTTCCTTCCCACCGCCACCACCGGGTCAGTTTCCGATACCAATGCCGCCCTTCGGGATCCCACCGCCGCCTCCACCGCAATTCCAGGGAGCGGGTGCCTTCGTCCCGCCCCCTCCCCCGCCAAACTACACAGGCCCGTGGCCTCCTCCACCTCCAAATATGAGCGTACCACCAAACAGTTCACAACATGGTAATCAGTTTGGGAACAGCAACAATGGATCCTATAATCAGAACCAGGGCGGCTATCAGGGAGGACGTGGTTATGGTAGTCCGCAACGTGGAGGCTACAACAACAACAGGGGTAGCTGGAGAGGTACTGGACGTGGCGCGCGATACTGAGACTCAGCTGCCTTTACTGTAATTGTATACCTGTCCGCTCTATTTGTGTACTTTTGAATCAGACCCTGTGTAACGGCGGATTGGAGCAAACTGCGCAGAGCGATTGCTTCTCCTAAAGGTCTTAGATTTAATTAATTTAAGGTTTCTATATTGCCTCCTCGATCTCTATCACTCGTTGTTGTAATCTTTTATTCATTTTGCATAGTGCAAATTATGCAATATTATATAGTGAAATAAGTGAGTGAACTCTTTCTCATCGGTGAGGTGAGGTGATGTCACTGGTGAAGGCCGAGAACAATACGCACCGGCACGCAATCACGCGCCAACGCGTTCGCGTGGTTCGTGGCCAGGGCCAAACCAACCAGCGCCCGGATAGTCCCGCCTTTACCACCATGGTTATTCATTGAATATCGCCCATTGTTCCCAATATATATTTTCACTCACCATGGCCACAGACAGCCCCAAACTCACCACCAACGGATGACGTTGTGTATAGCAATGGCACAATCTACTAGTAAAAGAAAACGCACTCAGACCAGAACGAAGCCGAATAAACGACCCAAATACGTCGATTTCAGCGAAGGCGAACCCGACGATAATTCCAAGCTTTGGGAGGCAGAGTGTATTCTTGAAGAGCGCATCGTCAAGGGAACCAAGAAATACCACATTAAATGGAGAGGCACAGACCCGAGTACTGGAAAAGCGTGGCCGGCTACTTGGGAACCCGAAGAGAACGCGAACGACGAACTGGTGGCAGATTGGCTGCAGCGAAAAGCGCAGCGGACAGCGCAGGAACCGGGTGGTAGCAGAGGTCGCTCAGCACAACGAGCAGAGGCTCAGACATCAAGGCGCATTCGCAACTCGCGGGTCATTGATATTTGTCCAGAGTCTACCACTTCCGACCCCTCCCCTTTGGAGCCCTCCACGCCTTCCCATAATAGAGCCGCCTCGAGAAATCTGTCCCGCGCTGCGAATTCGCCTCTTGGTATTGCAACGAACTCTGGGCGAGTCTTGCGGGTTTCGCCTCGCATACGTATACGCCGACGTGGACAGAGTCTAGAGCGAACCAAATTCGAGCGAGTCTCGCAACTACCGTTATCACAACCTCCTTCTACACAAGAACCTACACAGGCGCATAGCCAGGAAACCGACCTTGACCACGACGGTTCACAGCTCATTTCTGCAAGACCAGAACCATACTCGTCCGGCATCGTTCCCGACTCGCAGAGCTCTACTGGTGAGGCCAGCTTTATACCCATCACACAACAAACGGAAGGCATCAACCAGAAGAGTACTGGCTCTAGCAGGGTGCTGGAAGACGACGGAGAAGAAGATCTTGCAGACGATTCGGTACGTTCGCAATAGCACATGCAAAAAGTGGCTTGCTTTACTTTGCTAACGGATATACATACACAGGGGCTTCTTGAAATTGTGCAAGGAGCAGCGTTGCAGGTCATATCACCCACGAGGTCAATTCCAGAAACTATAGCAGATACAACAGTTGTAGATTCGCAGAGTCAGCATCAAAGAGTTGCAGCTCCGGGTGCGCTTGAACTTGTGCAAAGCCTACCACAGGCTGGACAAGTCACAACTCAAGACCACAGGGAATCTGAAACTGTCCAAAAGCCCCATACGGGCGCTCTGATTTCTACAGGACACAACACATCAAGTAGTGATTTACTTCAGCAACTCCAGGAACACGTTCCTCAGACACAGACATCAACGGAGGCTGCGGAGAACGGTCCACTGGAATTTGTCGATATAGAAGAGATTCCTGTATCACCAAGGAACTCGTCTGCACTCAGTGACAGCCAGACGTCTCAGACTGACAGACGCGAGGCAAACAGCGATCCTCTACCAATTGTTACTGGTGCCTCTGGTGAAGTCACGCAACCCGACGCAGTCCAACAACTCGGTGGTCGCGATAGTAGCCAGCCAAGCCTAGCCGAGCGTCCAGTTACAGACGACGATCAGTCTCCATCCTACTCCCAATATCCAATCACTGATTTCGCGCAACAAGCACATTCACCAAGTTTGGCTTCCCAGCCAGATTGTCGCATTGCCAGGTGTAGTTCGCATCAACCTGCAGGTGTTAGTGCGACGCTAGAAGCCCAAAACAGCCAAGCGCTGCTCACTGGGCCAGGTGCTCCAAACAAGACCACCTCAGATCCGTCTTACAACCGTCCACACGAACTAGTAGCATTGCCGTTGAACAGTCAGGTCTGCGACAACGATTTGTACAAACAACTACTGACATCGAAATCTATCCGCAGCCTGTCTCCTGCATCGGAAGCAGAGCCGGGGCCAAGTTATTGTTTAGAGGAGCGCGAGCAGAACGCGCAAGTCGTGTCTTTAGAAGCTGTCCTAAGTACACAAGAGGACACGGCTGACGATATCCGAATCACGATTGAGAAGGATTACGCCGAGGATAGGGCCAACTCAGAATCACGCCACGACTCTTCACAAGAATCACCAGAGCGACCAATTCAGTCCTTGGACCACAGTTCGTCTCCGGTCCCATATCCACCAAGCTACTCATTGAAAACTCAAGAGTCACAAATTCCCCCACGACCCTACACCCCCGTTCCAACATCATCTGCATCTAGCATGGCGGGTGAAAGCTCCGCAGACATTGTCAAGCGACAGTTGGAAGAGGCCCTGGCTAAACAAATGGCAGAGAATCCTTACATCCCAAGGAAACGACCCAACAGATCATCTACTGGTGCATCTGTTTCAGTAGCTGAGGTTTCAACCACTCCCGCTAAGGCGAGCAGATTGCTAAGAACAGCCGAACAGGAAGGCACACGATCTCCCTCGGCTGTGCCAGACCGCTCGCCAGCCATGCAGGTACCCACCTCGCTAAGGACGGTTGCATATGCTCCTAGTATACCCCAAGCGGCGTCCCCGCAGGATGAGACCATGGCCTCAACATCGGGTGCTCATTCAGAAACCGCTGATGCTGATGCCGAAGCTGCAGCAGCCACCGAGTCCGCAGCACCAGATGTACAACCGTCTGTTGGCTCCGAAGACATGGACGTCAGCGATGCAGATGATGAGGATAGTGAGAGCCTCTTGAACGACGATCTGCAGCTTGCAGAGCAAGAGTTCATTATACCCTTGTTCATCCAAGGGCGACAAAGTGACATGTACTCTCAGCACATTGCGCTCAAGAAGGACACCTTGGAAAAGTTTCTCGAGGGCCCCCACAGCGTAGAGCCAATCTCGCAAGTAGAAGAGATTCTGACATACCTCCGCGCAATAGAAACACATGTCGACTTGGTCTTTGCCGAAGCTGGGTCTGGACTCTTGAACGATGAAATGTCAATGACGCAGGCTGCACATGCCGCCCAGTTTGGTATAGAAAACTCGACAAAATTCAGGTTTTTGCATAAGCTCTTTCATCATTTACGGGATTCCGACATTCAAAAGCACATCGTGTTGGTCACTGAGAAGGACGATGATGCACTCTTCAACATTCTTGAAACATTTTGCGAGGCGAAAAATATCAATTACAATATGCCCACCAGAGGCCACCGGACGGATCCGACAGAGGTCGAGGGAGAGTTGCAAGCCACCATCATCCCAGGCAATGCATCTCCCGTGATGCGCCCTGCTGATCTCATCATCTGTCTTGATGGCTTCCAAGATGCGACACAGATCCGCAAGAAGAACTGGGCCAGGTCTCCCGAACGTGAGGTTGTACCGGTAATCCATCTTGTTATCCCTAGGACTGTTGGACACATTGAGCGCTACATTGCGCCGAGTCTGGGCCCAGTAGAGCGTATGCATACTATCCTGGCAAGTCTAGCGCACGTTCGCCCAGACATCGGCAAGGCTATTGACGAGGACACACCACGGGACATTGTTTGTGCATCCTTGGTTGCTGAATGGCTCATGGACACGACAGAGGGTGCAGAGCAAAGCTGGCCGATACCATCTATTGGTAGTATCAAGGATGTCATCGAGTACCAGACGCAACTATCACAGCCCTTGGCGAACTCTCCGGTGCCTGAACGTATCAAGCGGCCTTTGTTGGTAAGTATTGCTACCAGAGATTATTAGACCAGCATCATTAACATGTGTATAGGACAAAGAAGAGCTTGATCCTTCGAAGCGGATGCGGTTCACTCCTCAGCCACAGCCAGTTCAGAGCTCTGGTTCAGATCAAAACAATGAGACCACGCGTATCAGTGATTCCATGCCTAGCACTGCAGCATATGAATCAAATCTGCAGAAACGTCTAGCTCAGCTGGAAGAAATGTACCATACAGAACGTGAAGCGCGCAGAGCAGAAGAGAAACGCTTCCGCGAACATGAGGAAGCATGGGACAAGCAACAGACAGTCCATGAGAACTTGGCGCGTGAATATCGCCTTTTGCTAGGCAAGCAGCAAGCAGCAGAGAAGAAGCTTGAAACTCTGCAAAGCAGCAACACTACTCTCACCGAACGCCTCACCACCCGCACCTCCGAGCTGCGCTCACTCGAGAAACAGCTCGAAGAGCAACGCGCCACACACCTCCTCTCCGCTGACGCCCAAATCGTCGAAATAACCAAACTCCGCAAAGACCTCGCCACCGCTCACCAAGAAAAAGAAAAAGCAATCAAAAACGCAGCCACCACCGACAACATGCTCGAATACACCCGCACCGCATACCAAGACGCGCAAAAAGCCGCCGCAACAGCAAACACGCGCATCGCAGACCTCGAAGCCCAAGTCACTAAACTCACCCACGCCGCGTCAGGCCAAGCCGTTAAATTAAAAACAATGCATCTCGACCGCAACTACGAGGCCCAAGATCGAAACATCAAAGCGCTCAAAGCAGAGTTGGGCATCGTTATGAAAGCCCTACAGAATAAAGATGAAGAAATTACGCGACTCAAGAGTATGGGGAGACCCGGCGTGGGGACCAGGGGCACGAGTGCTACGCCTCAGCCGAAGATTCGGTCGAGGGCTGGGAGTCCGAGTTTGGTGGGCGGAAGATTGTCGAATTTGAGGAATGGGTAGTTGGTGGATATGTGGGGGTTTTTGGGGAGGCGTAGGGTTGAGTGGGGTCGAGTAGTAGTAATAGTAATAGTAGTAGTAGTAGTGGAAGTTGGTCGATTGACTCGATGGGGTGGGGGGGGGGGGGGGATTATAGAGGAAAACGAAAGGAAGCCGGGAGCTTCAGGATTCATGATGTATATGCTGGCGTTTGAAAATGAATATTTTTTTGTTCATGTGGTTGAAGTATAGTCGATTTTGCTGTGAGGTATCGAGTGTGGATGAACGTGGAGGAGCTTACTGGGTTGTACATCTCATCCATATGAGGTCAGGACAAGCTCAATTCACAAGACAAAATACGCACAGGCAGAAACAATAGGACTCAAAATGGCATCAAACAGGATTTGATTTGGATTTGGCTGAGCACAAGGCCCATCACAGCCACATATATCGTAATTCATTCAATAGTACCTAGGGCACTATGAGAGGGAGAGAATGAGAGACCAAGGTCGATCTAACAATAAAGCACAACAACACAAACAACAATTTAGTACCAAAGATAGCCAACTCTTGCCTCTTTACTTCTCCCGCATAACGGGAGCCGCACCACCAAGCCCAGCCCTGGCCTCGGCATCCTCACGGCTAATGACGCGGTGAGCACCAGACCAGATACCAAAGCTGCGCTTGATAGCCTTCCAGGACTCAATCGCCGAGACGTAAATGACGACGCAGCCAAATGACACGCCCCACTCCCAGGTGATGGAGGCGTGCTTGAAGACCTTCTTGTTAATGACAGGGAGGTAGACAATAGGGAAGACGACGATAAGACCAGCCATGACGGCGAAGAAGAGGAAGCGGTTACGCCAGAGGGTGGGGAAGACAGAGAGACCCTTTGGAGCACCATGCGAGGAGTTGGGGTACATGTTGAAGAGTGAGCGAGAGAAATGCTTGACTTCCCATGCAGTGACAAGCAAAAGTAAGGTGATGGTTGCGTAAGTGGTTGCGCGCGCGCGGAATGCGACGTCGCAGGTGTCGTTGTAGCCTTCGTTACAACCGTGGCCGAGGTCGCCACCGCCGGGGCCGACGTAAGCAACAATGGCGAAAGAGAAGAGACAGAGGGCACCCATGAAGAAACCGTAGATGAACTTGTCGGTGATGAGCTCGGCGGAGAAGACACCCTTCTTGTTATCATGGGGTGGGCGGAACATGCTGTCTTCCTGTGACTCTTCAAGACCAAGACCAATGGCGAGGAAGGACGAGGTGATGAGGTTGACCCAAAGAATCTCAATGGGAGACAGCGGGAAGACGGAGTTGTTTTCTCGATCCTTGAACGCAAGACCGATCAGGAGAAGGATGACCTGGGCAATGTTCGAGATGAGAAGATGCATAAGGAACTTCTGGATGTTGTCGAACAGACGTCGACCTTCTTCAACAGCCTTGACAATGGAAGCGAAGTTATCGTCAGTGAGAACCATCTCAGCAGCATCCTTGGCGACGTCGGAACCAGTACCCATAGCCATGCCGACGTTGGCTTGCTTAAGGGCTGGTGAATCGTTGACACCATCACCAGTCATGACACAGAAGCGGCCCCTACGGTGAAGGGCCTGAACCATCTTGACCTTGGTCGTCGGGCTACATCTGGCAATGACAAGAGGAAGAGACTCCATGGCATCGACCTCTGCATCAGTCATTCTATCAAAGTCCTTGGCGACCATGATGGCTGAGTCAGGTGTAAACTCGTCGATGATTTCCACATCCTTGGCAATGGCTTTGGCAGTACCGGGGTGGTCACCAGTAAGCATGTGAACAGTGATACCAGCAATCTTGCATTCGCGAACAGCACCCTTGGTCTCAAGGCGTGGCGGGTCGTAAATGGCGACAAGACCAAGGTAGTTGAGCTTTGATTCGATGACGTCACGTTCAGAGATGTCGGCATTGGGCTGGAGAGGCTTGTGGGCAATGCAGAGAACACGCAGACCTTGGTTAGCCATATTCTCAGCGGCTTCGAGGATGTCGGCCTTTTCTTGCTCGGTAACATCAAGGGCCGGCATCATGAATTCAGTTGCACCCTTGGTGTAGACATCCATGTGTCCAGTGTGGTTGTCCTTGTAGATGACACTCATCTTCTTAACCTTGGAGTCAAAGGAGAACTCGGTAGCAAGATGGATGTTGGAGGTGGCGAGGGCTTGTTCTTTTCCCATGTTGAAGCGGGAAGCGAGAATGTGGAGAGCCACTTCAGTGGGCTCACCATGCGCTGCCCAGATTCCCTCTGACACACCCTGCGTGATGGCAGTAGGTGGACGGGAGATGGTATCAATGGTAGATGCGTCGGTGTCGCGTTCGTCTCCGCTCGTGGCATGGTCGAAAGCAGCTACCTTCTTGTCGCTTGAAGGCTCGAGGCGTATCTCGGACGGTGGGATAACCTTTGAGTTGTTGCATAGAGCGATGGTGCGCAAGAAGCGGTTGAGGTGGGCGTCTGGCCTGAAGTCATCAATGTTGATGGCCTGGTTATTTAGAGCGACGTTACCGCTAGTAGGATTGTGAGGATCAGTGATTTCATCGACAGTGAATGTTCCGGAACCACGGACAAGAGCCGTCTTGGCGACCATGCGACCTTGGGTAAGAGTACCAGTCTTGTCGGAGCAAATGTTGGTTACACCTCCAACAGCTTCAATGGCGGACTGGACTCGAGTGATGACATTGGCCTTTGCCATGGCCTTGCCACCAACAGCGATGGTGATGGTCAGGACAGCAATGAGCGATTCTGGGATGACGGCGACGGCAACACAGATACCATAGATGAGGACCTCACTGTTAACATCCCACTTGCTTGCAGAGAAGACAATGATGGCAAGAAGGATGGCGAGGCCGAATAGTAGAAGAGCAAACTTGCTCAGCGTGATCTGGAGGGGGGTTCCAACAAGACCGAGGATAGTCTTGCCACCGTTGATGAATCGCCTGAGGATGCGGACCATGAGGCTTGAAGACTCAGGGGCGGCATCCTTCTTCTGGCGAAGCATGGTGGCAATCTTTCCAACCTCAGTGTCCATGCCGGTAGCGACGACGATACCGTGACAGCGTCCAGAGGTGACCTCACTGCCCGAGAAGGCGAGGTTGGTTCGGTCACCAGTGGCGAGGTCATTGTCGTCGAAGACCTTGAGTGGGGTCTTTTCAACGGGCGCGGATTCTCCAGTGAGGAATGCTTCGTTGGTGTACGCGTTGACACCGTCGATGAGGCGGATATCGGCGGGGACAATGCTACCGACGGACAGTTGCACAATGTCACCGGGGACAAGGTCCACTGCCTTGACTTTGATGTCGGCAGTGCCGTTGCGGGTGACGGTGGCTTCTGGGGCAGTGAGCTTCTTGAGGGACTCGATGGTCTTCTCAGCTCGGTAGTCCTGCCAGAAGCCGACAACAATGTTGAGGAGGATGACTGCAGAGATGACGCCACCTTCGATGTAGTCGCTAATGCCAAAGCTTATGGCCATGACAATAATGAGGACGAAGGTAAGACTGTTTGAGATTTGCCTTAGCAGAATTTTCCACATGGAAAGCCCTTCAGCTCCCTTAACCTTGTTAGGGCCATAGAGCTGGAGGCGAGATTCGGCTTCAACATGAGAGAGTCCATGGCTAGGGTAGTTGGTTAGCAGCACTCTTTGATAGAAGCGACAAACATGAGAGGCCTACTGGACGTCCACTCGCAGTTGCTCTGCAACCTCTTCGGAGGAGAGGGTGTGCGGAGCGTGGAGTGCGGGCGCAGTGTCGCCATCGCTAGGGTGTGGCTGGTGAGGCCTTTGGGTTGGTGCAGCATGCGGTTTCTTTAAACCACATATAGGGGGTTCATCGACGTTGGGAGAAGTCTCCTCGACGTTAGGCAGCACAGTTTCACCCATTCAAGTATATTTGGTAACACTGGTAGCGTGTTGGTGGTAGAGAGGGAGTTGGGAGAGCCATGACGGGGGCACAGTTATAGGTGGCTTTGCCGTCGTCGCTTGCTCTCTAGGCGATGGCGGGGTTGACGACGCTAGGCGGGCAGCGTGGGCCTTTCCAAGCGTGGGGATGTCTTGGACGAGCTCATGGACGGCGCCTCATTATTCGATACATGGGAATACGCCCCAGCAGATGGTGCGTTAGCGGGGGTGATTACAGCGAGAGGAGCAGTCAGGTGATGCGTCGGCAAGGCACACGAAGCCACTGATTTGGCGGTGCATGTTGCAAGTGGCATCTCGCAACGAGGCGGACCAGGCGTGATTGCTCCGTGTGCTCGATGACAAACGATAAGAGGCTTGGCTAGCGGAGTCCAAGAAATTCCGTCGCCGATTGCCGGACCCAACTGGGCACATGGGTGGCTGGCAGCGGCGATGCCACGATGCCCAGACTTCTAGGCTGTTGGCATCGAAACATGCGTGTGCACCAAACCAGCTTGCTTGTTCTTCGCGCGAAGATACCGCCCCCGTCCAGTCTTGTTGAGCCCTAGAGTACAGTACATGTGCATGCGAACCGGTTGAGTGCTGCAATGACGTTGCACAAGCACGTCGGCCATCTGTCCGTCCGTCTGTCGACGCTGCGAGCAGCTTGTACGCCCTACACGATGCGAGGGTAAGCAGGCAACATACTTATCTATAGCCTGTGTACTGACTGGTACACAGTGCTGGTTGCTGACTGGACTGCCACACGCTCGCCACACACCACCAACAGGCTTGTCAGATGGCTAAGGCGGGGGAATGGCGAATCAAGCCTGTGGCAAGCCGTCGCAGCCAGAAATAGACCCGCATCGTATTCTTCTTTCTTCCATGGTGATAGTGCACAAGCTGCGGGGAATGCAACTGCAACTGCAACCGCTGGGGAGCTCATGGCGCGGCCGGATACGTGGAGAGGGCTGTCGCGGAGAAATGTCCGATGAATGCGGGGAGAGTGGTGTCATGCTCAGCTGTTGAGCCAAGAAGCAGCATTGGCAGCATCGAGACAGGAAGGTGAAGACGCCAGAGGCTGTGATCGACCGGAAAACGTCTTGCGGCTCTGCGAAGGTCGGAACGTTTGCGTTGTTGCAAGGCTTGGGAGCTTTGGAGCTTGCGAGCTTGGGAGCCGCTGAGGGATAGGGCTACACCAGCTACACCAGCTACACCAGCTACACCAGCTACACCAGCTACACCATGCCCCCAAGGTCACGTGCGTGGGGATGCGGCGCTCGAGGCCCTGTGCGGATCCAACAGCTGGCGGGTGGGGGGTTCGCCGTTGTCGCTCTGGCTCCCATCTCCCCGCACATTCTTAAACACACTTGTGGGCTCCCAACGTCCACTGTCATCCATCGCATTCCTTCGGACACCATCGACACCACAGTCATGTAAATGCAAAGGGAAAAAAACCAATCGCTTTTAATTGCAGCACAAGTATCAGAGAGCACGCCAAAACAAGCCCACCCACATACTGCCCATCATGTGCACCCCATCCGTGTGCGTCACGCTAAATGTCACTTATAACGCCCTTTGTAAAAGATGCTCAGCCTCGCGCCCCCCTCAAATCGTTCGTAACGACTCGGCCTCTGACATGCTCGAACTCGACGAACGCCTGGGCGCAAGCTGGCAGTCGGCCTCGGCGAGCGCGGCCTGCATTGAGAAGCCAAAGGTCGCGGCCAGGTACTGCGCATACCGCATACGGTACGCCTGTGCCGGATCTTGTCGGGGCTTGTGCAGCTCCTTCTTCTCTAATGATATACCTGCTGGACAGATTAGACTGAGGCTTTAGTACGATTGATCAAATATACCCGATGCGGGATGGAGAACTATTGAGGGCGTCGTGGTAGGTGACAAGGTAGGTGATGATGAAGCAGATGAAGAAGCGGACGAGTTGAATGGAAGAGCAGGCATGATGATGATTATAATGATGTGCGGTGCTAAATTTGATAGACGATGATGGTGATGATTGTGTGGATGGTGGGTGCCAAGTGCTTGTGGTATGCAGCGGCCGATTTGGGAAGTATAGTCGAGGCGAGTTGGAGGTTTGTATGAGGATAGTTCTCTGGCGTCGATCCCGTCTTGCAACGAGTTTAGAGTAAACTCTGGATTGGTGCTAGGCTTGCTGATGTTTTGCTGCTTTGAGAGAGCGAGGGCAGCACATGGGGACTTTATACGCTGCGCACGTCAGCTTTGCCCGAGGGAGAGGGATCGAATGACCTTGGGGGCCCATCACGATCGGGCACACTCACCGCACAATCAGAAACAAGACAGCTGGCACCGTCACGACAAGTTCCACACATGAGATGCACCGATGCATGCACCACCAGCCCCGGGCCAATGCAATGCCCTCGAGGGGGAGCAGATTGTTTCCTAGTACAGAAACGTGGTACAAGCCGGATAGGCCAGCCAGCCATGCGCCATTTTTTCCCATGTTACCCCTGGCCCATCGGATAGCCGTAGCGCTTCCCCAGGTTTTTTTTCCTTCACACTTTCTACTTGCCCGTTTGAGCGGTGTAGTCGGGCATGAGCGCCAGGCTATTTCGAGCGGGATGCATCCGTGTCATACATGTCCCCTTGCTTGAAGCAGATACCTCTCACCCGCCAGCCTTGCCTTTTGGAAAGCTGTGTGCGCTGCGCCGAGGAGCACAAGAGGAGTTCGTGACACACATGGTTTGATCCAGGCACGCATAGTGGCATCCCATGACGAGCTAAGCCGGTGGTATTGCATACGCCAGCTGCGGAGCACTCGCCACGTTCCGCAAAGACAGGCAAGACGGCTGTTGAAAAGTTCCCAGATGACACACACGCCAATACCCGCTACTCGTCATTCGCCATTCGGCCTCAAAATGAACAATGGACCAACTACCCTGGTTTATAGTGGACCGTCCGTGCATCGTGTAAGACACGGGTTACCTACGCCACAAGTGAGCCCTCTGTGATCACGCATCCGCCCTCGAGCACCGTAGTGGTTGTCCTCGCCAGCTCATGCTACAGCTGCAATCTTTGCTGGCGAAGCTCAGGCACCAGATAACTCTCTGTCGACAACCACGTTGCTGGAAAAGGCCCTTTGAGGCGTCTAGGTGCGCGTCAACGACTCGCGCGTACTACTATGGGGCCTTATGCAAGAAGAACGGGGAGACCTTTTCTAGACTTGCCATAATCTGCAACTAGAACGTCCGGTTTTGTCGACTGAACCGCAGGAAGCCGCAGCCAAGATGACTTTTGCCGCAAAGCTGTTTATGCTGCTTGCATCTTGTTACTTTTACTCTACTCGACTCGACCGTGTACCATGGGCAACATGCAAGATCCAGCCCCTTGCTGTCGCGTGCTATGATGCCATTTCCGCAAACTATGGCAGTCCAGAAGCCCTGTCTGACGTACGACAATCCAGTCTAGCCCGGCAAAGAAACGTCACGACGTCTGTTTGCCAGCGAATTCCAAACACGTTCCGTGCGCATTACGCCTCATGTCATGAGGACCGCGACGATCGATGGCTGAATGGAGGGGCTGGACGCTAAGCGAGTCCAAACAGTGCGGGGCCGATTGGTGAAATCGGATGGCTCGGCTGAAACCCGTCATAGCATGTCGACACCAACATTGGCATGCATCGCGCATGCATCTTGTTATCAGTAGTCTGGCCATTCATCGTGGAATCACCCTCCAGCCTTGACTGCATCCTTGACGGGCAGCTCGACCTATCATCCTCAGCACCGGAATTCGACCCAATGTGTCCGGTGAGCTCGTTGTAGTTGCATCGCGGGACTTTCTCAAACACCGCCCACATTCACCACCCAGGCCATGTGGAGCCTGTCGATCCATTCCAGTCTACTCTAAAGCAACGTCACTTATTGACTCTTTTTTCACAATGGGAAGCGACATTTGTGGTTCGCGACATGTGGACTGCTATATCATTTATCCCTCACCGCTTTATCGCAACTTTATCTCTTGGTCATGCAGTAGCTTGGGCCCGCACATTGGTCTTTTTTGAATTGTTGAAATTACATGGACATGCAAGTGTACCTGAAAACGAGCAAGGTATGGCTCCTCCTGCTAATCTGCCGCGCTTTGCAATGGCCCCGCCCTAGCTTGACGTCTTGTCTTGTGCACATCAACAAAGTACAGGATCGAGAAGATATTCTTGTTTCTGATTTTCCTCTACCAAGCACTTTACTATGACACCCCTCGTCTGCCCCCTGCACCGCTCCAACCAGTATCGCGCGAGGCATTTACCAAACGACCAGACGACTAAGTCTTGCGATCTACGCTCACAACAGTAGCTACCAAGAACAATGAAACAATAAATATATCACGCAGCACACCCTCAATTCTAAAAAACCCGCACGCCATTTCCATTCTGTCTATAATGCTATCAAACGCCCTGAGCGATTTTAAAAAAAAAGGAAAATTTCTCGCAATCAATCTAATTATCTGCCGTGACTGAAACGTCTGTAGCTGTGTTAGTACACCTTCCTGTAGTACGCAAGTGGATATCCTTCTATGCGCTGATGGCTGCAATGAGAGCTGCCGGGCAAATGGCCACTAGAAGAAATGCCGCTCTCACGAGATGTCACACATCTGCGAGCGGAGCATGATCAACTCCGATGCAAGAGGGATTTCCCCAGCTCTATCACCGGAACCCCCGCTCAGCATCATGATGCCGACGAAGCTAGTACCTATCCATCAATGCCCCCTTGGGCCTATTCCCGCCATGGCCCCGGCACCAGCTCTGCGATCAGCTCGTCTTCAATTTCCCAAATCCCCTGCTGCGACAACCACTGCGTACGACAGAGCGGACAATTCTTTTCGCCATCTGGCCGATTGACAAACCACTGCCTCAGGCACACCCGCCCAATAAGATGTGTGCACCCCGGTACACCCCGAATCTGAACGCACTCATGCGTCTCTGACGGTGGCTCCAGACAGATCGGACACTCTGTGTTCGGCGGCTCAGAACCACTAACAACTGCGGACAAGGGTTGCGTACACTGCTGCATGAAGAGATTCGCAACCATCATACTAACCACTGGTTCGCGATACAGGAACGCCTCAGGAATGATTCGCTGGGCGTTATCACGACGAGCATCGGGTTCCGGGCTCATCTCGTCGTCTGCATGATCCTCAGCCCCCGCACTCGCATCGTCGTCCGAGTAGTCCCTACCGTATGTATCCCCCCCGCGCGGCTGCCCGTAGATTCTACGGTGTATATGCGGCACGTGATGGTGGTGCCCCCCAATCGCATCTTCCCCCTCCTCCATATCCTCATCCGTATCCTCCTGAGCACCCGCCCCCGCATCCGCATCCCCAGAACCCCCCCGATACGCAATCCCAGCGCGCTGGCGCCCATAGAATCTACGTCGCATCTGCGGCGCTTGCTCTCCAACCCCATCTTCCTGAGCACTAGCATCAGCAGACACATCCTCGCCCTCACTCCTCTCCCCAGCATACCCCCTCCCCTCAAACGCCCCATCCCGATTCCTACTCCGATCCGCCGGCGGAGGACTCAAGATCGCTCCTTCTTCTAGATCTGGATCGTATTGCTCATCCCACTGCTCACCTACCTGCTGCTCCTGTACTTCATCTCCAGCGTTACTACCCCCGTCAGCATCGTTAGAATCGTCTTCTCCACTATTCGACGACGAAAACCCACTACAAGTATCCCCCGATGCCTCGCCTTCCCGCTCGCTCAGATACACAGTGCTACCGACGGTATTCTCGCGTTCTGCACGCCGGGCCGCGTGCCGCGCTTCGATCTCCGAGTCGTAGGCGAAGCCGTAGCCGGTGCTGGGGGCGGCGTAGTCGTAGTCGGAGCTTGAGGTTGTTTCTGCGCCTGAGTCTGAGTTGGTGTCTGCGCGGGGAGGGTTAGATGGAGGCATACTTGCTTAGAGTATAGGTTTGGTTTGTATTCGTCTTGTCTTGTTTGGTTTTTTTCTTTTCGCGGTTCTGAGTTGCTGAGTGTGTGTGTATGCGTTGTTGGATGTGTTTGATGTGCTTTGGTATGCAAGTATAAAATCATTTTGAGGAAGTTTATCATATGGAATATATACTAGGAATTTAGAGAGTTGTAGTTATTGAACAGTGTAGGGAGAAGGTTAGGGCTGGACGTTGTCTTTGTACAACTTATGTTGCTGAGAGGTTTGCTGTGTATGATTCACTCTGTGCACGCGATTCATTGTGTGCGAAGCATGCTGTGGTACAAACATGATGAAAGACCTAGACATCTCTGTACGATGAGACGTAGAGAAAGACAAAGGATTCAAGACAAGTACAGTGTATTCTCAGGAACCTCACAAACAAGGTGTCTTGTACCGACCGTACGTACTTGTAGCATTTGTTTCACTCCAGCGCGCTACAGAAGGTATGCTACATCCTCCCCACTCAACCCCACACATCCTGCATCTCCCATCGCTTCTGCTCTCCCACCCCTGCCCCCGTCACATTCCCAGCCGGCCCCAAACTCGGCGGCACATCCTCCACACCCGTCCCCCACGCACTCTCCTTCGGGCCAAGCGTAAGCTCCAAAACCCCTCCTTCCAGAAAAAAGCTATGCTGAATCCAATTCCGCGTGTACGGCTCCCCATTCAACGTCGCAGACTGAATATAAATATTCTTATACTCCTTATCGAAATTGATATTGCGGATTGTCGCCGTCTTGCCCGTCTGGCCATTCTTAATCGAGACGGATTCGAAGAAGGGAGGGATGATGAAGTATACGTCTTGGCCGGCGTTGGGGAAAAATCCCATCATGACGAGGGCTTGGAAGGAGCCCATTGCGCCGCTGTCGTCGTTACCGGGTATGCCGCCGACGGTATCGTTGAAGAGCGAGGGGATGTACTGGTGTGCACGCTCGGCCGAGAGTGCCGGGCGACCCGCGTAGTGGTATAGGAAGATGGTAAGGAACGCCTGTTCGTCGCCTACGTACAGAATACCGGATTCGTGGAGCCAGTCTAGACGTGCGGTAAAGAGGTCGACACCGCCTAGGGTCGTGATCAGTGTGGCCATGTCGCCGGGTGCGAAGAACGTGTATAGCCAGACTGGGCCCTCGTAGGTTTCGCCACCTTGGGGATTGAGATAGCAGGACGTGAAGTTGAACAGTGGGGAGCAGAAAATGGGGTCTTGGAGTCCCCAAGTGCCGTTTTCGTAGCGCGGCTGCAAGAAGCCTACGAAGCCGGTGTCAGTACCGTTGATGATGCTGGGTTGATCGGCCTTGAACATGTTCTTCCAGTTGGCAGAGCGCGACAGATACTTTTGGTAGTCTGCTGTGTGACCAAGTTCACGGGCCAGTAGGGCAATGGTGAAATCGTTGTAGGCATATTCGACTGTGCGCGAGATGGAGCGAGTTTCTGTGCCTATGCCTTCGACGTCGGTATTTTGGGTGGGGATGTAACCGAGTTTCTTCCAGGATACAAGACCGCCTCTGCCTGAAAATATCATGTTAGCAATGATTTTGAGTAAGAATAACAAGTGGAAAATGTACCTTCGACATCCCAGTTGAGGGGCTCAACTTCTGCGTCCTTGACAACGGCCTCGTACGCTAAATTCCAGTCAACACCAGCAGAGATGTTCTTGAGATAAGCATCTGTGATCACAACATCTGCATTCGAGCCTCCTTGGGTGAACCCCTTACACAAGCTCATTCGACAATCTGGTAGCCATCCTTCATTACGATAGATATCCAGCAAGCTTCTGATCATCAATGTCTGACTATGCGGATCTAGTATTGTAAGCAAAGGATGAATGGACCTAAAACTATCCCAGATACAGTAGTAGGAGTCGTAATACGGCTCATCAGATTTCCAGAAGGGGTTCTCGCCAGTGTAGTCTTGCGGGCTGATCATTGTTCGGTATGCACCGCTCCAAAACGACGTAAGGAAGCTTTCATCCACACCCCCACTCTCAATCGTGATGACATCGAGTTTAGAGCGCCAGGCGGTGTCAGCAGCCTCGACTACCCCATCAAAGTCGAATGAAGGTATCTCGCGTTCTGCATTCGCACAAGCCTGATCTTCACTGACCAGGCTCACGCCCACCCTAACCAACATTTGGTTGTTCTGGGCGGGCTTCTCGAATTGTACCCAGCCACCTGATGGCTTCTGGCTCGTTGTTTGAAGGCTGTCGTATGGTTTGACATATAGATCCAGTTTTCTCGTAGTTGCTCGGGTATTGGACCAAATACCCGCGCGTCTGACTGCGGCGCCATCGAAATCGATACAGAAAAATGACTGATACGTGGTAACGCCGAAAGAGGGCTCAAAGCGTCCGCGTCCAGTCATGCGTCCAGTCTTTGCATCTACCGTCATGTTGGCTTCGCTCCGCGTATTTGGTAGATCCGTAAGCTCGACCAGAATATGCGGGCTTAGTGTCGTGTTTGGCGTCGTGGGTGTTTCCGGGAACGTTATGCGATACAAAGCCGTGCGGTTCGTTACCGTAGTCTCAGTCCTGATATTATTGTTCAAAGTAATGTCAAAGTATCCAGGTTTAGCATGTACACTGCCCGCTGTACGGTTGGTGGCTCGCTGATATTTTGGGTATTTACATTCATTGAGGTCATCGTTTGGGCACCCAGCTTGTGCAAATATTGGAAAGTTCCCGAGCGATGGCGATCCACCGGTACCGGAGTCGTGCATGTGGGAAAATCCATAAATGGGGTCAGATTCTTCCGAAGAGAATCCTCCTTGGTTCTCTCCTATCACATCAGGTCCAGCTTTTGCCATTCCTAATATATTCAGCACACTGCCATTTATATTTCTTATTAGTGAGATACATACCGAACGGCAGCGTTGCACCAGGAAAAACATGGCCTAATTATGGTTAGTTTCACCACCTCAGGGACTTGCAACCTACTAACCTCCATTGATTGTTCCAATTAGCGGATTAACGTATTGGACTCCCGAGCTCACTTGTGGTGGTGAGCTTTGCTGCGCTTTAGTGGACGTTGCGAGAAGGCATAGCAGTGCTGCTGAGGCATGTTTGGGAACAAAGCGATCAATCATTTTGGCCAAACAACAGAAATTTCAAGAAACCAGGAGTGAGGCGCTCACTAGACTGGCTTCGCAAGTGTACAAGTACCGCCCGTACTTCCTCACATACTTTATAGCTTCCCTTCGTTACACATGACTTGGCATTTTCACGATACTCCATAGTCATACTACCTACCCCAACGGAGTACCTCAATTTTTCCCTGCATGCAGCCTGTATGTCATTTCCGAAAATGGCAACCACCTGACTCTTCGTGGTTGGTATTGCAGTAGGATACCACGTTGGAGTACTGCCGAGCGCGGGGGACCGCGGGGTAGGCATGACTATCCTTGATCCATGATGTGCTGACTAGCAGCCGTGAGGTCCGATTGGTATCATAGGTTGCATGCGGAGTTCTTTTTTGCGAGATGATGGGGACGGACCTGATGTGGAGCAGAAAACCGTACATTAGCCCGAAGTATGACGTCGCCAAGTTACATTCCGTGGTCGGTAGTAGGGAACAAGCATGCCTAGGTCCTGGTACAGAGATGCTTGGTATCAATAAAACGGCTCCAGAGCATCGGTCCGTACATGTACTGACTTCAGAAAACACGAAAACTATCACGACTCCATTTGGGAATGTAGCAACCATCTCCGTGACGTATGAGGAAAGGCGCTAAACCGTTTATGGTATAGATGAGGAACGCACCCTTCGCAGGTGAGAACGAAATTGACCAGTACTTTCAGAATCGCAATCGTCTCTGAAGACATCAGACACTGCAATAATAACGTCCATTCTGTACGCGACAAATCCAGCCCGACTACTACAACGACACCAAATACCAGGGACGAGTGAATTCACTACCCAACAGTTTTCCGAGCAGACGCCGAAATGAATTTCTACAGTACGCCCAGAATAGGCACAGCCTACATAGGCACTGGATGAACGATGGCTTAATATGTGGATACCGAGCCTAGATTCAATTCAAAACCGCAGTCATATCTTCTGGTGTAAGTCGCCACCGCCCAGCCACAGTACTCTCCGGCTATACGGCACGTGGGCAGCCTTACGAGGCTGTTCAGGCACACCACACGCCTTGGTGAAGAGAGCCCAAAGATCACGCGACTAAACAATGAGCCCACCCGCATGGCGATCCACCAATCTTGTTATCGCAGCGGCTCGTCTAACGGTCTGAAAGGATGCAGCCCAAGCTTTACTTACGTTGTGGCGCTTCAGGCAATAACAACACCAGTCTTGGTATCCCAAACAGGCCTCCTCGGGAACTTCGCAACTCGGCCCCTAGAAACATAAAAGAAGCGCGATCCCTGCAACTCATCACTATGTGGAGACCCAACAAACTTGCACATTTTCCGCCTCCCGTGTATTCGCCATGTCTGCCGACTTGCCCTCGTTTTGGTTTCCACCACCTGGACCGGCTCTGCCCCCATTGCCGGAGTCTACCCTGGAGCTCAAACCGCCTGAAGATGACCCACGCTTGAACGGTACCATCGAATATGTAGAATACTTACATTGGTACATGTACAACATACTTCAGAATGAGGAAAACTACCTGAACGGAAATTTTAGCTGGAATGAAAGTAATATCCACATGGGCGACGTCATAGTACCTGTGTCCAAAGCCCCGGAAAGGAATATATATGGCACAGAATACGACTGGGTAAGGGGGTGGGAGATGTGGTGCTTCAGATGTCCCTCAACCGTTGCCCCGGAGGAACCAGAGAGAGACCCAATAACTGGATACCCCTTTTGTGGCGAAAGCATCCTCAGTATGGAACCCTTGAGGTTTTTCTCTACTATGAAAAAGGAGCCAGAATTGGAAGTCCCCGTATCAACCGTCCCAGGTGCCGACAGTGTCATGGCGTGTGTAATTGAACAGCAGGTAAACCCAGAATGGTTCAGGGTCAGTTCAACTGCACCGCAATTAGGCCCCATCATAACCAAGCCCTTCATTGTATCCCGTAGCCTCAGAGATTCCGATTCAGGAGCACGATACCGCTACGACGAAGCCTTCCCCTGGGGCGTCCTCGATGACGCTCAAGCAACTCCCTCCCCATCATCTTATCCATCCTACCCAACCTCAACACCCACATCAACGACCGACTTCTGGGACTGGTACGACAGCTACACACCCACAAGCGTCAGCAACCCTTCCGTCAACCCCGCAGCCTTCACATCCAACAGCAAAGACAACGCTCCCTCCGCAGGCTTGATAATCGGCGTCCTCGTCCCCGTCGCTCTCATCATAGGCATCATCGCTTGTTTCGGCAAACGAGCACGCGCTAAGCAGCAAAAAACAACAGCAGCATCTGCACCACCTGTGAACATGAATCCCACCGCCGATGCCCATCGCCAAGCTGCTTTTGCTGCGCCAGCGACAGCGACGGTACAGGGGGATGGAGATGATATGCCGCCACCTGCCTACCACAAGGTCATTTCGAATGTAGAAAGGATGGATATTGAGCGCAGGATGCATGCGGAAGGAACAACGCCTGCTGGGTGGCCGCCAACGTACACGGATACACAGCATGCGGAGTCGACCGTTGTATCACCGCCTGACCCTGTTGCAAGTGTGCCTGGAACGAGCCGGGCGCCTTATCCGGCACTGCCTTCGTCGCCGACGCGGTAGCTGAGGTCAGAGATACGGTGTTTTGATCGAAACGGCTTGAAAGCTGCGATATGCAGATTGCATGCCGCGCACCCTTGTCCTAACTGGAAGGAAGAGGAGATTGGACTTACACTGCTATATTTATTAGCACTGTTATAGGTGTGTTCGTCCGCGTGCTCTACTGAGAGCAGCTGTGACACATGTGTGACGAAGGTCACATGGCCAGGATGGATTGGAGAAGAGGTTCGAATGATTGAATGAGATGACACAGATGGACTAGGAGGTCATAGGAAGATCTCAACTGAGTATCGTCAAGGTGGAGAGTGGCGATGAGATGATGGAGACGATGTATAATGTTTTAGATTTCTTATTCTGTGTCTTTTTTGGATAGATTGGAGGACACTTCTCGAGACTGTCAGTACCCATGAACTTTCATTGGTACAAGTGTCCATAAAGCTATGCTTTACGACCCGAGACATGGTGTCTCGCCATAGGGTATCATTTAGAAATTCAACTCATCATGTTCATTACATTGTTTGTTGTTTTGCCCAGCACCTAGCCAGTACGGTGGTACTTTTCTTCGTGCCCATCAGCTCCATTGACACCATTTGATCCATCGTCTGCCTCTTCCCTTGTCCTTACTGTGCCAGCACCTGGACCTAGCTCTTCCCCAATCACCATGCCCTTGAAGTTACCATCTTCATCGAGATACTCGTCCATGTTGTCCGCTGTAATCCAACCTGATGCACCAGGCGCTGTGTCATCCAGCACATTATCGCCCTCATCGTCACTAGCGTCTGGATCAGGATGAAGATCCGCACAAGTATTTAGCGCAGCGAAGAACTCGGGGATGCATGTGTCAGTAGGCTTCGTCGCGTACGATGGTGGTAGAACAGTAATCTCCAGCATACGAATATCGTCGTCTTCATTGACCGTTTCGGCGTCATTGAGTGAGATGTTCATGTACAGGGCTTCGATGGTCGACTTGTACTTCATTGTTGCGTGCAGAGCGAGAGATGGGTATGGAATGGACACGCCGATGGGAGAGAGGGTATTCTGAAACAGAATGAGATTTCTACGAAGTTGGTTAGCATAAGGCGTTGTTTATAGCGAGGAAAGAGACATACTCTGAAGAGACCCAAACGTCCACCCCATCTACCAAGTCCTCTTCTCCCTCACGTCTTGAACTGAATTTACTGAATGCAGGGTCTTGCTGGAGTTGATCGGCAGCAACAGATAGAGTCATGGCTTCATAGTGGGCATGAAGAACGGGCTTTGCGCCGAAGAAAGAAGCTGGCGTCTGCTGCTGGTGTTCTGAGAGCGGGGTGAAGTCGTCGGCCTTGGGCGGGCTGTCGAGATGTTGGAGTGACATTGTGAGATATTATGATGTTTGTGTTTCGTTTATGTATCCAGAACCAAATATGAAAAGAAGATCTCTGTGTATCAAGTGTTTATGAGCTGTTTGCCCGCAGAGAGACCAAAAAGTCGCGGGAGCTAGCTGAGCGTCATTGCCCCACCTCAGCCTTGGCAGGTACCAAATGCATTTCCGTCCTTTCCTCCGACTCAGCTCCTCCTACGCGTCGCAAGATGCGCAACTTTGTCGCATAATAGAAACACATCTAGAAACACATCCCCATAAATTCGATAATCTCCCTTTTCACTCGGATACCTCTCCATCCCACAATGCCTTGAGCACGTACCTCGATGAGCGGTGCCATCTAATCGCAGCCGTCCCAACACCTCGCAACATATCTCCCACCTTCACAACCACCACTACACCATGGCCTTCCCCACAAGCCCTACCGCCAAACTAACCGGCCACAACGGCATCGTCCACGCCGTCGCCTACTCCTCCGGATCCCAATCCTACATCCTAACCGGCTCCTCTGACCGCACCATCCGCCTCTACAACCCCAAGCACGCACCGCCCACCTCTGTCGCGCCCACCCAATCTGCACAGCGCCCCCCAGGTCTCGTAAACAAATACACAGCGCACGGCTACGAAATACTTTCCCTCGACGTGAACCACGCCAACGACAAGTTCGTCAGCACAGGAGGCGACAAGACCGTGTTCCTCTGGGATGTGCAAACCGCACAGACGGTGCGACGCTGGACAGGACACTCCGGACGCGTAAACCGCGGCGTCTTTGGCGGCGAGGGCGATAGCGTTGTTGTCAGTGCGAGTTTCGACGGCACAGTCCGCATCTGGGATGTGCGATCCAATGCCTACAAGCCCATTATGATGCTATCCGACGCCAAGGACAGCGTTTCCGACGTCGCCATTCACGATGCGGAGATTGTGGCGGCAAGTGTAGACGGACGAATCAGAAGCTATGACTTGAGAACTGGCATGTGCCAAGTTGATGTTATAGGACCTTCTTGTACGAGCTTGACTGTGAGTAAGAAGGGTACCGAAGTCCTTGTCAGCTCGCTTGATTCCTCGATCAGACTCATGGATCGGATTAATGGTGGACTCCTGAAAACGTACAAGCACGACGCTTTTGTGAATACGGAGTTGAGAGTCAGAAGTACACTTGGCTTGAACGATAGCGTTGTTGTGAGCGGTAGTGATAATGGCTTTGTGTTTGCATGGGATATGCTGCATGGAACTTGTCTGCACAAGTTCAAACACTCCGATATGACAGAGATCAGAGGATCACCGCCGACTTCGCTGGCAAAAGGCAAAAAGGATCTAGTGTCTGCTGTGGCGTTTTGCCAAACAAGACCTGAATGGTGTAGCGGGGGTGGCGACGGCAATGTCATTGTATGGGGTATGCCAAGTTAGGAGTTGCATGTATTGTACATGCACTGTTAGGATTTTCGCGATACCCTTGTTTAGACGGTCTCACCCGTATGCATAGTTACTAGCTTCCATGTACGTGTCGGTCTCTAGACTGCGATGTAGGGTCGTTACGTGGCCGTGCTAGTCGGTCGTGGTGAAGATCGTCAAGGGCGCATTCGTTGACTAACGAGAAACGATGGTGATTGCAAATTGTGTTACTAGCAGTTACACACCATGTGGAGAGAGCCTTTGTTCACTTTTTATATTTGTCGAAAGCAGCAAGAGAGTTGTATACTTCTGTAAGGAGATCAAACGTATATGAGCTATGCTTTATCCCAAATCCAACATGATACTGATGCAATCTGGTCAAGGAGACGTACGGAAGAAAAGATGAGAAAGAAAGTTGCTAATACTGAAGCAAACTAGGCGCATAATTCGTGACTTCGTAATGCCAACAGTTGTTGAGATCCTGTCTCCTGCTGAACAACCGCTATGAAAACGTATAGAAAGTGAGCAGTCTGAGGTGAAAGAAAAGTCAATAAAATATGCGAAAAGAGACACCTTGTATAACGAGATTGGAAAGCAACGGAAGAAAAGTCAAGAAACTGGTACGACACTCGCTTCGAAGCCAGACCTAGACTTGGAGAGTGTTTGGGGCGATCGGAAATTGACAACTAGTAATAATACCTGGCCGAGTGTCCCTGCTCATAAGCATGAAGTTCCTCGGCCGTGGTTGACTGACAGGTCAACACATGCACGACCACACCCCTTTCTGATTGTCCTATCGGCAAAAAGGTTAGCCAAACCCTGTGCGAGACCAAAAATCTGGCTTGACTCACTCCCATGACTGAATGCGCCGGGTGCTTCCCAGTTCCCGTCCCTAAACATTTGAGGCAGTCCGGTCCGCAAATCCTGTGGGCGTATAGTAAACGCGATGAGAGCAAGAAATATACCCAGCTCTCCTGCGAGACCTCCGTAACCTGGGCTATTTGACACCGGTGCACTCTCATAATATATATCAGGTAGCAGCCTCAGCCAATTCTGATTGCTTCTTCGACTGGCGACTGTACGGTGTTGTCCAGCATTACAAAGATACGAGTATTGAGAAAAGTGCCGAAAGTATAGAGGCTGCCAGGTGTTGGAGTGTCTGTAGGTGTCTGAGATGGTTGCGTCACCTTTGAGAACCCAAAACCCAAAACCCCCAATATAGAAGACTGAGTATGTGATGTATAGCTGAGCGTCTTGTGGAAGCTGTCCAATTTCACGAATTTGAGTTCCATCACAGTACCACCACATGCCGGTCACGCCTTCCATCACTCTCTTGACGGCTCCTGCTTCAAAGGCGGGTATCCCATGATGCCCACTGCTGTCGTACGTCTGTGGAGCGTTTGGGGTTTTGCGTATCTCGTCGACCCTGAACAAGTATCTTGGCTTTGATCTCGTGAGTGCCAAACCTAAAGGACTAACGGAATGTGAGTGGCTGACCATGATGGATATGTGTAGACCCGCGGGCTTGGATATGCTCGAGACCCACAATAAGGTGTGTGTGTGGCTGTGCTGTAAGTGCGCTTGCCCTGCTCTGTACTATGAGTCCCCTTCATCAGCAGACCGCTTTATCATTCATCTCCGCGATTGCGGCTCTGCGATCTTTCGGCTTTTGAGAAAAGCCATCCCAGTCAAAGGGTCAGACGACAAGCTCCTACATGACGATGACGCGGGATGGAAATCTGTACGAAGCCTCTGATAAGCTAGAAGTGTTGCCAAATATGCATGGCGCAGGATCATACATCGGCTGCATGCGATAGGAAGCCAGCTGTATTTCTCCTACCCCGCTGTTTGCCATCATTACCACGGGCGGCTGTAGCAAGTTGTCATATAGTTGTTTCATTTCGCGGGGAGACTAGTACGCCAGCGAATACTGTGCCAATAGTGCTTGAGAAGCCATCTTCGATATGAGTGGGATTGTAAGAGTATACAAGACGCGGATGTGGGCTTGGTAGCGTTTTCGTGGTAATCGGGTTCTCGTAGCTGTACAGCCTGTCAGCTGCAAGTTAGCAAAAAGCACTGGTGTCAGCTAGCCGGCTGGGCACCGCGTTCAATCAAGTCTCATAGCGTGCATGAGCAACATCCGACTGTGGCCGCCGGCTAACCAGCGGCTCGAAAGCCACAGCGCGTGCCCAAGTGAGCCGAAAGGTGGATCCATCCATGCAAAATGATGCAGGTTTGCTGTCCAGCACGGCAGTTGGCGTGAGATACCGGAGAGAACTGGTCCGTTGACAATTCAGCTAGAAAGATGCTCGAAATCGGGACATTTGCTATATCGCCCGGGATGCGAAGGATGATCCGGTCCCGAGAAGAAACACGCAAGGAAGTGGACTGGTCCCGTAGGTTGTATTTCCCACCTGACTAACGCACTCCGAGGAAACAGCGAACGTCTAACCACAATATTTTGATTCGTTCCATGTATAATAGGAGATTGGCAGTAAACCAATTGACTGTGCCTACCCCCTTCATACGGTCGCACGATTATCGCGATCGAGATATGCACGTGCTTGAGCGTGACAAGGAGCGAATGAGGGATGCGGCTCTGCGTGTGATGAGGGGTTATATGCCGGCGTAGAGGCACTACTAGCCAACATTCATGCGGGCGCTTATTGTATCGAGCGGCACTCGTGTCTGATTGTTTCCGTATACCTGGCGGTAATGCGACGCGTTTCCTGTAAGTTCTTTTTGATTTGGTCTTTTTGATACGAACTGAACCTGCTTCTAGTTTGCAAGACCGAGGGGCGTACGGGAATTAAGTAGGCGCTTGCAGGATTGGGCTGACGGTGCTAAGGCGGGTAGAGGACCTCCCCATGCATGGTTTGCCTTCTTTACTTCATGTCTCTTTATTCCGTACGGTTCTATTGGTGAGTTTGGTTAAAGCCGCTAATGGAAGCAACGGATGTGCTTCCCCTTGGTAGCGCCAGCAGACTGCTGATCGAGGCAGGTGTTTCTGCGACCTGCAGGATGGTGCACAAATCTTTCACCGGATTGCGAACCTGGCAGCTGAACAACCACCCTCAAGGCGATGAGTCTCGGCAGAAGAGGCGAGTGGAAACTCACCGGTCATGCCCTACGCTACAGGAAACGCTCGTCACAATCAAGGTCATGCGCCCACCGCCACTGCTGAAGGCCCAATCGAAAGAAGCAGTGCCCGTCAGCATCCGCACTGGAATCGAGGTCTGCCACAGTCTGTGCCGTAGGCGCGGCTGCTCTCGAATCCAGAGTCCAGTCAGATAAGGCACATCCAGACTACGACCCCGCACGCGTTGATCTCAACACAATTGTAGCCCAGACACAAGCTCGAGCAAGATCCTAGCAGATTTTGGCACCCGGAAAACCTGGCAAGCATGACTTTGTCATGGGGGACGTGTAGTGGAACATTAGGAAAAGGCTGCAGATTCCCGATGCCAAGCGAATCCTTGAGGCGTTGACTCCCGATGGCCACTTCGTTGATCATTCCAGCACACTTTTGGAGTTTTCAAGAGGCTTGATTTGGACTTGAGAATTCTTTCAGCTACTGAGTAAGCTTCCGGAAAGTCGGCTACGATGCGCCTTATGATGACAATATCGAAAACGCCTTCGGGATTACCGGCTGGAACTTTCAACCATGGTCTAACAACTAAGGAACTCGTCGATTGAAAACGCCATGACGCCAGTAGAGCCGAGTCACAACTAAACAGGCATGTCGTCAATAATCAAGAACAAGTATTAATGCACTTCGTCCTCTGGTAAGAAGGCCTGCGTGCAGATTGGGACGCTCTGGCAAATGGACACTGGTGATATGACAAGGTTAGTATGCACTTGCGCTTGCTCACGCAATTCTTGACATGACAAGCAAAGAAAGGTCTGATGGGAAAATAGACGGCTCAAGTGCCCACGGCCGAGATGATTAATGCCAATCGAGCGGCTTCTCAGCAGCACATCAAGATGGAAGCCGATCCCGAAAAACACGAATTGTGACACCATCAGGATTACCCATCTCGCGAGCATTCCAAAGGCCAAAGACCCCAGCCCGCCACTTTGTCACTGCCATCTCGCATCCAAAGGTCGGTCGAATGGCTCAGGACCTGGCAAGCAACTGCCGGGACGCGGGTATCGGCCGTACCGACGACATCTCGGGAGCTTATGTGGGGACACGGACCCAGGGGCGAATGAGCGTATGAGGCGTAGTCGAAAGGCTGGGAGAACCTGGAGGCCTGGCGCTAAGCGGCCGAGAGGGTTTGCGGCGTTGCAAACGATGACAAGTGAATGTATTGTGGCTCAACGCTGAGCGCGTCCAGATTTGGCTTGAGGCTTGTCCGAGGATGCTGATAACATGCGGAACATGAAGGAAAAGAGATGAATGAGGTCGAGTTTGGCATGCGGGAGCTAAGACTGGAAGGGCCAGATGACGGTTCTTTCCTTAAGGCAGATTCGGACGCCTTAGCCTCCTGGCCAATCACGAGTCGCACATGCCACGCACAACGTTTGCCTGATTCTGGTCCGCACAACGACACACGATCCTTCTCACGTCAGCAACAAAGGAAGATCCATTAAGCAACGACTTTGCAGGTAGCTCGTAGACTGCGGGTATTGTTCCATGTTCTTCTGCAAGGTAATCGTCCTCTTTTGCGGTCAGTGGGTATTTCTCCATTGCGATCGCGACTATACGCCCAGAATCATAAAACCCAGTTTTTGTGAAGTCTATGTGCATAAAGTATGTTCATAAGCGAAAATCCACTTAGGGAAATGACAACTTTTTACTATTCCACACGATCGTCCAATTTTGGTTTGTATCGATTAGACAATATCCGAAGCTTGGTTGACCTGTTCTTCGTCAAAACCTATCTCATAGAGAGACTGCTCTGATAGGACTCTTCCTTGTGACTATTCATCACTAAGCAGGATATGAAAACATGACGATATACTATTTAAATACGTAGAATCAGTTTCTGGTCAATATCGCAGGTTCTGCGCGATATCTATCTGAGGAGTGTGGGGATGATGTCCCAAGAAGCACCAGCACTGCAGAATATTACACGCTTCAAAAGATGAGCGTATTGTTTAAGAGCGCTCCAATAAGATTCAATACTTGTATTGGTAACCTTGAATAGAGGGCATGCATGTTTCGACAGCGAAGTTGCTTCATTATTCTCTTCTCACCTGACAGCTACTGGATATGGTTTCATATACCCTGCAGCTGTCGGATATAGCCAAGAATACACTAGCCCGAATACACAGCATCAACCCGATAATAATCGGGCATGATTTCGCACGCCCGACAACTGTCGGATGTTGTATAGTACCTCTATGTTTCTTAATCAGTTCAGTGTGTCTAGCGGCCGCCGTTGGAGACAAAGCGTGGGTTTCTGATCACGACAGCTTTGAGCTAAATCTGGCCTACCAATGGCTAGTATGACCACAAGGTACTAAGAACGCAGAACTCAACCAGACCCCTCATACCAACGGCTTCGAGAACGAAGGTATCATTCCTTAGTAACGTCGTATGGCCATCAGTCTCTTCATCATCTTTTAAATAGATACAAGAAGCTCAAATCATAAACATATATCGAGAACGGTAACTCATATCAAAGTCCTATACTTTGAAATCTTTTAGAATAGCCTAGGATAATTGATGTGTTTGTTGAGCTTCAATAAACACATACCACTTTTCGCAGATGAAGCAACGTCCTCTACGGATTCCTGCTTTAATTTTAATTCAAGGATAGATTCGCAACATCAAATCCTTTCAAATCATCATATCCCTCAATACGACACCCTAACCGCTCCCAAAACACCACCGCCCCCATCTTCAACTACTCCACATCCGCAAAATTCCCTTCACGGCACTCTCGCACAATCCCACCCACATTCTCTGCCTCAAGTAGCAGCCACTCCTTCTGCAGGGTCATCATCGCAAATTCCTATCCCGATCTACCTGAGCGATTTCCCGCCCAGAGTCCAGTCATGAGCTTTGTACACTTCATACCCGTACAGGAACAAGCCAGTCTGTATGCTCTATTGACATTGATGCTTAAGCGTATGGAAAAACTCGCCAGGAGAGCGAGTGTCGTGGTGTCAGACGCCATTAGTACGCCTTCGGAATCTAGCGCTTACGAATTCGATGAGTGATAGGGGTAGTCGGGGGTCTAAAGAGAGCCAGCAGTCCTTGAGGCTGAGATCGCTTGAGATGGTTTCGTTTGCGTGGATGAAAGATGGTTCGGGGATAACTTGAAGTGCCCACTGGTACATGAAAGGCTGGCGTGAGGTGAAGATGCGGCTGAACGCTACTTTCAAGGGCCCGCTGTACATGGCAGTTCTGTTTTGCTGAATGAAATCAGTCACTGGCGACCCTAAAGGTTTTACGAGCACGGAGATTGCGGTATATGGGTCACGACGCCAGCTGTCGTCTAGTGAGCCATCAGATTCATGGATGTACTCCTGAGAATTACTGAGTCCTCGTCAAGCTACAGTGCTGCAACCAGGTCTAGATCGGCGCTGTAGCCAGACACACCCACAGGGATGAGAGGGGAACGCTTGTCCGTATTAGACGAATTGAGCCAGATTCAGTGGATTTTTTTCACCATTTTTAGTCAATTCGGTAGGTAAATTGGAGCTGGAGATAAACTCTGAGGAGTTTGAATACTGCATGCGACACAGCTCACGCGAACGAAAATTTAGTAGTCCAGTAACGTGTTGATTAACAACTGAGTGGTTTAACGTCAGAGTGCCTTGCCTGTCGTTTACAAAGACTAGGAACCACGGCGATGCTACCATAAAATCGCTAGACCATGGGCATTTTTGATCATGAGTGGTTTTCATGTTCGATCGAGTTAAGAAGGCGTTTGTATTAGTAGCGCATTTGTCAAATGCCCACCATCATTATCTTTAAGAAAATAAGCATGCGCTTGTATGTCTAATTTTTACGATCGATTGCACGATTTTTTCCCCCAAGAACCGCTCTGCTGATTCGTACGAGCACCATAGTCATCTTGAATCGGCAATTTTGATATCAAGATTAAGTCAAATGTCGAGAGAGGCCCGCAATTCAACTCCTCAGTTGTTGTCTACCAACATGAAGTGAAAAGGCGTGTCTCTATCTCCATTAATTGTCAATAGGGCATCTAGGTAGTGGGAGGGCGAGCGTTGTAGTGCAAATACCGCTCTAAATACTATCTAACCGTTATCAGCAAAAGCTCCTCGCGCTATCTTGTATATGCCTGCTCACAAGACTACCCTGTTTCTTATAATTCTCATTTTATATCATTAGTCGGTTATATAATTTCGCCATCGCCGACTATAACCGTCTGTTAGATAGTTCGCTTATTGTCACTAGAGCATGTTATTCCAGAACGTTCTCGAAAATCTGCCGAAGACCATGACCTAGCAATGAAGGCCAATAATACCTGTAGTAAAGCCGATCGTGGTCTTTTTCCAATAACATGTATCTGTTAATGCTTCGTAGAATGCGCACAGATGTTTTCGGGGAACTAGCCTTGTTTGTTAATAAAGATATCACTCGATGGGCTGTTCAAGACGACTAGTCTCAATCCTCGATCACGTCACTCAACAATCTGTCCAACTGTACAATGGCCGTTATGGGCACCCGAGCATATTATGTTTAGATTCACGGCTATCTCGGTTGTCTGCCTCCATTATAGACCATGTGCATTTGCTTACTCGTTATCCAGATCCACACATCTTCAAGGCATGATTGCCATGGTGTCCACAATGGAGAATCAAGGAGCTGCGTTACTATCCATGCCAGATCTCGATGCACCATGACTCTGAGACACACAGCGAAACAAACCTCCCACGTAAGCGACAATTGTTTGGAATTATCGCATCCTACATGCAAGTCAGATCACTAGGGATAAATAACAACAGCAGAGCCAACTCGCAAGCGACGCAAACTGCAGATCCTCGCAACCACCAATTTATCCAAGGCAAGAAAAGGCGAACGCCAACCCAACACCTCCCTTTCTCATCTAACCCCCGAAACACCATGCTTGCAACTCAAGACAAACAGTAACATCCCCCTCCAACGCACGCGCCACCAGCCCGATGATACGTAACCCCACGCGACGCAACACCGCAACACCGCAACCCGCCGTGCCGCCCCCTCGCATTGCGCGATATGACCAGCTTCTGCACCGAGAGAGCTCAAAAAATGCACAAGTATAAACGGACGGGATCTGCACATATATGACTAAGAATTTTACCCACCCTACGCCCCAGATAAGGAAAGTATGTTACCCACCGGGGCGGGAAGAACAACGAAGTCCCGAAGGATGCTGGTATCCGAGACGATGATTCGTTGCGGAGGAAAATAAAAAACGGGGTACTATAGGCAGGGGTGTGGAGAACTATTACTATGGTCCTTGTTAGCCGCCGCGCGCCTGTTGTCGTTGACGTTGTCGCTATGCTGGGCTGCCGCTGTCAATGTGTCAGGAGGTAAAAAACCTCCCCCCCCTCGTTGGTTAATTTAAAATTTCCGAATAGGGATTCTGGACCAAAAATCTCAATGGCAAAAGTCAGCACAGCAACAAATCCTACTTATGATTTCGTTCCGAGGAGGGTAAAGTCGGCAGTCGGCAAGTGGAGAGAGAGAGAGAGAGAGAGGGGGGGGATCTTCCAAACAGGAAATTCGACACTACGTAGGATGCAACTGTAGTCGAGAACTCTACTAGTCTGTTTCGCATTGGGGACCGAATGAAGTGACAACCACGGGTAAAGCATGTGACAAGGCGGCGCATATATGTGTGTAAGGTATGCTCAACGTCACCCTTGCAAAAGAAATACGTATGGGACACACACCCACACCCACGCTGGCGGGACCGCAAGATGGCCCGAGACAAGGGGACGGCGCAGACGGGGGGGGGCTGACCATCGACAATCAGGAAGAGAGGTCGCGTGGATCGGGTATTTTGAATGGCGAAAATGGTGAGACAAATGGTAGAACTGGGCATTTGTCCGTTTAAGGCAAAAGGTCTTCTTGGTAACAGTAGATCCTTTCGAGAAAAAGGAGAGGTCAAGGAGGGAGAGAAATTCGTATTATTATTTTTTTCAAGTAGTTAATCATTTAGGCCACATTATTTATCGTACAAACGCTCCACCGCCACTGGCACCGAGCTGGTTGCCCGTCATCCATCCACTCTCAGGTAGACAGACGATTCCGACGATGCCAGCCACTTCCTCCAAGGTGCCTGGGCGACCACCAATCTCACCCGCTAGCCTGAGCATATCTTCAGAGTCCACACCAGGGCGTTCCTTGGCCAGCGGGATCAAGGCGTTGTACGCTCTCAGTGCTTGCCTTGGGGCTTCGGGGAGTCCGTTGAGGAGACCAGTGTCCATGGGACCAGGAGAGACGCTGTTGACGGTGCAGCGCTCGGCGAGCTCACGTGCCCAGACGCGGGTCATGGCCTCAATGGCACCCTTGGTTCCAGCGTAGGAAGTCTGCTGGATAAGACCCCATGTTGTGGTTGCAGATGAGATGTTGACGATTCTGCCTGATCGATCATGGGGGAGGTAAGGGAACGCTGCCTTGATAAGGAGCGCGGGTGCTTTGCAGTTGAGGTTGAATGTCTGGTCCCATAGCTCGATGTCAAGCTCTTGGATGGGCTGAGAGTTCACGAGTGCCGCGTTGTTGATGATGATGTCGATCTGGAAGCTAGGGGTTGCAGAGGGATCGGTGAAGTGCTTCTTTGCGGCCTCGACAAGGGCTGCAGGGGCCGAGGGATCAAGCAGGTCAGCACGCACAGGGACCGCCTTCACGTTGTATGTTTTGGATAGATGAGCTGCGAGATCAGCAGCAGTCTGATCTGAAGCCGAAGTAGCGTAGTTGATGACCACGTTTGCACCACGTTCGGCAAGGTGTTTTGCGACTGCGGCGCCGAAACCTAAAGTGAGGGAGAGTCTGTCAGTGCTTGATCTCACGAAACACATCGTCATAGAAAAGATGACATCGGCGACTTTACAGTCAAGTAGTACTTACTCCTGGAAGATCCAGTGACAATGGCAAGTTTGCCTTCGAATACCCTAGCGGGTACCGTGGCTTCAATAGTCCTTGCTGGTGCCATACTGTCGGGTTTTTCGTAGAAGTTTTGTAGGGGTTAAATGGATTTAGTCTTAGAATTGAACAAGGTTGGATATGTACTTGGGGATTGGGAAGAGGAGGAAGGCTGCACGAAACACGCCGTTATGTAGTATCGGACCTATCTTTCAGCGGTAGCAACTGACAGTATCAACCTCCGCTTGACAACCTCGACTAGCAACTGTAGCGGGGAACCCTTGACTTGATAAAACCGTTAGAGTAGGGACTAGGATCGGATTAGTACAACCCTGATGTGGAGTCGGACGCCTGGTCTCGCCTCGATCGGGGCGGTGAAGATTTTCATTTCGCTCCAACGGGGCCGCAAAAGGGAGGATTGGCCGAGGAAATGCCTAATATCGTATGATAAAATACGTGGTGAGTTACTTGACAAAACAAGGATGATGACGCAACTGTTGGCCGAAATCCTTCGGGAGGGATTACATCGAATTATATTGCAAGCAATAACTATCTGGGGTTGCGTAGAGAAATTGTTCGCGAATAGAATGGAGGATTGGGAAATGCATATTCTTGCCAATGTCCTGACATGTGCCGATACAACACATCAATTCCTTGGCAAGGGAATCCCGTCTTGCATACTCAAACACAGCCTTGCGCGTGCACGTGTGCTAGTGCGAAGATATGCAAGCAGACGTAACCCTCGAGGCGAGTGGGTTTTTGGTATTTAGGAAAAGCGCACGAACTACTTACCTCGTTCGGCGGCAGTACTTACATCCAAGCCCCCTACTCAGAAATGTTGACAGGCAAGCATACACCTGCTATCATGGTACGAAGCGGTGGACAATGTGATAAGAAATCTGGCAATGTCTTCGGACCTATGGTGTTACTACGATTCATGGGCAAAATGGTCGCGACGTCGAGACGAGAGGCATACCTTCCATAAACGCCCTTAGCTTGAGACGGAGACGGAGAGAACTCCTATTGGACTGGAAATGTTGTTCGAGAATGGGATGCGAAAAATCTTTCCGTCGTGAGGCTCGTTTCAAGTGGAATGCCCACCGTGAAGTGGGTCGGGGAATGTATGCCGCCGCGCGTAATGCCGGCACTACTATCGGAACGGAAGTGGCTCAAACTAGCGAACATCCCGTGCCAGCGTCTTCAAGTATTCATCCTCGACGGCACAACTCCGGTTCCAAGGATCGGCACAACAGAGAGACTGTTGTGACTAAGGCTATACGGCGTTGGCGTACCAGGGCGATGGAACCGAGATGTAAACGGGCTGCCCGTTCCATGTGCGGCTCATAGCAGAATGCATCAATGGACTCCAGCACACGGATATCATACGTGATGCCTCAGGCACCGCCCTTGTGCAAATTCCCTTGCATCCCTTTATTTTCTCCACAGACCCCACGACCTGCAGGACAATAAGTCTAGTCCACTCAATCGTCGCGGTTCATAACAGTTGGCTGGCCCATCTGACATTTGTATTCACCTGTGAGGACCGTAGAACGACGCAGTCACCATGGCGCCGACATCCTATCCCATGGCTCTGGCCGTCTTGGTCCCGCTTCCTTTTGATATAATTTCTACTGTTCTGCGGTTCTGGATACGGACAAAGAGGAATGCGTGGGGTCCCGATGACTGGGCCATGTTGATCAACATTGTAAGGGCTCTGGATCCACAATCTTGTGTGCGTGCAACTTGACTGACACTGATACAGCCCTTTTGGAGTGTAAGCACAATTGCCACCCTTGGGATGGCATGGAGTGGTGTTGGACAATATGATGCCACACTTACACAGTCTCAATACATGAACTCCTTGAGGGTATGTTTCTCTCCCCTATTCGCTCAGTCAGCAATGTAGTAATCAGTGAACAGTGGTTCTACGTCTTCCAGGAACCATGGTGTTTTACCCTCATTACTATCAAGTGCAGTATCGGATTTGCTCTGATTCGAATTGCAAGCGGCAAGAAATGGATTGAATATGTCATCTACATTAGCATGCTTTCTTGCTTCGTCGTCATGGGTGGTACAGGCATGTACTTGTTCTTCCAGTGCATGCCAGTGCAGTGAGTAGTCATGAATCACTCAAAGGGATCCAATGAGTACTAATACATAATCCAGGAAGAACTGGGACACAAAAGTCGAAGGCTACTGCCGCGAGCGCAGCACGCAAACTATCCTCTCCTACGCCGTAGCCGCAGTATCCATCTCGACAGACTGGATCTTCGCCACGCTCCCCATCTTCCTCCTCTGGGACGTTCAACTCGACTGGCGCGTCAAAGGCGGCGTAATGGGTATGTTGGGTCTCGGAATCTTGTAAGTCCATCCCATCCACACTCAACCCCCTCAAACTAACTCTCAACCACAGCGCCTCCATCGCCCCCATCGTCCGCCTAAAATACCTCATCGGCCTCAACGACGCCTCCCGCCTCCTCCAAAACCTCAGCGCAATCCTCGCCTGGGCCACCGCCGAAATGAACGTCGGCATGTTCGTCGCCAACCTCCCCGCCTGCCACCCCTTACTCAAACACGCCATTGCGCGCTTCTCCACCTGGTCCGGCAGCAACTCGCGCTCCTACTCCTCCGGCATCTTCGGTTCCAAAAAACCCCACCCGGGTGGCCCTTCCGCCAGCAACGCCATCGACTCCAAAAACAAGTGGCTGGAACTCGACGATCAGCAGCAACAGCAACGCCCAGAGTCGTCCCGTACGCGGAATTATCTGAGTAACAAGGGCAAGGGGACAGGGGTGGAGACGAAGATATATGGGGATCTAGAGGATTACGGGAGTGAGGAGAGTTTGGATGCGCGGGACGATGGGAGTCAGAAGAGGATTGTCAAGAAGCCGAGTTTGGATGGGTTGCAGGTTAATGTGCAAAAGGACTTTCGGGTCGAGGTTAGTGAGAGGTTCGATCAGAGGGGGAGAGGCAGGGGGAAGGAGGACGCGGATAGAGTGCAGGCGGATAGGGTATAGAGAGGGTCGGCTGGATCGATCGCGGGGGGTGGGGGTTAATGTTTAAGATGAAAGAATCAAAAGTAACAAATATACATGTATGATATTAGGTATTTACAGCATGTACCTGTGTGAGCGGAGACCCTTGTACTTTCTAGTGAGACGGTGATGGTGATATTTAGGGGCTAGGTATTCTAGCTTGGTGAGTAGTAGTACTCGAACTATCTCGGTGCTCGCCCGTTGTAATTCACCCCAGGCACAGCAGTATAATTCCCAAAACAATCATACTCGAAATCAATCTCTGCACTCCTCTTCTTGAGCACCTCGACCACATTGTCGAAGGAGCAAAGTCCATCCACGTCCTTGGGACATCCAGGATGGGACTCATGGATTGGGACAACAGCGTCATTCCTACACGTATTCATTAGCGAAAAAATCTCTAGTTTGGCCAAATAAGGCCCCCTTGGGCAAAGGTGGACAAAAAGGGGAGGAGGGGGGAAGAACTTACACAACAAACCTAACCTGCTTCCCCGGCGTCCTCCCCTTACACTCAAGCACCTGCGTAGTAAAATGCGTCGCAAACGGCACTAGTTTACTCGCAACAAACGTATTACTGCCCTCATTCCCCTTCTTACTTAACGGTTCCCCTTTAAACAACGCAGTCAGGTTAAACGCGGTAAGCACATCTAGCACCACAACTTCATGCGTCGCATCCGCATAGATACTCTGGTCCAGCGGGAAATAAGTCGACGTATTATCAAACGTTTCGTTCAGTGCTGAGTTCGGCGAAGGGAAGGTATGAGTGAAGCGCGCAATGTATTCATCGAGATAACCCTTTCCCTGTGCAGCGGAGACGGGGGAGCCGGGCCCGTTGTTGTAGTAGAAGGAGAGGTCGAAGTAGTATTCGTAGTTTATGAAGTCTTGTTCGCTGAATAGGGCGCAGAAGGGGGAGGAGCCCAAGGCGTGGGTTTCGTAGGAGCAGAGTTGGAGCATGGAGATTGCGTCGGATGGAGTCAAGGTAATGCCGTGGGCTTGGGATTGGAGGCGCGCGAGCGTGGCGTTAAAGGCGTTGGTAGCGAATTCAAGGGCGACGGTGCTGCCGATGCTGCCACGAGAGGCGATGTTGGAGTTGTTGCAGATTTCGTAGGGGGCGCCGGAGTTGTTGAGGCCGCGGGTTTCGACGAGGATTTCGATGTTGACTTGGTTGAGGTATTCAGGGACACCGAAGAAGCCCGCGGCGAAGTTTTCGGCTGTGTGAACCATGCGGTCTTGACTTTGGGTTCGGAACACTGGTATCTTTCCGGATTGGGTGAAGTTGTTGAGGAGGTGGCCGTACAGCTGGCGGTACTCGACTCCTAGCATGAAGTTTTGGCTGCGACCGAATGGTGTAAGTAGTTCAGCACCTAGCTTGTACCTCCAATTGCTCAAGAAGGTGAGTTCTCCAGAGAATGAAAGTCCGGTTTTAGTGGCATTGGAGAGTTTCGAGGCGAATTTTGCTGGCGCGGCGTCGCTGGTGGGATACCTGGCTCCATGACGGTACAGCAGATGCATTTGCGTAACATCGCATCCCTCAGGAATCAGAGGACTAGCATCTGGCAACCCATAATCGGCGCTGCGAACAGAATACCATGGACTGAGATTGCCCCAATACTTTGCAATGTCAAAGTCAGGAGACTGAGACCCGCTTCCATGCGGCTGGGGCTTGACCAGCGGCCATGAAAACGCAGCCTGGTCATTATACGGATAAGACGGCGCAGTCTCGATAGCATTAGGCTCAACTCCAGTCGGCGTCGCTGCATGTCGTGTTAGTCTTTGCTCTTCTTGCTATGTCATGGAGTATACTCACGTCCAGGAAACCCAACCACCTCCTCTGGCGGAAAAAGCGACGGATCAGCCTGAGCTAAAGGACACACACAATTAGCATCTTTCACTTCCCAGTCAAACCAAGCAAGAAAAAACTTACTCCCAGAAGGCGGATACACATCCATCGTACTCCTTCCCACATCCTCCGCCGCCGAAACCGTCGTCGTAGCCGAAGACGTCGAAGGCGGCGCCGCACCAACCCCCGCAACAACCAACGCAACAACTCCACCCCATCTCATTTGCATCTTCATCTTCATCTCCTCTCTTAACTCTTTACCAGCCTTATCTCTCTCGTCTCTTTCGCACGCAGAAGCCCACTTAACAATACTCGCAACCAAAAAAAGAAATACCAAGCACACCAAGCTTTTGCCGCCGAGCTCACGGTTGATTAAAAAAAAAAGCTTGACTACAGCAGCCACCTTTAATAACCCACCCCCCCACTGCTCTTGCTTACTATGTATATACTTTCCTAACACGGAATTGTTTTCTTTTGGACAGGTACGTAAGGCTACCTGCTTCGTAGCACTTGTAGCCAATCAGGGGCGAGTATACAAGCACATGTTTGGTGTTAGCAAGGCTGGCGGATGGGCGTGGAAGCAGGGGGGGGAAGCCGCTGACGTCTACGGGAGATGTTTGGGGTAAGCGGGAAGGGGACGGTTGGAGAAGGAGAAGAGGGGGGGGGAGGGGGTTGGGATTGGGTGGTTGGGAGATATCTTTTTATTTTTTTTGCTTCCGCGGTGTTTATTTAGAAGCTACGGGAGGAGTTAATTTCGTCGCTGGGTATGCCGCAGTTCCCGAGATGAGGGATTCTGAGAGAGAGAGAGCAGTTTAGAGTGAGGTTTGGATGATGCTCTTACTTGTTTCTTTTCCTTTTTTCTAAGCATAGATATCAAGGAAAAAAACGATTTGTACAAGACAAGATCTGGGGAAGCGGAGCAAGTGGAAAAGCAACTACGTGGGGGGCGGGGGGCGCAGAACACACAACGTATCGATTCGAGCTAAGCATTGAACTTACCCCAGCCACTGCAGATCGCAACGAGTCGTAGTCAGGATGAAGAAAACCACAATGGCGGCATTTTAATTAGAAAGGACCTAGAAATCTGGTTTATACAGTAAAAGAAATATTTGAAATCATGCCCTTGACCCCAATTCGAATGCCTTCATTCGTGAACCGAAAAGAAAATCCCCAAGAAAAACACCTATACCAATGCCTTGACCAGGGCAGCCCAACGGTGTGTCCTCGTTAAAATCTCATAACCCAGAGTCATGAGCCGCTATCATCAGGTCGTTAACGAGTTCCCGTCGTACTACGCCAAAAGGAACAGAAGATTGCGCCGCTTTTTCTCGCAATTTGATGTCGTATGGAAAAGATACCAGGGAAACACAGAACAAAAAAAGTAGAGCCGACAAGACAGAGTCGGTCCAGGCAGTCATCTACAAGGTCTAGCGTCTACTAGTGACGCGTAGAAGAAAACGTCTAAGCAACGGGCCAGCGGGCACGTAAGCCTTGAGTCCATTGGCCATAGAGAATGTCAGCAAGCAGCGCTTGCTGCTCCATACCAGGCTCGACGTAGCCTGGTAGCTTCTTTTCATCAAAAGCCTCAATAGCCTCAGCACTAAAGCCCTTTTCGCCAACGACAAGTGCGCTTTGGGGACGTTTGTGGGATTTGAGTTGCGGAGACTTCTTTGCGGGTTTCAGTGCTTTGATTGGAGAGCCACCGCTCATGGGTGTTGCCGGAGTAGAGGGGGCGCGTTCATAGTCTTCTGAACCTTTACTGTCTGTTGTTGAGATGGATGTGTTCGAAGTGCTGGGGCGGATTCGACTGGTTCCTGACCCGTGCACAGTAGTACCTCCTAGGCTGATCTCACTGGTCTTCGTGTTGTGCCTGTAGGGTGATTGTGATGACGAGACCTGAATGCCGAGTGCTGAGGCAAGCTTCGTATCGTTCTTCAGACGATCGACAATGTTCTTGAGAAGCATAAACTCTCCATGTGGGTCGACTTCATCGAGATGCTGCCACGCCTGAGCGACGCGACCAATCGCATCCCGCTGACGAGGTGATGCAGTGTCTGCATGTGCTTCCTGGAATACCGAATCCAAGACTTTGCTGTAGGCCCGTCGACCGTACAGCGCATCCTTGGTGATAGGCATATGCGCATTATCGGGACTGGGTGGCTCGTTCTCATTGTTGAAATCGAGTGGATGGTTAGAGTTTGGTGGAGACGGCCGGAAAGTGCGGGCTTCGGGGTTTGGATGGAATGACTGGTTGCCCTGGCTGGTTTGTTCGTTTGCGTTGTTTGAGCGTGCTGGAGCACGACGCTCATCTGACGAAACGCGTTTAAAGTGCCGTACAGTCGATGGGGAGTTGCCAAATGTGAGGTCTACGCCTAGTGGCTGCTTGCTGGCGGTACTGGCATTGGTAACGTTGCTGAGATTGCTAGGCTGGCCAATGTTGCTAACTCGGCGGGCAGTTGGTGTGTTACCAGAAGGAACTCGCAATGCCGTGACTTGAGACTGTGGTCGAGGGGGGGTCCGACGACGTGTTGACGCTGGTGACTCTGTGACGTCACCCAACGGTGCTGCGTTGAGGTCCATGCGCTGCATACCGCTCTGTGCTTCATCCACGGCGGTGGGTATCCGAGTGGACTTCCGTTGCAATTGCTTCATGGGTTGTCGTGGCGCCACCGTTCCGCGCTTGACTGTGTCGAAGTCCCATGCATCGTCATCTTCGGCTTTGGCGGAAAAGTCAACCCTGCAAAGCTATTAGCATTTTCTTGAGAGAATTTGAGTATGTACTGACATTGTCTCTTCATAGTACTTGCGCTGAGACGCCGCCTGCTGCTCCCTCTGAGCGTCCCACATCTGCTTGCGCTCAACGAGCTCGCGAAGGGCTTCAACCTTGCCTGCTCGCTGAATGAAGCGATGCTTCAACAGTTCCTTGGCTGATGCACGTCGATCGGGATCCTTGACCAGGCATTGAGCGATAAAGTCTTTGAAATCCTTGCTCCAGTGGTCGCCCTCTAGCCTAGGTGCCGGATTTTTGGGAATCGTAAAGAGCACCTTCATGGGATGCGATCCTGCATGTGGAGGTGCGCCCTCTGCCAACTCCATGGCGGTAATGCCCAAGGACCAAATGTCGGCTCTAAAGTCGTAGCCAGCCTCTTGGATCACTTCCGGAGCCATCCAGAACGGGGTGCCGACAAAGGTCATGCGTTGGGATTTCATGTTGGTGAGTTGAGCGGCAACACCAAAGTCGGCCAGCTTGACCTTGCCTTGATCGGTAAGAAGGACATTGGCGGCTTTGATGTCACGATGAATTTTGCCGGACGAGTGGAGGTAGTCGAGTCCGAGGAGAAGTTCTCGACATGTAATGGCAATGTGTGCTTCGCTGAAAGTTCCGGGAGCCAACTACTCAAATCAGTCAAGAAATTGATGGGGGGTTATGTGGTTGAGCATACCAAGTCGGCAGCCGACCCTCCGCCCAGGTACTCCATGACGATCCATAGCTTGACGCCCTTGACGAAGCTGGTCTTGTACTCGGTGACGTAGGGGCTGTGACAAGTGCTCAGGAGCGAGATCTCTGCCTGGATATCGGCCAGCTCTTCGGTGCTGTCTTCGAGGTCGATCTACGGGGGATGAGTATGGGGGATCGGCCGGGGTAGAAGTGGATGCATACGTGTTTGATGGCCACAGTCTCGCCGGTGGTCTTGTCGATTGCCTTGAAGACCTTGCCGAAGCTCCCGCCTGTAGCATGGTCAGCGATTGTGGATAGTGCAGGGGATAATACGCACTGCCCAGCTCCTCCATGACCTGGTAGCCCTCGGCCATGGTAGGCGACATTTTGCGTGGTCGTGAGCTGCGAGGTGAAGTGGCGGTAAGACAAGTCGCAGGACGAGGGCAGGGCGCGCACGGCGAGCGGATCCAGGAGGAAATGGCAGATAGTAATAGGGTGCGGGATGGGATGGTACTACATGTCCGCGGCGACGGTTGGTGGTGGTGTATATCCACCGGAGCGCAGGGTCCCCAGCCCTGCCATCGCCGAGGCAACGAGCTCGCCTCCATCAACAAACGCACAACCCCCCACCATGACGTTGGTCTGGTATTGCGACGAACACGGAGCCGCAGGGCACCCAAGCTGAAGCCGCCACAAAACCAAATTGAATGACGGCGTTGCAATGCGACTGAATTAGCAGAGCCAATGTCGGAACGCGACTTCGCGCCAGGCTAGCAGCCGAAGAAGAGCAGCGGGTTCCTGGCCAGCAAGACGGCGGGTACACCATCTCGATGGCTGACTATCCGCCCTGCATAAGCTCCACAACCAACGGGTAAGTAGTGGCAGCGGAGGTGGTGGCATCAACGTTGAGCCCCCCCATGGCGGGCTTCTCGTTGCCAGTTGCATGTGCGGGCGGATGGGAGGCCTTGGGCGGGCCGCTTTGGGAGTGCCGACGCGGGATGCTTTTTGGGTTGGCGTGGAGGAGAGAGCATGGCGACGCGGTTGCCAGGACAAAAAGACGCCTTACTGGGCAGCGCGAGCGGCAGCGCATCAACCATGACATTCCGTCACATGGGATGGCGGTCCAGAGCACCTTGGGCAGACAGCGTGTTTCAGGGCAGGACGGGCAGTGGTTGTGCGCCCGCGGCTGGCAACCATGGTTGTGCTGGTCTCACGAGGCGCGAATAGCCTCACCCGACAGGCATCATGTGTATGAATGCTTGGTCTACACCTACGCTCGTGACATGCACTCGTTCTCACCGCAACAAGACGACGGACAGGATACGGACAGAGACACACAGGCACGTCCACAGTAGCGCTGCTGTTGCTGCATCCAGGGGCTTCTTTTTTCTCTCTCAATGGTCGAATTACGTGGCCTGGCCCCTCATTTCCGAAGATGCCAATCCAATCCAATCCGTCCATGGATGCGTCCATGGATGGTATTATGCCAGGCACGGCGTATATGCAAACAGGTGCTTTTTCGACGTGTCGTGCCCAAGGCACTGCCACGACACAGCATCGCGGCCGTGGCTGCTCGCCTACTCTATTGCCGACTACAAAAGATGCAGTCTCCAGCGTCCAGCGCGCCGTTGAGCCACGATGCAATTCCTTCTACACATGGACAAGGACACGCAACCAGGCAAACCCCAGGAACCTCAGTGCCAGGAAATGGTTCCCAATCCGGCTTGTTTGTGGCCTGAGCTCGTGAGCGCATGAGAGACACGGGTTCAAAGACTACGGCTCCGGCTGCAGCGCAAAGGAGATGAATGTTCGCCGTCTGCTCTTGACATCTCTCACGCCCGCCACAAATGCCCTCCTCGATGTCTCCGGTATGGGTTCTCGTTCCACGGCCGGTCCAGCGCTCTTGAGATCGTGGTTCTCGTGGTTCAGAGGCTCGCTGCTGCTCCGATTGGTCGGCCCACCCACAGCCCTTCTGGCCCTCTACCTCGAAGTCTACGGCAGCTCCCCAGCCGCCGCCTCGCTTATTCTTCACCGACTCGCTCGCCGCTTTCATCTCCCAACCCTCTTCTGTGCACTCGCAACCACGCAACGTAGGCCGAATCCTCTGTCAGATCGTGGTCCACCACCTGCCATGGATCGAGCACAGACACAAACCCTGCACCACAAAGGGGCAGACCCGTCATCCTACGCCGAAATATCATCTGCATCCGCCCACGCCGCCTCCATGCCCGCCTCTCCCTCCCAACCTCCTGCAAAAGCCATGTCGGCGCACTCCCGCTCAAAGACGGTGGACATTGTCGGCCAGGGCAAGCGCCTCTCACTGCAGTTCCCCATTCAACCCACTGCATCCGCAGCCACTCCCGCTTCTGCCACACGCACGCGCCCTCAATCATGGATGAATGGCACCTCACCCATCCCCTCGCCCGAGCCCCAGGAGACGCCTCACGAGACCAACATTCTCGCCGTTCTCGCTGCCCAGGAGCGCTATGTGCTGGAGCTCAAGGAGGAACTGAGCAAGGCCGAAGCCGATTTGAACATGCTCAAGTCGCATTGGGCCCGTCATGAAGCCAGTAAGCGCCACAACCAGGTGCGCAGGGTGGCTCCATTGCAACCTCTGGACACTTCACTTGCAAATTCCCCGCCTACCCTGTTCGACGACGATGCCTCGGGTCTGTCCATGCAAAAGGAAATGGAGCGCAGAAAGAACCTCCTCAGTCATTCCAAGCCCGCACAACGCAAGGTCTTCAGTGGCTCGCGCCATTTGCGCACCCTGTCGCTCCTCTCTCCAGACCGCATCGACTCACCCTCCTTCCCCCACACTGCCGACCTTTTGGACAACCAATCCCCCAGCATGCGGCCTCTGCATTCCGCGCGAACATCCACTTCGTCAGAAATCACGCGCCCACTAGTCTCCCCCGCCGAGCATGACCGCTATGACATGGGTGGCATGCCAACCATTCAGCGCGAGCAGCTCATCCGCGCCGGCACACAAATGGCTACCGACTTCAAGAAGGGATTGTTTACTTTTATCGAAGACATCCGTCAAGCTACCGTTGGCGACGAGGCAGTGCACACCACCGACTCTGCTTCTGGTTCCGCTAGCGCCAAGGGCTCCAAGACTAACCGCAAATCGTCTGAAACTCGCCCCCCACTTAGTCGCTCTGCTAGCTCCAAGAAGTCGACGCAACAGACTGGCTCCTTTGGCGATGACTTTTGGAAAGAAATGGGCCTCAGTGATCCCAAGGCTACGGCCCCAAACAAAAAGACACAGGCGGTCAAGAACATAAACACCCCACAAAAGCAAATACGAAAGGTGGCCTCCGAGGAGGACTGGGACAATTGGGACACCCCCAATGACTCGCTCCTAGTAGACGTCACAGATCCCAAGGACAGTTCGGACGACTCTGATGCCCACAATTCGTCCATCTCGGGCCTGGACAGCTCCAACACCAGCAGTAGCGCCAGGTATCATGCCAAGCGCCATGATTCCAAAGCCTCGTCCCTCACCTCGATCAACCAAGACGACTTTGTGCCCCGCGAACAAAAGCGCTCTTCCATCACCTGGCCCGACATGACAAAAGTCTCGCCCAGCAACCTGAAGCGCACGGCTTCGCACCTGATGAAGGAGTGGGAGAAGCAGCTGACGCCTCCCCCAGAGTCGAGAAACCAAGACTACGCCCATGGCGACTACATGAATTAACGAAGGGTTTTGTAGCATTCCCACTAGTGATATCCAGCATTATGAAGCCACGCCACCACACGTCAATGTATTATTCAAGATTGACCACATGTAGTAGGCGGTTTTTGCAAGTAGCGTTTGAAAAGCATGGCGTTGGCGCAATTGTAAATAAAGCGTTGAGACCTAGCTTCGGGCAGACATGTATTGTCGATAGAAGCATAATGAATAAATTTGAGAAAACTGATAACTTTACGATGTTTTTTTCTTTATTTGTTTCATGTGAGTGGTTGCGTGCACCCATCCACCGCCTTTGTGGAAGAATTGGACTGTTGAGAGTATTGCCAAGCCCCACACCCCGGCATTTCCCGTCCTCCGCTCTGAACTCCGCAAATTGTTCCTGCGTAGTGGCGGCGCATCGCAATCGCATCGCAACAAGCAACAACCACCTCACCTTTTTCCTACACACCTTTTTGATCCTCTTTTTTCTTTTCTTCCCGATTGCGAGCCATGGCGTTTCCAGGAGGTCCGGGCGCGATGCCAGCATCCATGAACCCAACCGCCGGTATGTCAGAGCAGGAACAGCAAATGGTGAAGGCGGTACGGACGGTCTAGTAATGCAGCACGGACATCTAGCTCACGATTTGTAGATGCAAATGGGCATGGAGTCTTGTCTAGGCAAGACGGTAATGGCTGGTGTCATGGGAGGAGGCCTGGGTGCCATGTTTGGACTATTCATGTCGTCGGTATGTATCTCCAGTCTCCATCCAGGTGAGAGAGAGGACGTAATCTAACATATGTCAGATGCGATATGATACACCCATGTCACAACCACTTCCCATGACTACGCCAACCACTCCAGCACCCAGCACCTCAGCCGCAGCGGCTGCAAAACCCTCGACAGTCGCTTCAAGTGCATCATCCTCCGCCGCCGCCACCCTGCCAAACCCCACTGCAGCAGGGACCGTTTCAATCACCGATCTCCCTCTGAAGCAGCAACTCCGTGCCGGTCTACGCGACATGTACCGCTCCTCCATCTCCTCTGGTAAGAACTTCGCCAAGGTCGGTGCCATATTTTCGGGTACCGAGTGCGCAATCGAGGGCCTCCGTGCAAAGAACGATCTATACAATGGCGTGGCAGGAGGATGCATAACTGGAGGCGTCTTAGCAAGAAATGCTGGGCCGCAGGCTGTGGCTGTGGGATGTGCAGGTTTTGCCGTGTTCTCGGCCGCGATTGACGCCTACATGCGTATGCCAGAGGACGAGAAGAGCAAGCCTATCGCATAAGAAAAATGGGAGGATCTTTATGTGAAAGATTCCTACGCAAAGGTAAGAAAAATTCGAGGAGTTTGAGAGCCACGATGTACGATTACTGTATACCACTGTCGGTTAGAATTGGGACACGACTCGCAACTTTAGCATGGGCGGCGTTTGGTGGTATCGCGAATTCTATTTCAGGAGCAATATAGACTCAAGTATGCTGCGTTATATTCTGGCAGTATGTGGTATAATACAACAATACTGTTGCATGCCTGAAATGTTACATTTATGCATCTACCAAGTGGATAATCAGAATGCAATCCAAAAACAATCATCACACTGAGTTTTGGATACAAAACACATCTAGTTGTATATACTACAAAATCCAAAAAAAACCATCACTCCTTATGAGAACATAGTGGTCTTGGTAACCATGCTGTAGTCATTGGCTCTGACCAATCACGTTCCACGAGCTTTTTCACACACCCCTCCAAAAAAAGTTGCGCCCCACTAATTTTTCCGCCACAATGACCGAAATCTTTCCCACAAGCAACACAACGTTTTTGACCTAGTCATATACTCTTTCCTACCGAAAATCTTGCGACTGGCGAGGAACTGGGAGTGTGCATCACACTAACGAGCAAAATACGGAATACAAACCAGAAAGAGAAGGATCGAAATTCATACCGCACACCATGGAACCCGAGCCTTCCACCCAGCAAAAACCCATTCACTCACTTGTTCTCGACACTGGCCCTCTGATCAAAAACATCGTGTCTATCTCCACCCTCATCAACTCTGCCGAGGAACTCTACACAACCCCAGACATCCTGCGTGAAGTCCGGGACGAAGCAACCCGATCACGTGTGCAAACTACTCTCGTTCCCTTTTTGAAAATCAGAACGCCCAGCCCAGCCAGCTACGATGCCGTTGTTGAATTCAGCAAGAAGACTGGAGATCATGCTGTGCTAAGCAAACAGGATCTGGGTATTTTGGCGCTAGCGTATGAGGTGCACTGTGAGAAGAATGGAGGGACTTGGGGGCTTAGAGAAGTACCGAAGGGTGAGGTGAAGAGGAGGCCTGAGGATATTGAGAGGGAGAAGGCCGAGAAGGCTGAGAGGGAGAGGTTGGCCAAGGAGGCAGCAGAGGCTGGTGTGCTGTCGAAATCTGCGGCTAAGCGAAGGCGTAGGGCGGAGAAGGCAAGGAATGCGGTTGCAGAGGGTACGGAAGAGGTGGCGGCAGAAGAGCAAGAGGTTCCGGAGAGTGGCGAGGTCGAGGATGAGGAGGGCTGGGAGCAGCCGACTGGAAAGCGTGCGGCTAAGGCTAGGGCACCCAAGTCGACAAAGTTTAACTTCAAGCCTGCTGAAGAGAAGGTTGAGAGTGAGGCTGTTCAGGAACAAGAGAAGGATGAAAAGGTTCTGGTCGACGATGATCAAGAGGATGGAGGGGTTGCCATCACCCAGGAGGAGGTAAAGGAGCAGATTCAAGAGCAGGTTGCAGCGCAAGTCCAGGATCAGGTTCATGAGCAGGTCCATGAGCAGGTTCAAGAACAGATTCACGAGCAGCTTGCGGAAAAGGGCGAAGAGAGGCTTGAGAGCCAGGCTGTGGAAAAGGTTGAGGAGAAAGTGGAAGAGCAGGTCCAGGAGCAAGTTCAAGAGCAGCTCCAAGAACAACTCGGTGAACAGGGACTCATTGAGAAGTCGGCAACAGTCGAAGTACCAAGCGCAAATATTCATGTTGAGCAAAATGCAGAGCTGTCCGTCGCACCGGAGAACCCAGAACAACAAGACCCTACCGAAGCCCTTTCGCAGGAGCCTTCTCTCGAGCACGATATGTCCTCACTGTCCATAAACCAACAACCCACCCCACCCACAACCGACGATTCAGCCGCCGACTCAGACTCAGACGGCGACTGGATCACCCCCACGAACCTTTCCAAGCACCAAGCCGCCGACTCAGACCTACAATCCCACCTCCAAACCGCCTCCAAACCCGCCCAACTCGACCTCGCAACCATGACCACCGACCACGCCATGCAAAACGTGCTCCTTCAACTCAACCTCACCCTCCTCTCCCCCTCCCTCCAACGCATCAAAACCGTAACTTCGAAAATCCACCGCTGCCACGCCTGCTTCCTCCTCACCAAAGAAATGACGCGACAATTCTGTCCCCGCTGCGGCCAACCCACCCTCCAACGCGTCTCCTGCAGCACCAACGCTCAAGGCGAATTCCGCATCCACCTCTCCAAATCTTACACGTACAACAAGCGCGGAGATCGCTACAGCATCCCCAAGCCCATTGCCGGTACGGCAAACACCAAGTGGAAGGAGGGCTCGGGCGGTGGTAAAGGGGGGTGGGGACGAGAATTGATTCTTGCGGAAGACCAAAAGGAGTTTTTGAAGGTCAAGGGGGAGGAGAAGAGGAGGAAGGGGAGGGATGCGCTTGATGAGGATTTTCTGCCTGGGATACTGACGGGGGAGAGGGGGGTGAAGGGGGGAAAGGTTAGGGTTGGGGCGGGGAGGAATGTTAATGCTAAGAAGAGGTCGTGAGGGACGTTTGATGATGGGGGGGGGGGGAAGAGTGAGGTGGGAGAAGGCCAGGTTTTGGAATCCGCGGAACGTGGTGTTCGGGTGTCCCGCTCCATCGGGTCTTGTTCTTTTCGCATCAAAAAAACGGTGGCGTTTTTTTCTTTTCTGGGTTTATTGATGAATCGGATTTTTTCATATATTGGCGTGGCCTATGCTTATTCGTTCGTTTGGGGGTGGGGAAAACATATACACCGTCTGAAGACTTTTGCCGGCCATTTACATCGTTATGAATGTGTGATTCGATGGGAAGAAGAAATGAAGTCATTCGCAGCCCCCAAAAGTCGATTCCCTTTCAGAAATCAAGATTTACGCACAAAAGGCACAAATTACGTAGTTTAGTCGATAACTTTCCTCGGCTATTTTCTTTCTTTCCTCCTCCTCCTTCTTCTTCTTCGTTGGAAAAATATTTCGGCTTCAAGAATCTCTCTAAACTCCACAGACAAACAGTAGTAGCGTCGACCAACCAAAACATCATACATAACCCCTCCAATACCCCACCCTACCAACCCTCTTCCACGCATCTTTCCACTCCCCCCACACCCCTTGCATACCCCAATCGCATCCCCACACGCGCTACCTACGGCGTAATCTCTACATACTTTCCCCACAACAGCTCGATAAATCGGGACCGTTAGTATATCGGGTACTTGGCGCAACACCAAACTACTCTCATTTTTCCATTCGGCCCCCCCCCCCCCCCCAAAAAAAAACTAGATGTCTGTGTATATATACGACTATTATCGCATTTCTTCTTCTTCATCATCTTCTTCTCATCACGGTGGATGTCATGGGGAAAAAAGGTAAGATGGGTGGAGGTGTTTTTTTTTCGTCGCGGGTTGTTGCAAGGCTGATGGTGGTACGGAGGCGTGCGGCTGAAGGGGGACTGGGGTTATTTTCGTCGATGGGATGGAAGGGAGGGGGGGTTATTTTAGTTGGGAGAGGGAGGGAGAGAGAAAGTATGTGTAACGTCTAGGTTACCGCCTGGAGTGACGTTTAGGTTAGTGTGTAGGGGAGCGTGTGGATACGGTGGGAGCGAGAGACGGGATGCATGGATGCCTTGATTGCGGCTGTGTGGAGGTCTGAGAGGAGAAGGAGGTAGGGAGGTGGGCGGATGTGGAATGAGATCGATCTGCGTATTTTCCTTTTTGAAAATGTGTAATGTGTTCGGCGGGGTGGAATAGTTATTGGATTGTGATATTGAGGGAAAAGGTGAGAGTGTGATTTGATGGCATTTTTTTTCGATTAGTATGCAAGCCACTAGGTCAAAAGACCTAGATATGTCTGCATCTCATGCATCTAGCACATTTCTGCGCTCTTGAATCGGCGAACTGCCTATCTCACTGCAAGCAAAGAAATGGTGTTCATCTCCGACGAACTAGAGACACACAGGCTTAGACGGTGACAAGGACGGGGGTTCAGGTGAAGAAGTAACCTCTCGTATGTCCCAATGACACAGCCTGCAGAGGGGAGAGGGGGCGTTTGGGCGTAAGAATGACATACGGGATTTTGTACTACCACACATAACCCTTGCATATCACTCACGAGGGCTGCGCCCAAACGCCTCGCTTACGTTTGAGCGAAGCATGCGAGGCTGGGCTGACTCGGGGCACGCTGCGAGTTTGGCCAACGGGAGCGGTGCGGACCCATCGGGGCGCACATGAGCGAGAGCCAGGTGTGCTGGCAGTGCAGTGTTAAAGGGCGCCATGGAGCGGGCATTGCATGAGCGTTTGAGCATCTTCCTAGGTGGGTGAAAGCTCTGCAAACGAATGGCAGATCAGCTGTCAGATGAACGGTGTAAAAGGAGTAGCGGTGGAAGTTGTATAGAAAGAGACTTGATCGGGCCTTCATTGCTAGTGGGACTCCATCAGTGGCTTTTCGTACAACCTGTTTTGTTAGAATTGGAATTTTATCTTTAGACAGCATGCCGATTACTAGTATATCCGGTTCATGGACTTTGGTATCCAAGTCGTATGTTCGGCAGGTACGTTGTGTTGTTGACACAGACCCTTTTTCTATACTTATACTTCTTTAGCTCGTCAAGTCTTTTTACGCTCCAAAATGCACAGCGATTCCAAAGCAGCATCCTTCTACTGCACAAAAGAGCTCAGTAAAACATGGAGACCATCGTGCACAGATCATAGCCCGGCTGCAAGGTCAAGAGATACATGTCCCAGATGTTCACTACATATACTCTGAGTGGGAAGCCAACTTACACCCTGATGTGGAGCTGTCGAGACAACACCTCGAACGTTACTTTGAAACATTCATCAGTACAGAAAGCGTGAGAAAGAAGCAGAGAAAGGTTGACAACGCGCTGTGTGCTGGGCAGTTTTGGCCCCGTGTTTCGAGCGACAAGTTTCTTGTCCTTGGAGAATTAGTGGCCTGGGTAAAGAACTCAAATTACTTTTCCGCTCAGCTCATCCTGACCAGATACTTAGTTTTTCTTTTGGGATGACGAGATTGACTGCGGTACACTTACCGATGATAGTGACAAGACGGAGGCATATTGTGACGACACACTCAAGTTTATCAGGCACTGTCTGCAGCCGGAGCTTGAAGGGGACGTACCAGCGCCAGGTCGGTTGCACAATTGTGGACCTTGGGTCAACATGGGTCGAGCAATGCAGGAAGGTCAATCCAAAGGTAGGATATTTGATAAACCGACGAGAGGAATCAGCTAACGCTTGCAACAGAGGCACGTGACAGGTTTGCAGCAGCGATCTATGACTTTGTCATGGGTGTTCGTGTCTCACAAGCTACGTGGACCCAGGGTATATCCACACTCGAAGACTACACTGCACGCCGGCTGAGGACGGTCGGAACGAACCCTTGCGTCGCGGTAATGCAATGGGCGTATGGCCTGACTCTCCCTCAATCTGTCTGGGACCACGAAGCCATGATTTCTATAACACGCGAGGTCGCCATCAGCGACTTCCTTTGGAACGACATTGTAAGCCTCAGAAAAGAGATCGAAGACGGTGATATCGATTCCGTGATTCCAGTCATGGTCTGGAACGAGGGTTGCAGTGCACAAAGTGCTGTTGACCGGTGCGTGAAGATGGTGGAAGAGAGCTGGGAGAGGTTGCTAGAGGCAGAAAAGAGGTTGATGGCTGCGCATTCTGACGAGCCCAAGGATTCGAGGGACGAAATCGAGACGTTGGTTGGAAGCTGCAAGGATCTGATTGTGGGACACATGGTGTATTCTTTGAAAATACCCCGCAACATGTCAGCAGCAAACATGAGTGATAAAGACTGCAGCTTCCGCATCGTGTTGTGAGAAACCTGCATATGGTAAGAACATGGAGTTGATAGATACTGTTTCCTTGGGAGACAGCATAGTGTACATATAGTGTCCAATACTCACAGGTATAGGGAACGACTGCGATTGATTTTACGTGTTAGCGATCATGGTCTTCTAACTTGGGATGGTGTCTCAAACAGATGAAATCCATTCACGGGTTGCATCCTTTGAATTGAATGGTTAGTCACAAGACAGCATGTTTTCAGGATACCACAGACATACTCTGGTTCCAATCCTTCCCTGCACGATCTTCTCCAACATAGTTTCATGCATAGTAGAGTTTTATAAATAGGCACACGTCATGTATATCATGAGCTTTTCTCTAGCGATCATTTGAAATGACACAGTCTTGAATGTTGAAATCTACTAAGAAGATGCACTATATTATCAGGCAGTAAATTTGTTAGCTAACTATGAATGTGCAGAAGAGAGTATTCAGCTAAATTATTGAGTTCCTAGGCCCGGCTACCGAACCCACGAAGTTCATTTGAACATTCAATATCTATGACTCTAACAAGTCAACTGTAGTCGTCAGGCCACACAAATCCGCATAAAAAGATGCACTCCTGAACCGGTCTTCCCCATGGATGTCGAACTTCCCAGTATTAAGCAGTAGCTTAACCATGTCCTCATCCTCGTTTTTTATGTACCATTTCCATCAAAGCCGTTCTTCTCTTATCGTCTTTACCAGTGATATTAACACTCCCAGTGCTAAGTACCACTTAGGCTAAATCCCTAATTCCCCACCTTGCCGCACACATGAAAGATGTTCGGTCCTCTATCATCTCTTGCATTACCGTATGGTTTTAAGCATCAGTTCAGCTGTCTCCAGGTGCCCGTTCGATATCGCCTCCCTCAAAGCTGATGTTCCCTTATTGTCTCTATCATTGAAATTGACCATGCCAGTGTCAAGCAGTACCTTAACTGAATTCTTCTCCCCCACTTTTGCCGCATGCATGAGAGCTGTGCGTCCCTCATCATCTTTTGCATTGACATCAGCTTTACCGATGCTAATCAGAACTTTCATTGTCTCCACATTTCCCTGTCCCGCTGCGAAAATCAGGGCAGTACGCCCCCCACAATCACTTGCATTGACATCAGCTTTGCCAATGTCAAGCAGCATTTCTACTGTATCCCTCAATCCCAGTTCTGCCGCACGCATGAGAGCTGTACGTCCTATAATATTTCTTATATCAGGATGAGCTCCAAGGTAGAGAAGTGTTCCAACTATATCTCTGTATTCCCTTGATGCTGCTTGTATGAGTGTTGTAGATTCTTTGTTATCTCTCGCGTGAACATCAGCTTTACGAATGGTAGGCAGCAAGTTGACCATGGCCTGCGGTCCTTGCGCTGACACCTGTTTTGGCAGTTTGGATTTTGTTCGGTCCCTCGCATCAACTTCGGGCCTGTCAACAATGTAGAACCTTTCTACCCGATCATTGCGCCCCCTTGAGATCGCATGCACTAGCGCCGTGTCTCCAAACTTATCCTTGGCATTGACATTAGCATTTCCAGCAATGATCAGTATCCTCGTAGTGTCTATTTGTCCACCTTGTGCTGCCCACATGAGCGCCGTGCATCCGTTGAAATCCTGCTCGTCTACACTGACTTTACCTATTTTGAGCAGCACTTCGACGAATTCCTTGTGTCCTTCTGAAGCCGCCCATATTAGCATTGTGATGCCCCCTTTGAGCTTTGAATGTGGACTAATCTTTCCAAGCTGCAACAATAGTCTCAGAATCTTATCGTTCTTATAATTGCAAGCATGGACCGTGAAGGCCCACTGATCAGCGTTCGAGATGCTGAGTGCGGATTCGCGACTATGAATTAACTTTGAAGAAAGTCTGAATATGGCAGAATCGTGTCCTGATACATGGCTCAAATGCTCCAGCCAATAATCGTTTGCATATTCGTAAAATCTGAACGAGCTATTGTCCTCGGAGCGAGATGCATTGAGCGACTCTGTAATCATTTTGCTCATATCAAATGTAGGTTGCCTCCTTGATTTGAGAAACCTTATAGCCAAGCGGCGTGTACTGCTAGAAGAGTCCATGGTGGCTTGTAAGATCTTGGACGGTGCTGATTGGGCCATGATCGGGAGAACTTTTGTCCTTGATAGCTCAGTCCCGAAGACACCATAATTTAGATAGGTCACAACAATATTTGCCATGGTTCTTTTCGCATCTTTGAGCGTGAATCTCGCCTATGTCATGCTATCGTCTCCATTCAGAATGTACTGCTTGACGCTGTGATGGACAACGCGGACTGTGAGCTCTTCCTCATCAACATCGAGAAGACACCCGCAACAAGCCAGTGCTGAGTATACATCGTGTAAGATTCTAGACGGATCCAAGGTTGCATCTCCAGTAATAACGCTTAAAGCCTCGCGCAGTTCACTCGTTGTCAAAGGCCGACAAGCTGCAAGGACAACTTGCAGGGTTTTTGCTTGAAGAGATGGATCCAAACGTCCTGAATCTTGTAAGATTCTTGAGAATGTCTCTGAAAGATCCTTAGGTAGGTTCGCTAGTGCTTCTCGCATGGCATAATCGGTTTTCAATCCGCACAAAGTCCGTATCTGGAGAGCGACCCAGAGAAACATTCCTTGAGAGCCTAATAAAAGAGCATCTTGAATTTCTAGTATTAAAGTTGGATCACCGATCGTCATTGTTCCTTGGATAAGACAACGCTCTAGTTCCGTTTCAATGAAAGTCTCAATATCCGGATTATCGTCCGGTAACGAGATGACGCGTATGCGGTGAAGTTCTCTGGTTATTGATTGCAAACTAATGTCTGCTTCTTCTCGAATAGAAGCACATACGTAGACTTTGAGTGTGTCTTGAATCTTCCGGACCGCTTGTACCAGTATCTCATTTTGGGCCAAGTTGCATTCGTCAAGACCATCAATGACAAGATATACTTTCTGGTGCGAAGTAAAACCTTGAAACAGAGACTCAAGAAGCTCCTCCACATCTCCTCCTCTGTTCTGAGTATCTTTGCAACGGTTCGTGAGTACCCCGAGGTCCGATATAGAAGACAACAGCTGTCGTACCAATGAGCCAATAATTGTCTGTGCCTGCAAGCTTTCCGAGACATCATATTTGCAGAAAAAATACGCTACAATAGGCCGATCATTTCCAGTGGAGAGATTAAGATCGTCCACAATGTTGGCCGGTAGCACAGATTTGCCTGAGCCTAGCTTGCCTGTGAACATTAGTGTTCCAGGAAGCAGGCTAGTTTTCCATTCTTGATACTCTGCGTTTTGCGTGTGGAACGATGAGTTGCCAAGTTTTCTAGTCTGTTTCCATGCTGTTTCGTGGTCGTATTTGGAGCAGAAGTTAAGTATTCGCATTTTGGTTTCCTGTATTCGCTGAAGTGCGCCAGATTTGAGCGTTTCCAGAGTGAAGGCCCTAAACCTAGAATTCTCTTGAGCTTCAATCAAATGCACCTCTTCTTTAATAGAGTTTGCCCACTTATCAAGGTCTGATTGGATCGTTTTTAGGTGCGTATCGTTTAGTGAGGATGTGAACTGCCAGACGGAGGGCTTTTGCTCATACTTAAATAAATAATGACACAGCTTGACTACCAAGATGAAGTACTCTGCAAGGTGTGATTGAAGCTTCTTGGATCGAGGATACAACAAGGCCATTGCTTGATAACGCGGCGCAGCGCGACCAATGGCCATGAATAGCGAGGATAGCTTGTCAATGTAGGATGACAAACATATGATGGACTATGGTGCGTCAGCGAAGACTGGCGATGACAGCTGATGATGATACTGACCAGTAAAGACATGCGCACCAGCGACCACACACTACATGCTATCAAGTTTTGCGACCCTCCAACCACCACGTCTCCGAGTGCAGCAAACTGCTGGACACCCTGAAGGAAGTTGGTGAAGCGAGGCCCAAAACATCGACTGCTGTATTTAGTCGATATAGAGCGGTCCATCTCGGCTGTCAGTCGCATGACATCACTTGGGTCAGGTCTGGTGGAATGTGACTGCGACTTGAGTGTGCGGAATGTGGCTTTCTGTTCGGTTGTGAGGTCCGCCTCGAACTCGGAGACAGCCTGAGCGAGTCGTATCTCGGGTTTCAGTAACAAAGCCGTTCCCAGAGCTCCAGACATGATTGGCATCAACAAGTTGCATAACAAGAAAAGCTTGCCGTTGCTTGAAGTATGTGTATGCTGGGCGCAAGGCCGGCTGACTAGTATTTGGTCCTGCTTATTAGCCACGGAGGGTACGCTTAGGAAAGCATAGGTGTCTTAAAGATCAGGGAATGTTATTGCTGAGAATGGATAAATAAGGGATACAAAGAGGGAGATGGGAAAGTAAGGGGTTCCAGCAAGATGAAATCTTGGCCATCAGGCAAAAACGCAACATGTGCTGGCATCAGGCTGAGCATGGCTGAGCATGGCTTCGCCTCAGCTACCGCCTCGCTTAAGCCGTACGATCATACCGTCCGCCAGTAGCAGACTGTTGATTCATGCTCTGCGGTATTTTCATCGGTCTTTGGATGCAGGCGTATGCCTTGTGGTATCAATGTTGATCCCTGGAATCAGGGGCATTCGTGGTTTCGGTGAAGTGATGCCACGTCACATGACCGTGGCTTGGCATACCTAAGTACCTAAGTACCTAAGTACATGGTATATACAATCAGACCCAAGGATGGCCAACTCTTACTAGATCATGGCTTGGACCTATAAACATGGTATATTTCCCGAGAGGGAATCCAGGAGACGCCGCTCAGTGTAAAACAAAAACCTTTCCTAGCGTATCAATCATCTGCGTGCAGTCCTGGAGTATTATGATAATGGACTTGATCTTATCTTCCCACTTACCCAGAAACGAGTTCACAATACCGTCTTTGTTCAGGGAAAAAGCCGTGCCCTTACAGAGGAGTTGTCTCAATCTCACCCGAGTCGACAAAGTATGTACTTATGCTATGTCAGATAAGATGTGGGTAGGGCTGCGGGTGGAGATGTGGCCGGTCGCGTTTCGGCTGCGGTATCCCTGTTGGAGTTGCAGGGCCCATGCACTCCGTCACCACCGAGCGCATGGGAACTTTGGCCAGTCACGACAACGTTGAACCAAGACTCGATGTCATATTGCTTCGACTGCGCCGTTTCCTTGCCCCTGCATGTTGGATAAGCAGAGGCCCAACAGTACTCGACATATCAACCAAGATGCGATAAAGTCTTCTTTATTCCCCCATGCCGCTACCGATTGAACACCCCCGACCTGCGCCGCCATCATGTCCTCTCCCGATGCCTCACGAAAGTCGACCGAAAGCTTCGAATTCCTATCGCCCAATCCTCCTCAGGGCACCTTTGCGCCCCCCTCACAACATGACTGGACAAGCAGACCCAATTCAACGGGCGGGCGTTACAAGCCGCGACGTGGCTCAACCGCATCTTCAATTCACTCCATCGGCGGTTCACTCGACAGTAACTTCAAAACCACCATGGGCGCCGTGAGAGAGCAAAGCAACAATGGTGAAGACAAACCCTGACATGTGTCCGTGTATGCGCGGATAGCTAACCCCCACTCAGCTATCTCGACGCTTCTGACCCCTCCCATTATGCGGACGGGCATGGTTCCCCATACAACCGCTACAGCTACCTCCAGCCACCGACCGCCCTCTACCAAAGACATACCGCCCGTGACCCTCGCCCACATCCCCCATGTCGAACCCTCTGCCTTCAATCCCTACCTCACCCAAGTGGGTAATCTCTACGATGCCTTTCAGCGTGCAAAGGCAGAGGCTGGCGAGTCGGCACAACAACCGAGGAGGGCGTCAACCAAAGACGATGGTTCTGACACTCTGGTACCCTCGCCAGCCGGCACGCCAAATCTAGCAGCAGCGCCCTTTGGCCCAGATACCACTCCGAAACCGAAACGCCGAACTAGCGCATCGAAGCGTCCCTTACCGGCAATTACACCACTTTCTACGATACCCAATATTTACTTTGATGAAAACTTCCACATTGAGAACCCACGAACTTTTGACGTTGTCAGCGAGCGATCCGAGGTGGTGAGGCCGGTGCGGAGCATGAGTAGCGATGATCCTGGCGCGCTGGACGTACCACAACCGATAGGGAGGAAGGCCCTGGCAACGAATGCGATACTACAGGAGAAGCTATCATGGTACATGGACACGGTTGAGGTGCATCTGATATCCGCGATTTCAACGGCATCAACATCCTTTTTCGCTGCCCTCGGATCACTCCGCGAACTCCAGACCGAAGCTGCAGACTCCGTCGCCAGGATAAAAGGGCTGAGAGAAGACCTGAAGAGATTGGATGAGCAGATGGCGATCGGGGGCTTGAAGGTTGTCGAAATGAAGAGGCGGAGAGAGAACCTGAGAAGGCTGACCGACTCAGTCGACCAGCTCCAAGCTGTAATCATGGGGCTTTCGTATTGCGACGAGGCCGTCGTTGAAGGCGACCTGGAGACTGCTATGACTCGCATCGAAATGATAGAACGACTCGTTACTGGTGCACTGGATACCACCGACACACAGGGGACCTCGTGGCTGAAAACGCGACTGCCCCCAAAATTAATTGATTTACGACCTTTAAGAGCCCTGGACGACGTATTTGAAAGCATGACTGAGATCAAGTTCCGGATCGGAAGAGGCTTCGAGGCGCGTTTTGTAGACACCTTACTTACGGACCTACGTGAGCATGTCAAGCGTGTCCCGAACCAGGAGACATTGAAAAGATGGGTTGCAGCCTCTCAGAAAGGACGTGGCAGCAACCAGAAGCTTAAGACAACTCTTCCTGCTTACATGTCGACCGAGAACGAGCTCCGAGCGGACCTTCGAGCCAGCTTATACGGCCTAAGTGGAGCACAGTTCACGAACCAGGCGAGTACAACATTCAGGGAAGCGGTCCTTAAAGAGATGAAAATCATTATTCGGAAACATCTGCCAAGCTCCTCAGATGACGATACTGGGTCCATGGCATCTGTATCAACAAGAGGTGGGCGTGGACAAAGCCAGGCGGACAAGAACTCGATTCTTGCACGAAATCTGCGGGCAATGGACCCTGGCGATGCAGAAGAGTTCTTCGCAAACATCTTTACCAATATTGGCGAGGCACTGCGTCGACTCAGTACTTTGGTCAAGGTGTTGCTCGATGTAACCAGTGGTGTCACCACACCCCCTGTCTCTGCAGGTGGTTTACTATCCCCAAGGAATTCCTACCTCAACAATATCGATGATTATTTGGGCAACGGCGCGCCCCCGTCCTCTTCCACCGACTTGCAAATGGAGATTATGCAAGCTCTGGATATGTCAAGCCTTCTTGGCCAGGCAGTCGATGCTGCTCAGACGCAGATTACTAAGCTGCTAAGAGTTCGCTCGGAGGCAACTGCAAGCCTCCCGCTCGATAGATTCCTACGGTATTTTACAATGTGCAGGCTGTTTGCCGACGAGTGTGAGGCGGTTTCTGGACGATCCGGTGCTGCATTGAAGGGCGTGGTCAACACACACATAACCGATTTCGTGTCCAAGTTTGGAGACTTTGAAAAGCAGGAGCTTGCGAAAGCTATGGACTCGGATCGTTGGGAGCCAAAGGACTTTGACGCTGAAGACACAGAGGTTCTTGCGCGGTTATTGAAGGGTATGGAGAGTGATCCTCCAAGCTGGGCAGAGACTGGCAATATCCTGCGAGAGGTTCAAGAACCAACCACAAATGGCACGTCTGCCAAAACCAATGGTACCTCTGAAGATAAACCAAAGGAGAAAAATAAGACCACTGTGCCTGCCATTGTGGATGAGGAAAAGTACACCATATCCTCGTCTTCTTCTGTCGTTATCAGGGGAATTGAACGTTTCGAGATCCTCGTCTCCGTCATGCCAAGCATGACATCTGAAGTAGCTGCCTCGCTCTGCGAATACATCAAGCTCTTCAACTCACGCCTATGCCAACTGATTCTTGGCGCTGGAGCCATGCATTCCGCTGGTCTCAAAAACATCAATACCAAGCACCTTGCCATCGCTTCCCAAACTCTCTCTTTTATAATAGCCATCCTTCCCTACATCCGCGAGTGTTTCCGCCGCCGTGTCGCTTCTGCCAGCAACAAGTCATCTCTTGGTGAATTCGACAATGTCAAGCGCTTGCTGCACGACCAGCAGAATCAAATCCATGAGAAGCTGACAGATATTCTCTCCGGCCGCGCCACAGTGCACATGCGCAGTCTCAAAAAGGTTGACTGGGACAGCGAGGCTGAAGCAAACAAAGACGTCAGTCCCAGCATGGAGAGTTTGACCAAAGACACAGTTACTATGCACAAGGTCATCAACAAGTACTTGAGTGAGATACAGGTTCGCATGATCATGGGCCCGGTATTTGAAAGCTACAGGGAACAAGTCGGTAAAGTCATCAAGGAGGCGCCTGTCAAGACGGCAGCAGGTAAAGCACGGTAAGTGAATCAAACTGATTCCTCAAACGCAAAAGAAGCTGTTTACTAACAAACTCTCACAGTTTACTACGTGAAGCAAAACTCTTCGATGCAAAACTTGGTCCAATCGACGGGGCGGGTAACGTCGGTTCCCATCTCATTGGCCTGGTAGTCAGTAAGACGGTTGCGGAGCCGAAGGCTGAGCCAAAACCTGAATCCAAAGAAGTAGAAGCGAAACAAGAGGGAAAGGAAGCTATGGTGGGACCGAGTACTGAGAAAAAGGCTAATGGAGATACGACATGAAGTAGATACCCAGACTATCTCCTTCAAATCGAGACTTTGAATTTCGAATAGACGATTGTATTGTCATGTTTTTGTCTCTCAATTTGGTATTTACTGCATCTTCCCACACGCTACCATTTTTCATATCTAGCCGCTTTCCAGAGGTCGAGATGGGTATCTTCATTCCCACTTATCAAGATCCTCAAAGCATCTTCCCGTACCACACCCATCTTCCGGTGTCCAAAACCACCTTCCACCTCCTCGTCTCAATCTGCATCGGAAGCGGGAAATGATACGTAATAACCCAGAGAATCTTCGGTTCTTCAGCCAAATGCTTGCAGCCATAATGCAACAGCAAATAAGACAGCATGATTTTGATTTCTTGCGCAGCGAGGAAGCAAACTGAACCATACTCTCACATCAACCTCTATTCCATCTCTCCAGAATCTCGGAGAGAGGTGTACAAATAGAAGAAGAAGAAAAAAGCATACCAAACACATCTCCCACACCCAAACCGCAAATGCTCAAAACCCGTCGAAAACAAGCGCCTTCTGCATAATAATCCCCAACACATCCACCCTCTTTGCTTCTCTTCTTCCCCCAAGCCGGTCTATATTTCGGCATTGGCCGCGAATGCCGAAACGCATCGTACTCCCCTCCCCCGCATTCTCATGTACCGTTTCGTCACCCGCGATCGGCATTCAGGGACACCCCAGCAGCGTGCCGTACGGGAAAATGCATGACATCGGGCGCTGTGACGCTGTTTCGAGCGACGATTTTGCGTGCAGAGAGAAAGAGGGAGAGAGTGAGACCGATGAGGGGATTTGCGTTGGGCGTTGGGCGTTGGACTTTGCGGATTGTGGAGTCGAGGCGGTGCATGCGGGAGAGGCCTTGGTCGGTGTATTGCGCGGTGCGGTAGGTCCAGGTGAAGAAGTTTTGGGGTTCAGTCCAGGTCGTGTAGTTGGGGTGATTGACGTCCTTTTTTTGGAGGTCGGCGATGCTCTGGAGGGTCATGGGGAGGGTGAAGCGGGATGCTTGTCGGAAGTGGTGTTTGTTGGATAGACTTGGGAGGGCACTGGCGAGTGGCTGGATGGGTTTGGACGTGACGACTACCATAATTTACATGCGTATAATGTCTAAGGTGAAGCTCGAGACGGCTTTGTTAAACTCGCGATTGTCACGTAGAGAGGGGCTTGACAATAGGGAAGTTGGATAAACGGGAAATGATCTTGGAGAATGAGTACATGACGTCTAGCTCGATCCAATTCTCCGTGTCAGTACCGAGAACATCGATAATAGCACGCGGTACCTCGTCCTTGAGGTCTGGAATAATGTGTTCAAATTGTGGACAATGTTTTTATGAACAACATGTACGTGATATGGGTATTTGAGGATGATGTGGTCGAGAAACGCCCAGTCGCCGTTAAGCATATCGTAGTAAGGCTCACTCGCACTGGTAACCTCATCAGGCAGGTCAAAAATCCACGCCATTTGGCTCTTCAGTATGACAACATCAGGCGGTATTCCCAGTGTGGGAGGTAGCACAAAAGCCTAGTCATTACATTTGTATTAGTGGTGTCCAGCAACCATCCATTCTTTATTCTTTGTAACAGCGAAGAAGTTGCGAGTCAAGCCTATCCATCCTGTCCCGTAACCCATACCTGATAAGATGGCAGGTAATTTCGGTGTGGTGAGAAAGTGATAGACTGTAGTTGTGATCGAGTACGTGACAATGACAGCGACAGCGTGCGGAAGCGTCAAACAAGCCGTACAGCCCCAACCCCTCCCCTCCCATGTTGAGTGTCTCTGATGGTGGATCAGAGATGGAACGTCTGAATTCATGGGTCAGGTGGCACAGCCTACAGCATGCTTATATATGTGAGTAGCGGCCGGTCGACGGGGCAGGGTAGACCCCAGCAGCGTTGTCGGGTGAAACAACACATGCACTGCATGTCACTGACAAGCTTTCTTAGTCGATCTGTGCACGATCACTGACTAGCTGGTACTGTCGGAGACCCATCCGCTTACAGCCTTCAAATCATCAATCACCATGAACCTCTTGGTAAGCAAGTCAGGACTGGATCAACCTAGTAAGAGCGGCCGCAGCACACCGCCCAATGGATGTGCGGAAAGAGATCCCCAGGAGAGAAGACATATTCAAGCACAACAGCTATAAGCCCAAATTCTGCACCACCAGCGCGACATTTGCCCGCGTTGTGCAAAGCCAATTCGTGTCATTATTTCTTGGTTTGGCTATATGAGAATTAAGAAGTTCACGGCCTAGTACGTATTTGCTTGTCCTTATTTCCAGTAGCGTCGGTTAAACCTCCTCCGAGGATCGTGTAACCGACAGTCTAGACGACCGGTAGTGATTTTTCTAGGATATTGAGGTAGTTTGGGAGGTACAACTGTATATGGAAGTACTCCTGTGAGGTGGGGATGGATGTCATACTAGAAGACGCGCTGTCGTGGACGAAATTTGCATCCACGGTTGGGATTGATCAAGAAGCAAAATGACCAAATCAATAGAAATAGCATACAGAAGGTCGTTTACATATCTAGTGTCAGGCTGTAGCTGTGAACGGTTCCTAACCACACACACACAGAGAGAGATGGAGGAAGAAGAATATTCTCTAGAAAGTCTCTACCGTCTATAGGTAACAATGCCAAATGACTCCGACTAGACCATATTTACTACCCCAATTTCTATGCTCCCACAAACTTAACCACATTCCTCAGCAGATCCATGCCTGTCCTCTCACATGCCAACAGCAAGCTATCCACACCCGGTATCCGCTCCAATTCCTCCTGCGTCTGTGGTCGCGCACGCACAATCAAGTCAAGCGTGTGCGGGGAAACGATGGGTGGAGCGGTAGGTGGACGGCGTTCTGGAAGTTTGCTCGTGACAAGTTTGCTGAATGCTAGGAGTTTGGATTTTGCAATGCGGGAGGAAGGGCTAAGGTTGGGATCCGATATCGATGGTCCCTGCTTTGGAGAGGCGCGGGATAGGCTCTTTTGTACGGTAGGCCCCGATTTCAAAGGTGTTGTTCCGCTTCCTGCAAGGGAAAGCGCGTGGGAGATGGATGGTTCGTGGAAAAATTTCCTCTCTTGTCTTGCACGAGGGATAAGGCTAGTAAGGATGGGTGTGGGTTTAGAGTATTGTAAGGATTTAGGATGCGGGGATGTCTCATGGGGTTCATGAACATCGTGGTCTCGATGATCCTGCTTTCTTGGGCTCTCGGCCCACTTGCGCTTTGTGCCAGAGCTCTCTCGCCGATTGCTTGAACTTCCAAAGTCCAGAGATAAAAGTGTATTGTCGGAACTGTAATCTGACTCGTTGTCTTTCAGAGCGGTACCATCTGCATCAAGCTTGGACCCGGCTAGAGTGAAAGATAAACCGGTATGTAGTTGAGGCGTCTTTGGTGGAACTTGCGCTTCCTCATCCCTAGACGGTGAAGGTTTGTCAGTGCAGGCTGACTTCTCGATACCGTTTTTTGTGAGGAACTCCGAAATGACCTGAATCCATTCATCTCCGTAATTCCGCTGTTGGACCTTCCCCACACCTTTGATCGCAAGTAGAGCAGATGTATCCAGGGGGCGTGCCCGGGCAATGGCCCTGAGCAGAACATCGGAAAGTACACGCGCTGGCGATATGTTTCCCTTTTCTGCAAGGAGCGCTCGACGCACAAGTAGCTCGTCATATAGAGCCTGTGAAGTCTCGTCAAGAAGTTCCAATCTCTTTACAGTAACCACTGCTTTGGAAGTTGCTGCCCAACTACTTTTTACGGGCTCGACACCAAAAAATTCTGCTGTTGTGATAGTTGTTCCATCACCAACATCTAAAATGATTGGGTCATCCCTTGAAGCTCTCCCACTTGGGTACCTTTCGGCATATATTGGTGGAGGTGGCATTGGCTCCATGGCGAGTCTCTTTGCATTCATGCATTTGTAAAGCATGAAGCCGGCGTAAGCATCTCCGGCTGCATATTCGATCTGCTCTGCTGATAACGGCTTGCTCCAGTTGCTTGTCCTCACATCACCTTTGTACATTGGCAAGCCGAGCTGTTCTTCCACTTGGTGTGCCAAGCTCACCAGTTTGACGGACACATACTCTGGTTTGTGAGGCCCGAACTTTACCAGTCGGTTTAGATGACTCAATTCAATGGCACCTTTCGGCTGGAGTCCAAAGTATCGGCTCAGTCTTGAGAAATCAGCTCTCAATATGTTGACCCCCACCTTTCCGACATTTGGATCCTCGATGATCTTCTTCAATGATGGCGCAATGATGTCGCTACTTGTCTTTCCTGGATGCAGTCCGATGTGGATCAGTCCGATTTTATCTTCAGAAGCAATCTGAATTAGGCCGATTTTATTTTGCAGAGTGTCTTCGACCCAGTACCCAAAAGGCCATTCCATGTCAAATCCAATAATAGGTTCATCGAGAAATCGTTGGGCAATGGCTTCCGATTCTGCTTTCGTTTTGCCATACATGATTTCAATCTCCTTGCCCTCGGGCCCCCGATAAAAGCGGTGGCTCCACCATAAGGGCGGCGCGGGCTGATTTGAGGAGAAGCCATATGATCGGAGGGCGGTGGGCTGTGCTTTGGGCAATTGCAAGGAGAAGGAAAGTGGCCATTGTGAAGTTGTTGGTTTGACAGTGGAAGCGGCTTCAACTTTAGTGGAGGCGGGAGCGGCCATCAGACGCCGTCTGGTCCAACTCCAAAGCAGACTCGGTGAGCTCCGCCTGCTGCGGTGGATCATCGTAGAAAGCATGGGGAGGCTGCGCAATCGTGAGGGGTGCAGGGTCGCCATTGGCGCTAGGAAGCACAGACTGTCATGTACGCGCTATCACGTGAGTGTCCGCTAGCGCGTTTGATCTTGTTCTCACTATTACTTGGAGTACGCTGTTACCACCTGCAGTCGCAATGCCATTGTGAGCTTCAGCATCAGACTCCCTGGCTTCGCCTCTGGGAACGTCTCTAGTACGGTTCTGGATAACCTCTCTTATTTTCAGCTCAAGAATGCCACGCCCCAATGGATGATGACCGCATCAAAAACCAATCGTACAGCCCCGTTGCCCATAGTGTCCACATCTTTGGGCGTAGCCCTCGATTACGCAGTTCGTTTCCTTTAATTAGCCTGTTTTTTCGCCTCGGGTGTCGATTGTTGCATCCGATTGCTGCACATCAATATGCCGAAGAGCTGAGCAAGGCAAGTCCCGGGACGCCTCATGGAGACCCGAACGAACCAAGAAACCTTGAACCAGCCATGCTGAGACTTGTCTCTCCTTCACATACTGGTTCAAAGCCTTGCGCAACCGATCAGGACAAGGCCTTGGTCTGGAATCTTGGATAAGCTGACATACGTACATCATGACGGGGCGTAAATCCCATCGCATCCCCGATGGCCCAGTCTTTGCACTGACTGCCAAGATTTGCCTTGGACTCTTACCTTGAACGCCTCACCAGGAGAAGCAATAGATGGCCCAATTAGGTAACAGCTTATTGCTTCTTTGATACACTTCGGGAATGCAATGTGGTTTTTGCCAAGACGCGACACCTGGGCCCTCGTGCAGTACCCGTTTCAAGGATACGCGAACCAGCCTTCGTGAGCACAACATCTGCCCTATGCATTGATCACGGTGCGACAGCTTGTGGCACAGCTCTTGCATTCTTGCCTTGGGGCCGCGTGTGCCTGTTTTGTATATTAAGGTAGACATTCTCCCATGAGGCTTGCAGGGCCACATTCATACTGAGATACCACTCTGCTTTACCTGCTCAATCGTCTGTTTTCCCATTTTGCATATTTACCACGACAATCACAAACATCATGTTTTTTTCCACGTCGATATTGGCCATGGCCATTGCTGGCCTTGTACAGGCACAGGCACCGCCTGGTTTCACACCTGAGGCTGCAAACAAACTCGAGGTCATTTTCAACTCCACAATGATCAATACCCCAGGCCAACTAATACCAAGAGCCTGTATGTGTTCTGTAACATTTACCATGTTTTCTAGAACCAGCATCTGACTTGTATCTAGCCGCCGCAAGCCAGCCCAAACTTGCCCTATCCAGCGCCTTGATCAACATGAATGAACAATACATGTTCATCATGCTAGACCTAGATGTCCCGCCAGCAAACGGCACCACAGAGCGCCGCGTACTCTTGCACTGCATGAACACGGGCTTCCGAGCAACAAGGCAACAACTCAGCGGCGCAGCCAGACTTCTCGCGTCATCCCAAACAGGCCCAGCAGCATATCTTCCTCCCAACCCCCCACCAGTCGACACAGTCCCACATCGCTACGTCGAGCTACTATTCAAGCAACCTTCCAACCTTAGCGTTTCTGCATCGACTTATGAAAATGTGCAAAATCGTATCAATTTCGACATCGAGGCTTTCATGTCTGAAAATGGTGTGGACGCCCCTCTTGCGGCAAATTACTTTCATGTGGATGGACGAGCAGGCGCGGCATCAGCAACTGGATCGTCAGCTTCGGCGAGCGGAGCATCAGCAGCAGCGACGGGAGTATCGCCGAGTGGTACTGGTGCACCTTCAAGTACCCTAGTGCCATTCGAGGGTGCAGCTGGCAAGGCTAGCGTTCCGATTAGGACGGCGGCGCAGCTTGGTGGCTTAGCGCTGTTTGCTCTGTTAGTCTTGTAAGATAAGCTGAGTCCTGTATATTTCTAGTCATGTCTTGATGATCTTGTTTCTGAATCTACTTTTATATCTTTCCTTGAAATTTTCTAAACATTGCCGTGTTCTCGTGACAATACAGCTCTCAGAACGAGGCCTTTTCAGCGTTAACAATGCTGTAGTATTCACTGCTACTCCTTACTCTCATGCCCTTGCCATATTTTATCATGACCAGAAACATTGACGAAGCAGCCATTCCGATAAACGCAGCGGAGATGAAGCAATTCTGGTACCCAAGGTTTCTCAGCCACGGCGTGATACTCCTAGTCATTAGCATTTTCTCTTAAGTTCCTAATGCATGAGCGAGGAAGAAGAAAAAAACTTACCCATAACTAATCGCAAACGACATTGTGTTCCGAATCAAAATAACCGTAACAATAGCATCCCCACTAATATCATGATAACTATCCACCATATAGTTAACACTGAGCGTAACTCCAATCGTCGACGTAAAAGCCAGACATGCCATCGCAAACACGAGTCCAAACCAGTGCACTCCATGCGCAGCCCCCACACCCCACAGGATCAGGGAAGCAGGTACCATAATCAGACATAATGCGAATGGCCAGAGCCGGTGCTCCGCTTCCATGACACCGTTGTTCTTACGCGCGAGCTTGATAGTCAGCCAATCGCTGAACCGGCCGGAAAAAAGTGCGCCACCGACGACCCCGATGCAGCACGAAACGTAGCTGAGACCGACCATCGAGGGCTTGAAGTTGTAACCGGGACCCCCGAGGATGATGGATGTGGTGGCGTTGAGGACGTTGAACCAGATGAGGTAGGACCCGTAGCTGAAGCCAGAGTAGAAAATCACAGGCCAGGTGAGGTATACTAGACTGCGCTTTGCGCGCTCGAAGACATTTGTGCCAGGGGAAGGCTGCCAGAGGGAGAGTTTCTGGAGGAATGTCTTTGTAGAGGTTTGGATTTCGTCGCTTGCGGTCGTTTGTCTAGTCGCTGCTTCAACCTTTTCTTCGTCAGGTACACCGATTTGCGGGGTTGGTAAGCTAGGTGTTTGGATGGGTATGCCGTCGAGTTTCCGGACATAGTTTGTTTCCTCTAGGAAGAGGAAGAGGAATACGAGAGTAAAGCCGAGGAAGATAGCGGGCCAGTAGAAGACCCATTGCCAGCCTTGGCCTTCGGAGATGAAGCCGCTTATGATTGGGGCGAAGTAATTGCTGCCTGCGAGGGAGAGGGCGTAGTAGCCCATGTAGAGTCCGCGTTGGTGGGTGAAGTATACGTCAGTCACTGAGATCTCAGGGAGAGCTTCTACAGGGGCGACGAAGAAGCCTGTTACGATGCATCGAGCTACCCACTCGCCATTGCTTTTGACGTGGGCGCTGGTACGGTCAGATAATCCAAACTAGCATATATGATGGGCTTCTTACCTCCAGATGCTGGTGCCAATTGCTCCAAGAACCGATATCAGAAAGGTGAGTCTCTTGCCATATCGTAAAGCAAACGGTTGCCAGAAGAGAAGTCCCCACCCTAAAAACAAGAACATATATCCAGTGCCTTCGTTCAGCGTTGAAACAGAGACCCCGGAGGCTTCTGAAAGTGGCACCAATACAGAATACACTGTTGATACCGCAATGCCAGTCATCCACGTATATCTTCAGGAAAAGCATTAGCAATTGACTATAGGAGCCGGCCAAATGGGCACGCACAGATTGGTACATATAGTCGACATGAGTTTGCGGCGTGGAGACCAATTGAGCGGGTCATCCGGGTCGCTTGAGGGTGCTGGATCCAGAATAATGTCTCCATCTTCAGCATGGCGAGCGTGCATGCTGTGGTCCAGGTCCACCAGATGGACGGTGCCTGGGACAGGTGTCATGTCAAGATCATCGGATCCGCCTGCCATCTTGAAGAGTGAAATATCGCTCAATCAAATGGAATAAAACGTTTATTTTGTTTGAGAAAGACGCAAAACATTATATAGATGTTGGAGTACACAAGTGGGGTTACCCGAACACTGGCTGCACAAGGTGCGACAGGTTACCTAATCGCGCCAACTTGCTTTTGATAAGATGAAGCATGATTTCCCAATCTCCATCCATTTCATTTGGAGGTAAATTCTAAAGAGTTGAGAGATAACAATGTGCGGAGATATGCAGATGACGAAGGACGCGGTTGAGTATCTATGGTGCTGGCCGGGATGTGGTTGAGAAAACAGCAAGTCCACGCGAAAGTGATAAGGCTGATGATAGCAAGCTAGTCGCTCTGCAGGTTACTCCAACTAGGTGATAGATGATCCATTTTCTTCGATATGATATTGAGTCGTGATTGGTATGATACGTAGATGTTTTGTAAAGTGGTAAGGATGAAGCTATCGGCTAATGTGGGGTGGAGCGGGGATTAGGCGGGGGCCATGGCTAGTACTTGATGCAGAACCGCCGGCCACCGGGATGGTTCCGCTCTCGACCCCAATTGATTTATTATGGTATCGTATGGGCACTTGGAGAGTCAGACCGCCACGCTGACTAATGCTGGACCCGCATGAATTTATGTTCCCAAAACAAATCGACGGCTTGCTTCCGCTGAACCCCGGAAATGCCTGACGAATCGCATATAAAGGAGTTGTGATCCCCCATCGCATGTACAGGAAGTGTGAACTATTTGTATCGTTTCTTCATTGTTATTTGTACGTCAAGATGCCCGGACATCCTTCCAACCTCACAGTACTTCAACCTAAGCCCCTGCTTCAGGGTACACCAGAGTACGAGAAGAAGCGCGCCGCCCTTGTCGAGGCCTTTGCGAAAAAAGTACCTTCAGAACTGCGGCTATCACCAGATTTCTTCTCAAATCCGCCAAAGGATGTTTCTAATGTACCCGCCAAGTGCGGTATTTTGACTCCCACCGAGATCGATATCACAGAAAATTACGATGCGGTAGGCCTTGCGGAAGCTATTGCTGCCCGAAAGTTGACAGCAGTTCAAGTAGCTACAGCCTACTCTAAACGAGCCATCATTGCGCATCAATTAACATGCTGCTTGACGCAATGGTTCATGGAAGACGCGCTTAAGAGAGCTCAGGAACTTGACGACTATCTGGAGGAAAATGGAAGAACGGTCGGGCCTTTACATGGGGTACCAGTTAGCATTAAGGAACACATACCTCTTGCTGGGACTTACTCCTCCTGTGGATCACTGGAAAGCATACACTTCGATGAACAGGATTGTGTCATGGTATCCATATTGCGAGGCATGGGCGCGGTGTTTTACTGCAAGACAAATCAGCCGCAGGGAATTATGCACTTCGAGACTACATCGCATTACGGCCGCACTATAAATCCATTCAACACTGATCTCAGCGCTGGAGGCTCATCAGGTGGCGAGGCAGCCCTGATAGCTATGAAGGCATCAGTTCTTGGTGTGGGCACAGACATTGGCGGTAGCATCAGAGGACCTGCGGCGTTTTGCGGTATCTATGGATACAAGACTACGTCGTATGTACTTCCAACGAAGGATTATATTGCGTTACCCTTCGCCGCCGAACTCAACATTATAGGCAGCACTGGCGCGTTTAGTCGAAGCCTACGGGATATAGACCTCTTCATGAACACTGTCATTGGCCAGAAGCCGTGGCTTCAAGATCAAAAGCTAGTTCCATTGCCGTGGACGGGCTTGCAAACTCCAACCAAAAAGCCGTTACGAATAGGTATCATTGAGAACGACGGCTTCATCGAGCCCCAGCCTCCGGTCAAGCGCGCTATAGAATGGGCTAGATCACGACTCTCCGACCCAAAATACTCTGGTCTCTTTGAAATCAAAGACTTCAAGCCCCACAAAGCAGCAGAAGCATGGACAATGATCCGGCGCATGTACTGGCCTACAGGTGGCAAAAAGGAAGCAGAGGGCTACAAAAAATCCGGCGAGCCAATCCTCGAGTTAACAAAATGGGGCTGGGAAGACGCCAAACCATACGGTATGCTCGATGCCTCTCAAGTCACTGATCTTCGTGCCGAGCGCGACAGGCTCCGCTATGAGTTCGCCGATAGCTGGAATAAGCAAGAAGTCGATATTGTCATTGGACCTGCATGTGTAGGCCCGGCTTCTGTGCACGACACTGCGTTTTACTGGACATATACTAGTCTCTGGAACTTTGTGGATTATCCGGGTGTTGCTGTGCCGACGCCGATCAAGACTGAGGCGAAGGAGGGGTATGCGCCGGATTATAAGCCGTTGAGTGAAGCGTGCAAGCATGTCAAAGAGCTCTGGGAGAAGTCGAGTTTTGAGGGGGCGCCGATTGCGCTGCAGGTTAATGGGAGGAGGTATCATGATAGTGAGTTGTTTGGCGCGTTGGCAGTGTTGAAGGATGCGCTTGATCTTCCATGATACGGTGGGCGACTATAATTCCTATGTTGTCGAGTCCATGTGTTTTTGGAGATACGAATCGGTTGATTTGTCAACCGTTATGTGAGCCTTGGTCTTCGGTATAGGCTCAGGGAAATCAAGATTGGGCAGACGCTTTACAGACTTGAGTTGGCTTTACAGGGCAATAACTGGAACTGTTGTTATCCTCACTTAGTGATTCGAGCTCTGTATTCGCAGTTCTTGTGTAACACATCGGAACCATCTGTTGCTCACTTGAATACTAAAGCCGATAGTCACGTGATGTTCTTTGGCATATTCCACCGAGTACTCGGGAACATCGAGTCTGCTATCGCGAAAAAAAAACCGTTACGTCAAAATCAAGCAAAATTTAACTCCCATATCAACCTCTCTTGCAACCTGTTCATGGCTCCTGTTTTATTTTTGTTTTACACAAGCGGTGCTGGGTGGCCGAAAGCGGACAGTGCTGGATGAGGTCGCGTCTTCGGAACGACGCGCCGGTAGTAGCCGTTTGTTGCTCAGACATCAATCCACCGACAAGAGCACTCGGCGCATACTTTATTCTTTGGCCTGCTCGCTGTTACACCTGCGCCCCTATAACGTAATGTCTTCTTCATAACAACAACCTGCGCCTCTTCACATGCGCCATGGAGCAGACACCGATTGCGCAACTTAACCCAGAACTGCCCTCGGTGGAATCGCAGCATTTCCGGGCCACTGTCACGCTGATATGGCCGTACTCGTCGTCGGCACGCCAGCTGGCCCTGCTGCTCGCGGAGCCAGATCTCCGGCTTAGGCGAAAGAACGGTCAGGTCAGGGCTCGCTTCTCGGGCGCAAGTGCAAAGGCCATTGCGACAACAGGCGTAGGAATCGGCGATGAGGTCGTCTTGAGCCTGCGAGGCGCGCAATTCGTCACTGAGGGCGCCATCAGCACGCCCGGAAGGAGTATCGACTGGGAGCTAGAATATGTTCAAACAGTTGTCATTCGCATCTATCGAAACGGCGAAGAAACCGCCAACATCGAGCTCGTTGATGCGCCGCCTACTCCAGCCCCTGCATCACCACTCCGTCGACAATCTCGAGCTGCTCCAAGCACATCGCTACAATACTCGTCTCCTGCCTTTTTGAAGCGCACACGCCTGTCTGACGGGCCCTTCTTCGAGCCGCCTTACGATCCCCTAGCCGACGAAACAGGCGAAGGCCATGACAAAAAGCGACGGAGGAAATCGTATCGAGATTGGAAGGCATGGACATATAGTGCGAGGACACCCTCGCCAGAGAAAGAGGATGAGGCTATGGACGAGGAAATGGAGTGGCTTGAGGCATCACCCAGCCGCCCAGCACAGCTCCCTCAAACACCTACCTCGCCCTCAAAATCCGCCACCGCATCCAAATCCGCCAAGTTGTTGCGTGCTCAAGGTACTAAGCCAACAACAGCGCCGATTTCAGCAGAGGAGACCACACTTCAATCGGATGAGCACGATGCAGATAAGAGCGCAATTCGCGAGTCTAACTACAGTGTGCTCTATTCGGCTCCAGATGAACATCTGTCATCCGATGCCCAGTACGCTTTTGGTGGCGATACTGAAGTAGACACTGAAGTCAACACAGAGGAAGAATATCCTGCGCAAGGAGAGACCGAGGTTGGCAGTACAAGCACAAACGAGCTTGATGCTGATGAGGTACATCGTGTGGAGCGTGAAACTACAAGCAGGGATGAAAGTGTGGTTGCAGAAGCACGCGCAGAGAATGACACACATTACGACCGTGTGCAGGTTGTTGAACCACACCAAGCCACAACATCCACGCCCATCCCCGAAGCAGATGAACAAAATGCTGAGACATCACCAGCACCACTTGTCAATGCTCCACAAATTGCGATGCCCCCTCCTACCTTAACTACCATTCAAACTGACACTCAAAATACTGTACCTGCTGCTCTCTTGACCCCGATCGGTAGGGAGCCTGGAAGCCCAACTCTCCGACCCCTGGACTCTGCCAATCTTCCGATACCATCACCGTTTCCTGGTGAACGGGAAAACAGCGCTACCTCTTACTTTGATCAACTAATCGCCAATGAGCAAACTGTCGAACCAGAAGCCGAGGATGAAGACGAAGAGAAACCACCAAGCGAAGCAAGCTATATTGGCGAGACGTCTTTCTTTAGTTCAATTGGTTCCTCGAATGTACCCGCATTTCACCCGAATCATGAGTCAGCCTTCGCACCTTTGCGCTTCACTTTCGGTATGGATGGTGCTGGATCTTCGCGCCCTATAGAGCTCTCGTCGCCACCACCGGAAGCCCAGCCAGACGAGGAAGGCAAAGATGTGCCAGAGGCATCGGGTTCGACTACAATCGCTGATACTTCATTTGATACTTCTGATGCGGGTGCCCCCTCGGCATCTCAGAATGCAGGTGACGCCCAGACAGCCAGCGAGAATGCTCAAGAGGTACCTGCAACAGAGGCGCAGAACACTGTTGAAGAAGCTCAAGATTCCGATGTAACGATGCTTTCTTCAGGTGAGGATGAGAGTTCGAGTGCCGAGGGACCTGACCAGGACACCGCTCATCACACTGGCCAAGAGACTGAGGATAACGCAATTAGCCCAGCTGTACGTTCTGAAGGTGGAGTAGTTGAAGAACCAAAAGACAATCGGCAATCTTCGCTTAGTGGACACAGCTCACCTATCGAACATCATAGTCCAAAGACTTCTCCCCAGGATCGAGACCAACCTTCACCCGCAGCCCTCCAAAGTCACAGTGAGTTCGTAAACCAGGACCCCACAACCGAAGCCTACATTCTTTCTGAAGCCCCGGATGAGCCAGCCGCAACTCACATGCCATCCCAGGAACCGGAACCTAGTGAAGATGTCGACCAGATGGAGCAGTCCTTCTCCATAGACCACTCGTATGAAGCTTCTATAGAGGCTACCGACGATTACTTGCAGGACGCTTTTCCAATGGACCACATGTCACACGAGTTCCAGGATGAACAATACACTCAAACAGAGCAAGGTTCGGTTATGGAAGATCAGTGGATAGAAGACCATTTCGATTCACAAACTGACCGCTCCAAGGCTTCCATGGCATCTGAGGTTCCTGATCTGTCTACCAACGAGCTTTCTATGATTGAAACCGAACAGGGCCACGACATGAATGGAGTGGAGACTGTAGATACACCCCGTACTGTGCCGGCTAAGAATACAAGATCCAAGGTCAAAGCTCAAACTCCGTTGGTAAAGGATGAGGTGCCTGCCTCTATTCGTACCACGCGCTCGACACGGTCCCGGGGTTCTGTGACTTCCATCCCTCGCTCAGTCATCTCTCCTCCCCGGACACGCGCGCGTTCGGCGAAATCTCCATCACAGGTAGCCACACAGGTCTCACCAAACAGCATCAAAACTAGGTCAGAATTTTTGTCTCCAGAGAAGAATATTCCGGCTCACATCTCTAATACTGTCCGCGAGAGCCCGCGGAAATCTTTGCAGAGAAGCTTAAAACAAGAATTCGATACAGCTCGGTCTCGAAATGAGAAAGATGGCCCATCATCTCCCAAGTTCGAGTTGTCACAAGATCAGAATGCATCCGAGAATGAACATATGAACGATGTTCTTGTCAAAGACTGGGCTGAGCGGAACACTCACGCTGAGTATTCCGCGTCTCCTGCACGTACATTAGAAGACTTGACCGAGACACAGAAATCGGAGTTTGGTAGTCCCATGAAGCGCGATGCTCCTAACAGAGAAGACGATGTGGTTTCAGAATATCTCTCGGGCACTGACCTAGAGTCAAAAACAAAGCCCAAGGCCAAGCAGGGACGAAAGAAGCCTGCGCCAAAGGCAGTTGTCGAGACTCAAAGTAGTGAAGCTGCAACATCTGAATCCGGCAGTCCCAGCAGGCGGCTGCGATCGAAAGGGCCTGCCGAGCCGGTCACTCAGAGTCCTCGCAATGTGCGAAGAACAAGAAGGAATGTGTACAACGTTTCTGAGCGTCAAGAAAGTGAAGAGGTTAGCGAGGCAGATCCAAAACCTGAAGACAAGTCACAACGGGGTGAAAGTGAAGGCCCGTCACAAACATCTGCAGTCGAGGCCGAAGACTCAATGCGCAGCTCTACACTCAAATCACAAGCAGCTTTACAAAGGCAAAGGCTCATGACTCCGGACGGAACTCAGCAAACTACCAATGAAGCTCAGTCAAACTTTGTCGCTGCACCCACAGGACAGGACTCATTATTAACTCCCCAACCCACCCAGGCGACATCCGCCAAACTCCGTTCCTCCCAGCAAGATATCGACATGGACGCCACACCCGCATCACCCAGCGCCCAAAAGTCTCCCAATACCAAAACCACACCTGGCCGCACCAAAGCAACAACAAACGCCTCATCGACCTCCCTATCCCCAACTCTCACCTCAAAACCCGACTCCGCCGAAGCCACCCAAGAAACCCCCTCAATCGGCCTCTCAACCCCCCTCTCCTATTACACTCCCCTCAAAGATCTCCCTTACTTCCTCAACCGCTCCTCCCAATTTCACTCTTCTGCAAACCCAGACATCCTCGCCCTCGTCACCTCCGCCACGACCGCGTCTGAAAAAGCGAAAAAGGGGCCTAAGCACTGGAATACGACGTTGCATATCACAGATGCGAGTTCCTGGCCCGCGACAACAACAGTCCAGTGCTTCCGTGCGTACCACGAGGCGCTGCCCGAAGCGAGTGTGGGAGACGTGGTGTTGCTAAGGGCGTTTGCGGTGAAGTCGTTGAATAGGCATCCGGCGCTTGTGAGTGCAGATGAGAGTGCGTGGTGTGTGTGGCGGTGGGGGAAGTCGGATTGGGGTGCTGAGAAGGGGACGTTTGGGGAGTTGAAGACGAGGGAGGAGGTTAAGGGGCCTGAGGTTGAGCGTGGGGAGGGCGAGTGGCATGAGGTGGAGAGGCTGAGGGCTTGGTATGAGAATAAGGTTAAGCAGGAGTTGCAGGAAAAGGAAGAGAGTCAAGTTAAGACGAGGAGTAGGGATAAGGCAAAGGGAGCTGCTGGAGGCAGTGCAGATGCATAGGAGCTCGGTATATATGCACTATAGTATCTTAGCATCAGATGTAATATGTAAACATGTACATGCATAGTCAAATTGACATCACGGTCAAAGATAAAGTGTTTCGAGATCATTCATGTGTCTCATTGGTTTCTACTTGTATCCTTTTTATCATGCGGTCATATCTCATAGCCCCACGTCTCTCTCATGAAAAGCTTGGAGCATCCTTTCACTGGGAAGTCGCAAAACTACTAGGCCATCTCGCATCTTTGCGGCGTAGAGGCCACAAGACGCAAGCTAGCTCTTCGCTACGTCTTTGTAGTTACTAAGTTGCCCAATGCCCTTACAAGCTTAGTTGTCAAGGCATTTACTTCTCGTAGACCCAGTCGTGCTGAGCGCTCTTCCAGCTCTGGACCTCACCCTCCTTGAACCAGAGGGAGATCTCCTTCTTGCCGTTCTCGACAGAGTCGGAGCCGTGGCAGACGTTGCGGCCGACATCGAGGGCGTAGTCACCACGGATGGTGCCGGGAGCAGAGGCAAGGGGGTTGGTGGCACCAAGGATGGAGCGGCCGGTCTTGACGGCGTCACGGCCCTCCCAGACCATGGCGCAGATGGGGCCGGAGCTCATGTCTGGAACGTGTTAGTGCGTGGCTCGATTGTTGAGAGCGATAGTGACGCAATTGGTCGCTGGTTGGGCTAAAGAAAGCGACTTACAGGCAATCAGACCGGGGAAGAAGGGCTTCTCCTTGAGGTCCTCGTAGTGCTTCTCGAGGTGCTCCTTGGAGGGCTGGACCATCTTGATACCGGCGAGCTTGAAGCCGCGGTTCTCGAAGCGGGTGATGATGGGACCAATGAGGCCACGCTATTGAGCATGTTAGTTGTTTGTTTTGCTTTTTGGAAAGCTCTGCTGGCCACCGTCTGCTGCTACGATAGCAATTGAATTGCAAGCGGCAGAAGTGCAGGGGAGCAATTGTAAGGAGAGTTTAGCTGCTACATACCTGGACGCCATCAGGCTTGACAGCGATGAAGCTATGTCTTCTGTCAGCATGCTGTTCACCGCCCCTGAGCAGCTCTTGCTCTTAAGAGTGTAAACGTACGTCTGCTCGGTAGTCATGGTGGAGATGGTGTGGTGTTTGGTGTTCTGTCAATGATATTAGTCTTCAGACCTCGATCAATGGCTCAGTAGCAGGTGGGCTAGACATACTTGGATAGAGGTGGAGGTTAAGGGAAAGGAAGAGGCACCGAGATGGAGCTGGATTTTTTGAGAGGTGGGGGTAGGGGGGTTGCTGCGGCCTTCGTTGTCTAGTGGGGTAATATTGCATAAAGTTATGCCTGATTTGTGCAAATGTACTGGACCCTGAGCTTGGCATCGTCTCAAAGTCCACATGGCATCTTGAGTGTTGAGGATTGGCTTGAGTGAATGGCATTCCAGGCGGGCTTCTGAATTTGTCCTCAAGAGCTGCCTGTCATGATCAATTTACGGGAACGGCCTCCCCGGTGGACGGCTGTGTTTCTACTGCTAGTCGTTGTGTGTTGCTTGTTTGGGACAGCTGGTATGTAGCTCACCGCAGCTCTCTATGACTACCCAGCTGTGGCTGGCAGCGTCGTCTTCTGGGTATATGGATACAACCAAACGAAGGATATGCTGACAGGCTGTAGTCTCGGTCAAGCACGAAAACTTCAAAACATGCGATCAATCTGGCTTCTGCAAGCGAAATCGCCAGTTTGCCGATGACGTCGCTGCATCCAGCTCCTGGAGCTCCCCTTACGTGCTCGACCCTGCTTCGATAACCTTCAACAACGGCCAATTGGATGCTGTCGTCCTCAAGACGGTGAAAGAAGGCGAGGAGAAAGTCCGTCTGCCGCTTACTCTCACTTTCCTCGAGACTGGTGTCGCACGCGTTACTCTTGATGAGGAGAAGAGAGCCAAGGGTAACATCGAGCTCCGTCACGATAGCAAAGCAAGGAAAGAAAGATACAATGAAGCCTCAAAATGGGCTCTTGTTGGAGGACTGACTCCTTCGACCGGCGCTGCATTCAGTCCAGATGCTGAGCAAGGATACACCAAGGTCGTCTACGGCAAAGGCGGAAGACACCAAGCTGTCATTCGACATGCACCATTCGGCATCGAGTTCCAGAGGGAAGGAGAGACCCAGGTCAAGTTCAACGAGCGTGGTTACATGAACGTGGAGCACTGGAGGCCAAAGATCGAGAAGCCTGCCGAAGAGAAGAAGGAAGGCGAAGAAGCCAAAGAAGAAGAGAAGCAGGCTGAGCAACCCGGCGAAGACGAGAGCACCTGGTGGGAAGAGAGTTTCGGTGGCAACACCGACAGCAAGCCCAGGGGTCCTGAAGCTGTGGCACTCGACATCTCTTTCCCAGGTTACGCACATGTCTTTGGTATTCCTGAGCACGCAACAAGGTTGTCGCTCAAGACCACACGGTATGTAAAGACAACAAGCCCTTGCCGATCATGACTGACATGTAACAGGGGCGGCGACAATGCCTATACTGAGCCATACCGTCTGTACAACGCCGATGTCTTTGAGTACGAAATGGATAGCCCTATGACTCTCTATGGCGCCATTCCGTTCATGCAGGCCCACCGTAAGGGCTCAACCGTAGGTGTCTTCTGGCTGAACGCTGCGGAGACTTGGATCGATGTCACCAAGAAGAGGAATACTGTGAACCCTCTAGCCCTTGGTGTTGAGGGTCACACTGACACACAAACTCACTGGATGTCTGAGAGCGGTCTGTTGGACGTCTTCGTCTTCCTTGGCCCAACACCTCAAGACCTCACTCGCCAGTACGGTCAGCTTACCGGATACACTGCTATGCCCCAGTCTTTTGCCATTGCCTACCATCAGTGCCGATGGAACTATGTCACCGACGAAGATGTAAAGGATGTTGATCGACGATTTGACAAGTTCAACATCCCGTACGATGTCATCTGGCTTGATATTGAATACACACAGGAGAAGAAGTACTTCACTTGGGACCCTCTTACCTTCCCTAACCCAGACGGAATGTTACAACAGCTTGACAAGCGTGAAAGAAAGCTTGTTGCTATTATTGATCCGCACATTAAGAACACTAATGACTACCCGGTAATCGATGAACTCAAGAAGAAGGACCTAGCTGTCAAGAACAAGGAAGGCAACCATTACGATGGATGGTGCTGGCCTGGCTCTTCCATGTGGGTCGACTGCTTTAACCCGGCTGCTGTCGAGTGGTGGAAGACTTTGTTCAAGTATGACAAGTTCAAGGGGACCGCCCATAACACTTTCATTTGGAACGACATGAACGAGCCATCAGTGTTCAACGGCCCTGAGACCACTATGCCTAAGGACAACCTGCACCACGGTAACTGGGAGCACCGCGATGTGCACAACATCAACGGCATGACCTTCCACAATGCGACATACCAAGCCATCACCGAGCGTAAGAAGGGTGAGCTCCGTCGTCCATTCGTTCTGACTCGTGCCTTCTACTCTGGCAGTCAGCGCTCTGCAGCCATGTGGACTGGTGACAATCAGGCAGATTGGCCTCACCTTGAGGCATCTATTCCCATGGTTCTGAACCAGGGTATCTCCGGCTTCCCCTTCGGAGGTGCTGATGTTGGAGGTTTCTTCGGTAACCCCAGCAAAGAGTTGTTGACTCGATGGTACCAGGCGGGTATCTATTACCCATTCTTCCGTGGCCATGCTCATATTGACACTCGCCGTCGTGAGCCCTACATCGCTGGATCACCATACACTGAGATCATCACCCAAGCACTTCGCCTGCGATACCAGCTGCTCCCTGCTTGGTACACTGCCTTCCATGAAGCCCACGTAACAGGTGCTCCAATCATCCGTCCAAACTTCTGGCTTCATCCAGATGACGAGGCTGGCTTTGAGGTTGATGACCAGCTATACATCGGCTCCACCGGACTTCTCGCCAAGCCAGTCACAAAGGAGGGTGCCGACAGCGTCTCTGTCTACATCGCAGACGACCAGCCTTACTACGACTACTTCGACTACACCATCTACAGCGGCAAAGGCCACCACACCATCCCTGCTCCTCTCGAAAAGATCCCTCTCCTCATGCAAGGTGGCAACATCATCCCCCGCCGCGACCGTCCCCGCCGCTCATCCGGCCTCATGAAGTACGACCCCTTCACCCTCGTCGTCAACCTCGACAAAGACGGCAACGCCGTCGGCACTCTCTACCTCGATGACGGCGAGACTTTCGATTACGAAATGGGCGCCTTCATCCACCGCCGCTTCTCCTTCGACGGCGCACGCCAAATCCTTACCTCCTCCAATCTCGACACTAACCAGCGCACCGTCAAGTGCGAGAAGTACCTCAAGACTATGGAGAATGTCCGCGTTGAGAAGATTATCATCGTGGGCGCTCCTAAGGCTTGGAAGGACAAAGAAGAGGTTGTTGTTATGCAGGAAGGAGAGAAGGAGACTCGTCGCAAGAAATCTGTCCCTCTAGAATTTCATGCCGCAACAGGAAAGAAGGCGGCGTTTGCGGTTGTGAGGGATCCTCGCGTTTTTGTTACGAGGGGGTGGAAGGTGGATTTTGGGGATAAGGGTGTAGGACATGAGCATCATGGGCATGAGCATTAGATTTGATGAAAAATTGTGAGAGAAAGGGGAGATGGGAGGGGAGATGAAGTCGATTGAAGCATGGAGAAAGTGGGAGAGTATAGATGGATGGGTATGATCATGTTATGGAGTATATGAATAGATGTAAACAAAGTTGGTTTTTTTGGATTAGACACTAGTTATTCATCTGTCTTAACTGAAAAGTCTTTTTTTGAGATTATTTTTGCCTTGGGGATTCCATTGGTATGAAAAAGGAAACGCGGTCTGAAATTCCATGTCAGTACCGGGGTGGGGTATATAACAAATCATGCAAGCATCATAGTTTTACAAGTGGAGTGGAGGTGGTCAGTGTTGAGTGGGGTGTTTTCCGGTCGTTCTTCATAGAAGATGAAGATACGATTTCCTGACTTCGTTGTCCAGCGGCATCAGGAATGTGGTATTGCGTTTAGGGTAGCGGCGCATTATGTGACACAAAGCAGGGTTGATGTCCTGGTGTTGTGTTGGATTTGACTTGATGCGAGGAACCATGGCCAATGATGTTCGGAGAAGGGTAGCAGGAGGCTCACCAGGCTAGTCCCTCGTGTTGACTCGTTGATAACGGAAACGAAGGTGATTGCAGCGCGGCTTCGCGCTGGTATGTTGTCCGCAATGTAACGAAGCGGTTGGAGGAGTAGCTAAGTCCCTGAGGCGGCACGACATTCGGAGAGTGGTTGTCGACTCTCGCAGGGTCGGGTTTCCCTTCTCGATGTGGAATCTGAGGGATACAATCGAGTATGGTTGATTGTTAACCACAGCCACGCGTGTGCAGTTGAAACTCCCATGTGGTTGCTCATCCGCCTGAGGATATCTCGAGTGCATTCATTGCACTCGCCAGATGAGGCTTTGAGGACCACATGTAGTGACTCTCGGCAACAGGTGACGCCGGTACAAACGTGTCAATCCGCGTTAATCCTTTTTCTTGGTCACGAATAGACTCGATGTCACCTATTCTGCGCCAGATATCTCCGCAGCTCTTTCTTCGAACACCGCCCAACCGCATTCGACTTTGTGTATTCGAAGAGAGCGCGTCTTGGAATTTTGATGTGTCGTTGTCATCTTGCGTGGGTGTTTCTTGTTGCTGTACGACTAACATGTCTTGTTGGATCATGTCAAGAAGTTCTCTATATTCGCGCGTGCAGGTTTGGTATCCTTGTAGGGTTTCGATCACCTGAGTCTAATTAGCGGTGTGAAAAGAGAGGGCATTAATGGATGACATGTTTACTGCATCCATTCTGCGTGAATGGTGTGGTAGAGTAAATGGGAATCAAAGTGCAGGGGAGGGAGAATGAAGAGGTCTTACTTCTACAACAGCAGGTTTTACTTTGGCCTTTCTTTTCCCTTGTTCCAAATACAGGACAAAGAAAGTGTCAGTCTCCATGTTAGCTTGTTGCGGATCCTTGACCAAACGCCGTTTACCAAACCATTCTACTAATATGTTACCTCCACAATACCAGGTAACAAATTGAAGAAAGACACAGCCCAACGCCCAAACATCGCAGGCTGTAGTCAGGTTTCCGTTGAGATCCATCTCGGGTGAACGATACGTATCCGTGTTGGGAATTCGGCCAGTCTTATGGGTATCCCATGAATTCACCGTGCTGAAGCGTGCCACGCCGAAATCGGCAATTTTGAGAACGCCGTGACCCCCTGTTGAATTTTCAGAGGGATACCACAGGATGTTTTCTGGCTTGATATCTCCGTGGCGGCCAAACAGACTGCGGAGATGATGATCGTTACCCGCACTGTCGGTTCGAATGAGCCGTTTTTTCTTGTCGCTGTCCACCTGTTCGGTCAAATGGAAGGCATTGAACAACGTTGTTCCTGACGTCGTCGCATATCGGTGTATACTGTTGAGAGCATCTGCAAGACCACGACACTGCTCTATGATCCACTTGCCCACCATCTCGCCACCGGGTGCCTGTTCGTGTCGTTTCCAGAATTCAAGAAGATCAGCATCCGCCCATGGGAATATGAAATGAAACTTTTCGTCGTACTGGAAAGTGGTCAATAAAGTGATCAGATGTTCGTGACCGTGTCGCTTATTTGAAATTCTGTTGAGAACGGTAGCTTCTTGATTAAATGCTTCTCGATCAGGCGACTTCAATTTTTTGATAGCGAAGACGTTTCCCTGGTAAATTATTAACATCATCAGGTTATGATCTGGCCAGATTGGAGGAAGGCTACCTACACTAGCTATCCCCAGGTCATGATGGTCAGGGTGTATTTCAGTCTTGTAGACATCACCGAACCCACTTTCCCGTGTGACTTTGGAGTGGGAGATGAAAGGTAGAATTACTTCAGGCTCAAGAACGATAGGTCGATCGCGGCGCTCTTCATGATTACCAAATACAGGAGCGAGAACTTTCCACTGGCTGTGAAAGAAATCATCCGTGTAGTCTCGTCTTCTGAATACTATAGGGCGGGCGGAATGATTCGACCGACTTCTCAGTTCAGGTAAACAATGCGGTTTATTCGAGGTCTGGTGTATGCCTAGTGGTAGATCCTTATCACAGACACCATAGCTAACAAACATTCGAATCTTAGATGGTTTCTTGATGAGGTACAGGATGGTAAGGATTTTCTTATATGCCGAATAGTCTTCGGTAGTAACTGGGTCTTTGTGAATCCTCCGAAAGGTTGAATAATTAGACTTATCGAGCTCGATCCGTACTGCTTCAGATGTAACAATCTCTCTGACATGACTGTTCGGTACAAATCTATGCTGGAGGTGCGTTTTAACTGTAACTTCTGCGAGCCTCTTCGATAGCTGAGCTATTGGCGCATCCCGGGGTAAATGCGTCCGTGCCCATTTTTGTATGAACAGAACGGGACTGACGACGTTCTTTCGCATGTTGGGGGCTTTTGGACTTGAAGGTACAGTCGTTTCTTCCCCAAGAACTTCATTACGGTCACCATCCCTCGCCGCTACAGCGTGATTGGCATTGAAACAAGTTAGGTCTCTGCTTGACCGATGCATGTCGTCAGGTGAACCACCAGGTACTTGATTGGATTCGATATCAGGCGATTGCTCGCTTCTTAGATACAGCTGTTGCCTTTCATCTGTCGCAGACCGTCAGCTATCAAATGTACATATGGTCTCAGCTCAAATGTGCCTTGCTGTGGGACTCGGGTCTGCATGTGGTTTCTTTCAGAAGAGCAGCAATCGTCAGCCACTGGCTCAAAATCTCTAGTTAAGGCTAGATTTTGACATTCAGGCAGATGTAAATCGGATTGAGAAGAGCATGCCATTGGTGAGGCCCGTTGCATGACCACCAAGCTAGGCATATTATGTATGTTGGAACAGTTTGGTTGAAGCTGTAGAGATACCTTAGGCAAGAATAGACATGAGAAAGACGAATAAAGTCACCAGAAATTGTGGTGCGCACAGCGTTCAAGTCCGATCAGGCTCCCGTTGCTAAAGCCAAGCGTGGGGTCCAAGACTGACGGCCGTAACATCCCTGTAGGGGCGCAATACAGAGGCCAGGGCGAAGTTTCAGGCTTCGGCATTCTGCTCTTACACTATGCAACCCCGAACGCCCACTGAAAGACTGATTAGATCCAATCATCTCCACCACACCGGCAAGTATACCAAATGCGTACACCAGCGCGTGAATCTGATGACTCTTTGGCAGCCGTGGCGTACACTGAGTGGCGATGTTGATGGTTGCACCTATAAGCGCCCATTTCTTGTTCAGGCAGTATGCTACAGAAAGGTATCAGATATGACCGGTGACACCTCGTATCGCATCGCACGCATGTGTGCTGAAATCTGATGATGCGCGCGCATCACTGTTCTTGCCCGGCGCAGGCGTTCAGCTCGAGAGTTTTTGGTGTCTGAGGTACAGGCATGATTGGCTCTTCGAAATTGCCTGTGGCTGAGAGAAAGGCGACTCGAACGGTTGCTCAGCCCAGTGGCTTGATCCCGTGAGTCCACCTCGGAGTTGAAGACTAGAGGAACTTATTTCAGGTGGGATCCCGCGAGAAGGACCTGCGCAATATTCCCACGATAACCACAATGGGTGGCCTAGTTCAGATGTTTAAGAGGCCTTTTCCCAAACACCTAAAGAAACGACAAAAACTCCCACAATCAACTGCCGAGTTGCCTTGCCAAAATTATGAGCAAAAGGTCGGCGTTGTTGGCATCGACCCAGAAAAGCTAGTGAAGAAGTTGGAGCTGAAGTTTCCTTGCGGGTTCCATGTACATGTGAGCAGAAATCTACAACGCTGCGTGGTTGAAGTTCGCTAATTCATACTGCAGATGATGCATAACACCTATATTATCCAAGGCTGTGAGCCGCTGACGCAGGTAAGGCTATGTCTTTACATCCGCAGCCATAATCATGCTGATTAATTACTCTCATGAAGACGGATCTCGATGAGTGTCGGTGATGACGTAACCAGCACGGAGGTAGAGGTAAAGGGTCGGTTATGTATGCGTTCTATTGGCAGAGGACAAGGCTGTGAGCGCAATACGATGCAGCCACTTGACATTGGTTCAGGACGGAATAAACGAGTTGAAATTGTATATGCAGCTGACGGATGGTATGGTGTGGAGGACGGTTTGTGGCAGTCAGGGTGGCTATCAGGCAAGTGTTTCCTATAGGCAGGTGGTTGGGCTGTGGACCGTGCGTCACTGGTTCTCACAAAAGCAAACATCATCGGGCAACAGCGACTTTCACAAACAAAACACCACTTCGCAATTGTTCATAAGAGTTTTTTACTACATGTGAGAAAATGACTATAAAACGGTCACTTACATATGAAAATCTTCTCGTTTATGGCATTTACCTGTTCATCGCCGAACACACCACAGTTAATGTTCAGCCTTGCGACTACTGGCCCCCCACCCTCGCCACCTCCAGTTTCACACTTTGCCTCCTTTAGAGAGTTGTCCTTCGCGACTGCAGCTCAGCTGGTCGCCATAAGCGATGCTCCGGTGTAGATGCCGCGATAACATGCTCTCATCTCGGCTATGTACCTAGCAGCAGCACCTCTTCCGACTGATCCATCTCCGACTAGTCTGTCCATTGATTGGATCCTGGAGAGTTCAATTGGCGCATCCTCGTCCGTTGCAGGATTAATGCAGATTCAGCTTCAGCCTTGCATGTCTTTTGTAAGTTTGGTTGAACTTCAATTAGTCAACGACAGCTCCGCGACATTCAGGTTGCATCTGCCATCCTATAAAGCATGAAATGGAGTCAGCGATGTGGACTCTCATGATAAGCGACCATACTCATAGGTACTTCGCAAAAATTCATTGTATCAGGCATTACATTTGCACTCAGTTCTCGAGTCGTCCGTCTCTATTGCCCAAGCGAGATTCCTCTTCTTCTCACCACACATGGCCATGGCTACAGATTCTACAACCATGGCCACTGGTTCCACAACCATTACCGAAGATCCAGTGGTCACAGACGACACTGCCATAGTTGTATCTGACAATGAGTCCGACGAGTCATCGTCCGACGAGGAGACGGGCCCAAGACCACAGCTAAGACCCATGATCACGGACAGACTTGTGAAGAGCGCTTTCGAGAAAACTCCACTAAGATTCGTGCCAGAAGGCAATGTCCAAGATATCATCACAGAAGGCATGATTCAGATATCCTTAGGTATAGATACACCCGTCTCAAAGAGAGAAGGTGAGATGATCAAGTTCATCAAGTCACGTGCTAAGAAGGTGTTTGCCATTGTGGTATACATGAATGCAGGCGACTGTATGGACATAATGAAGTCATTGAAAAGGAAGGGCATCGATGACGATTCACTTCCTATCAAAGACCAGCGGGACTTGGGGAGGAAAGACTGGGCCCCAGACTTCTTCGAGAAACAGTGGCAGTTCAACGCTCCAGTCTTCTCGACCACCAGATTCAACCATGACCTGGAGGAATCTCACATTCTGCCCTTCATTACAAAGAAAGTAGACTCACAGAGAGGCTCTTTTGGTGTCGTGTCACAGTATGTAGTACACCGGAATCACCTGGACCCCGTAAGTAGCTTTGATCAAACAAATTCGGTGCTAGTGTGGCTGTTAACACTTGGATAGGCACTATCAGAAGACACTTCCTTTGCAGTGAAAGAGATACAGGCTAAAGATGATGCCGAAGAGGTAGCACAACACTGGGAACAAGAAGTGAGGGCACTTCGTACAATGAATCAACTCAACCAAGATCATATCGTCCATTTTGTCACAGCTTTTCGGCGCCGGAAAGACCAAGGAGATGAAGAGTACTACTTGATGTTTGAATGGGCAGACGGCGGGAACCTTTGCAGTCTTTGGAAAAGGATGCCTTCTCCCATTATGACAGCACACCTCGTCAAAGACGTCATCAAACAGATCTTGGGACTCGCGAAAGCACTTGAAGCTGCCCACAACTTGAACAAAACCGGTGCTTCATATCGACATGGTGACCTGAAACCGGAGAACATTCTTGTCTTCAATAATGGAGGATTAGTAGGAACGTTCAAGATTGGTGATTGGGGCGAGGCACGACTGCACGACCAAGCCACAGTGATGCGTCCTAGCAAAACAGCAGCCAAGTATGGTACTCGGCGGTACGAAGCCCCAGAAGTAGAGACGGGTATCAAGTCTCAACGTCTAGGTCACACGACCAAAAAGCGGTCACGTCTATACGACATATGGGCCATGGGTTGCATCACCTTGGAGCTCATCATTTGGCTGTTGTATGGGGAACAAGGAGTGAATAATTTCCACCTCGAACTAGGAAACGACAGTTTCTACGAGATTCGTGTGGTCAATGGAAAGAGAATTGCTTCGGTACACAGCGTTGTGACACGCTGGATGGACGTGATTGCAGAAGACGGTAGATGCGAAGTCGGCACTACAGCAATCGGAGATCTTTTGGAACTTGTGAGGACTGGTCTGCTCGTTGTCAGGCTTCGGGCGAGACTAGGTACGATGATTTCAGAAGCCCCCGTGAAACCTCGTCAAGACTCCGCGACTAGTATTCCGAGTATGCAGGGCTCTGGTATTATGACGTCTGAAAATTTGACGGTGGAAGAAAACGTAGTGGAGTTCGATGAGAACCCGGCACCGGGCCTACCTTCATTCAGCCTGACCCCAGCCCCAGCAGAGACTGTCTCTGCCGAGACTCCCTTGCAGCCTGAACCTGAGCCTGCAGGCGAAAGTCGATTCCTTGCGGATGAGTTCCGGAAACGATTGGAACACATCGATGCAGAGGATGAAGACGAAACTTACTGGTGTGTCGACGGATCACTTCACTCAATCCCTGAAAGTCTCTCCGCATCTCAATTGATTGCATCAAGTTATGGCACCACGGATGGAGATCTTGCTACGTATACAGCAACTTCGAACTCAGCGAGTCACGGCCTTTCCGCTCCTTACCAAAAGAGAGTAAGTATTCCCAAGATCTAGTGACTTGTTCCGAAATGACTAACGTTGTTCTATTTAGGTCAACTATGCCTCTCCAGAGCTTGATGAAAATGATTGGAAGTATTCATCTGGCAACAGCGTCGCCTTGGACTTACTTCCAGCGCTCGTAACGATGGACGCACATGACCAAATTCATCATGAAGTAGCAGCGGTACTCTGCACAAATTGTGCAATATTTCAAGAACAGGTTCTGAGTCCTGGTTTCTCGATATCATACGACAACCAAGCCCTGAGGACAAGCGCACTCGCCCAAAAATGCGATCTGTGTCCCCTGCTTTTGAATACTGCTATCAGGCACGGTGAAGCGGCATCTCAAGTTATCAAGTTTGACCGCACTGGTCCATTTTTGACAATTAAGAGCAGTGGATATCCTGTTCTCTCCGTCGTTCGCGATCCTCGACAGCAGTTACCACCAAGTACTGACGTCCAGGTAGGATTCGTTGCCCTTCCAGATGCTGGCAGTGCTGTCCATCTACAGGTCGTCAAAAATTGGCTTGACTACTGCGATCAGAATCACCAGTGCGCGCCTCATCTACAGCCCAGAACCAATGTGAAGTCGCGATTGCCGACCAGATTGCTCGATGTGGGTGTAGATGGCGACAGCATGATCCGCCTTTGGGTGACTGGAGCTGAAGATACTGGAGAATGGGTGGCTCTGTCGCATAGATGGGGGTCCAGGCATTTCTCAACCACTATCGAAACCCTTCAAGCTCACCTTGATGGTATGGATTTGAGCTCTCTGCCAAACACATTCAAGGACGCTGTGGCAGTCACGCGTGCGTTGGGACGACGGTACCTCTGGATCGATTCGCTATGTGTGATACAAGGGCCGGGTGGCGACTTTGCAAAAGAGGCTAAACGGATGGAGGAAGTCTATAGTGGCGCGTACTGCGTGATTGCAGCGAGCTGCGCTGAGGACCACTATTCAGGATTCCTGAGGCAACGCAATCCCAGAGATTATGTTGGCTTGCGTCGTGAGGGTAAAGATCAAGCCCCTTTCTACATTTGCCAGAACATCGATGATTTCAAAAGACATGTTCTCGATGGCCAGCTGCACGCTCGTGGGTGGGTACTGCAAGAACATGCTCTTGCTCGAAGGACGCTGTTCTTTACTGAACATCAGACATACTTTGAATGCGGCGAAGGGGTTCGATGTGAAACCTCGACAACGCTTAGCAAGTAAGTACACGATGCAGGGTTCATGTTTGCCTCAGTTAACTTGTGAGAATAGTAAACTCGCGGCCTTTTTGGGAGATCCAGATTTCCCACACATACTTTCCAGTGCAACTCAAGGAGAAAGGATTCTTCGCTTTCAGGAGCTCTATCGCAAGTATTCACGTCTAGGACTCTCAAAAGCGTACGATAGACCCACAGCAATAGATGGCCTACAACAACGTCTTCTCCGTACAATGTATGTCAGGGGTGGGTTTGGAGTCTTCGATCAGGGAGTGACGCGTGGTCTGCTCCGGCGCAGTCTCTTGTGGCGACGCGGTGTCGACACCAGGAGTCTGACGCGAATTCACTTCCCCGCCGAAAGCGTTCTACCGACTGTGCCTTCATGGTCATGGATGGCATACACCGGGGGAATAGACTACTTGCAGCCAGATTTTGGAAACTACGAGTGGGAAGACTTACAATCTCCGTGGTCTACGAATGCTCCCAACAATATCTCCAGCACGGATGTCAGCATCGTCAACATGGCGCTGGTTGCTTCAGCACGGGAATACGACTCTGGCGCTGCACTATCGAGCGAGGGTGAGTTGATCCTCGATGCTCCGAATCCATCTTCGAGGCCGAAAACGCTCTGTGTGGTGTTGGGGAAGGCAAAAGGTAGTCCGTCGCCTGAGACACAAAGGCATTATGTTTTGATTGTCGCAGTGGCAGGACACAAGGGCCGCGCTGGAGAGACGATATACGAGCGCGTGGGGGCAGGATATCTGCCTGGCAAGTGTATTTCACCAACAGTGGTTGATGTCAGGATCCACTGAGTTGAAGTTTCGGTGAGATGTATCATGCTATCTTACTTTTCTTACGTATATCTCTACTTTACAATGCAATCATTTTATATATTCTTTGAACCATCGGGACATGGCTAGCCGCCTCAGCTCCGTCCAATTGCACGTGGCATGACCCACATTTTCCACTTTCCCTATCGTATACTAGCGCCCCTACCTTCCGCGTCACTTGCGTGGAGCACAACATGTAACGTCCCGGCGACTTTTCAGGACGGGACTCTTGTCCCAACCCCACAGCCAACGCCCTCGCTCTTCAAAATGGCGCTTCCCAAGGGCGTACGCTACTTGGCTGGCGCCACCATCTGTGTGTTTCTGTATCTGTTCGTTCAGATTCTCAGGACGCCCGGTTCCGAGACGCCAATACAGATTCCGAACAAGCTTCCGACCAACCAACTTGGGGATTGGGATCACGATCCTCAATTAGACCGTAAGGATATCTCCTGCTTTCTGCACTGTGGGGCATGAGTTCTAATTGTTACTCGCAGCGTCTGGCGAACCCCCCGAGCCACTGCGACGAGTCGACGGCGATAACTATGCCCCCAACAACCCGAAAAGCGCACGCATCAACGCCACGATTCTTAGTCTGGTCCGCAATGAAGAACTCGAGGATATGCTTCAGAGTATGCACGATCTAGAGCGCACGTGGAATCACAAGTTCAACTACCCGTGGACCTTCTTCAACGATAAGCCCTTTACTGAAGAATTCAAAAAGGCTACGCGCGCAGCCACCAACGCCGAAGTGCGGTACGAGCTAGTTCCCGCTGAGCACTGGGATGTGCCATCGTGGATAAACATGGACCTATACCAAGAGTCTGTATCGCTGTTGGAATCACTTCAGGTACAATACATGAGTAAAAAGTCTTACCACCAAATGTGTCGGTGGAACAGCGGCATGTTCAGCGAACACCCTGCATTGAAAGATGTGCAGTACTACTGGCGAGTCGAACCGAACGTCCACTTCTTCTGCGACGTCGACTACGATGTCTTCGCATGGATGCAAGACCACAACAAAACCTACGGCTTCAACATCAACATCTACGACAGCCCAGACAGCGTTGCAACCCTCTGGCCCGAGACCAAGAAATTCATCCAAGACAACCCGGACTACGTCCACCCAAACAACGCACGCGAATGGCTCGAGGACAGCAAGCGCCGCCCCGATAACAACAAGAAAGCCCACGGCTACTCAACCTGCCACTTCTGGTCCAACTTCGAAATCGGCGACTTGAGTTTCTGGCGCAGCAAAAAATACCGTGATTACTTTGACCATCTCGATCGCGCTGGCGGCTTCTTCTACGAGCGATGGGGTGACGCACCCGTGCACAGCGTGGCGCTGGGTCTTTTTGAAGACAAGAATAAGATTCACTGGTTCCGCGATATCGGATACCAGCACATTCCGTTCTTCAATTGTCCGAACAATCCAAAGTGCAAGGGTTGCGTCACAGGCCGCTTTACCGATGGTGAGAAGTGGTTGAATCGTGAGGATTGTAGGCCGTTGTGGTTCAAGTATGTCGGCATGGAGTGAGAGAGCGTGGATTCCAGTAGTCGATTGTGTAGTTTTTGCTCAGGTACAGCAAAAAGAGATCAGTCGGCTTGATCTTGGGGTTCTTATGTACAGATACGATGCATGCGCACTGCAGCGTGTACATGCGTCACGACGAACATTCCGTCTATGGTTCGGGAAAAGGGAGTTTTACGGGCATCTTGCACTTGGGGGCTTCTTTTTTTTTCTATCCCCTTTGACACCTGCCTTCAGATAGGTGTTCACTCGATAGCACATATACCACTAGACCATAAACAATACATCCAAAAAAACATACATATCAAAATCTTCTATCCTTTTCCTCTGCTATACTAAACTCCGGTCCTTCTTCCCGTCCCACTCCAACCGATCCGCCAACTGCTCCCACATGGGCTCCGCCCCCGCCCTCCCCACACTCTTCAGTCCCGCACTGATAAACGGAAGCAACCGCTTAAATTCCGCCTCCACTCTCTCCAACTCCTTTCCTTCTTTCCTTGCAAGCAGCACACCCAAATCCAACATATCGAGTATCGCTGTGAAAATTGGTTGTACGTCTTTCGACAGCAGGGTCCTTTGACGTAATTTTGCCATATACTCGACATGAATTCGTGCCATCTCGTCGATATCGCGTGCTTTTTGCATGGACGAGAGCATCGTGCGGGTAGTGAGGTGGATAGCGGTTTCGGTGATGTAGGAGCGGAGGGTGTCGGTGAACCAGGTAAGGGTGTGGAGGAGTTTGTAGAGGAGGGGAGGTAGGTTGGGCTTTCGAGCGGCGCGGAGGCGGGTGCGTTGGAGGAGGTATTTTACTCGGTAGATTTGGAGGAGGAGGGTGCAAAGGGAGTGGTAGGTTGGGAAGGAGGCGCGTTGGGTTATGTTTTGGAGGGACCAGGGTATCTTTGGGAAGGGAGAACGCGAGTTAGAAGGGAAAGACTAGGGGTTGGGGAATTCCACTTACTGCGTAGTCTACGGATATGATGGCTAGGTCTTTGACGGATTTGCCGTGGTTTTGGTTTACTTTGGTGGAGCGGACGACGATTTTGTCGGCTTCAGAGGGGGAGAGGATAGTGCTGTATATACCTCGCGTTACCTCTGTGAGTACATATCGATCGTTCCATCCTCGTCTGCCGGCGTCCATACGTTCGAAGATTGCAGTTGCAAAGTCTTCGAAGACAGATCCATTTCGACCCAGGTACAGTGTCTCAAAGACTCCGAGAACGTGCATGAGGCCGTCAGTCTCGAAAATATGTTGACGGAGTACAGTGGAAGCGATTGAGTATTTGCTACGAATCCATGACTCAAAGGCCATGCGGAATAGTTCTGGGAAGGGTGAGAGTGGTGCGTTGTCTGAGGTACCGCATACCATCTCATGGTCTAGACTGGGCTCGTGAACCTCAGAGTGAAGACCTGTATCATAGATTCCTAGCTCTTTCAGGAACACAATACTCTTTCCAGTGTTGAAGACCTTGCCTACCGCCGGTTGCAAAAACGAAGGAAACTGTAGCTTGTTCTGGCCATCACGGCGCAGTTCGTAGTGGTCATGCCATAACGAGGAGGTTTCGCTTTTGGCATCATTCTCCATGACAAAAAATGCCTCCTGGTCGGATCCCAGCTCTCCTGTCTCCATCCACCGCCGTATTGGCTTTAGATATGTCTGTAGGCACTCGAAGAAGGCCTCCGATAAGTACTTAAAGATTTCGTCCTCGAGCGCCATCTGCGCCAAAGTAGCCGCTTCGAATAAGGCCTCCAAATGACGGAAAGGATTGATCGGCGCCAAAGGTTTATCCTTCAGAGTTGCTTGGTCCCGAGCAACCTGAGTTACGATTGGTGCTAAGCGGAGAATGGGCGTGGACAGTTTGCGGATGTCTCTATGTAATTGGAGCAAACTGACAGGGATTGGGTTCTCGGGGAGTAGATATTGTTGCTGCATTTCTGCTAAACAATGGTCGAATTGGAGTAGTCGTTTCTGTACAGAAGCGTCAAAAGTCTGGACGAGAGGCGATGATGGGCGTTTGCTAGCTCGCTGTTGCAATGTCCATTGTCGCATTCCCTGCAATCGCGAGCCAATTTCTGCAAGCTGGGATAGCAGATGGTCGACAGAGGTTGATCGAGTATGATCGAGGACATAGTTAGAATTATGGCGGAAACAGCGCTTTTGTTTGTCTATTTCATATAGACTTGTCTTTAATCCACCAATCATGAATAGTGTCTCCTTTACTGCCTGTAACTCCGTGATGCTTACGTCGGAACTATCTTTGCTCGCAGGGTGACTCCAAAATTGGGTTTCTTCTAGCTTTGTCACAATCTCTTTATCGGTTGGTGTAACGCAAGACTCCGGGTCGTAGGTATCATCTTCATCAAAACTCGTCGGTGGTGAGCTTGGACGCCTTTTAGGCTTCTTCAGTGGCTTCTCCTCATCAGAAGAGTCGCCGGCATAGTCAATGTCTTTCCAGATATCTTCATCGCTATATGGGTCATCTTCCAGAATCTCTGCCCACGTCAACGGTGGAGGTGGACTTGGTGGCCTTAGCAAGTCCAGTGCCTCGATTTGCGTATTTTCAAGAGGCCGATCGGCTAGTTGAAGCAATAATGCTAAGATTTCAGGTTTGTATTTGTTTGTATATCCTTCGAGCTTTTGCAGCCGCACCTGCAGCGCATCAGCGAGGTCATCTCGATTTTTGACTCGAAACTTCTCGTCAAGCCCTGCAAAGCTAGCTGTAACATCGAATTGATTTGTACGCGCATACTGATGACCTCGAAGGTTGCGTGTTGCGATCTCTTTAGCGTGTTTGTAGGCTTGCTTGTTCTTTGCTGAATCAGAGGTCAAAAGTGACCGGATCAGGTCGTCTGTGATACTAGAGACCCTTGCATTTTGCGCCATGGTTTGGTGTTGTCCATGTCAAGAAATCATGTGAGGGCTGCGATTAGTGTTTGTAGAGACGATACGCGTCCGGGCAACCTGCAACTGAACAGGCAGGCCCTAGCCCCACTTGGACCTCTACGCTATTCCCAATACACGTTAAAGCTCTCTTTGTAACTTACGTAAGCGGAACCTTCGGCAAGAGCTGCCGTTTCTGAAGCACAATGTCCAACACAACGTAAACGTCCGTAATCCGGTAGACAGGCGAGACTTTGACTCTCAGTCGTCATATCACAGTGTATTTCTACCAGTATCTCTATTAATAAATTTGAAGTACCCTATCATTCCAACAATATATATCACGCAATTAGCTACTCCGCGTAAAAAAAAGAAGACACGCGAACAAAACAAAGACTCCAAACTGGAATCAGAGGCGCAATAGCTCGCCAGGACCTCCGAAGTTCAGTTGGATGATATTTATCTCAAGCTCCACACAGAATCAAAAGCACGATGCGTCACCCCGCAGCACCCACCATAATCGCCGTCCTGCTTGGTTTCCTTTTCTTCATGGTCGTCTGGAGCCGAGTGCGTGCCGATGACCATCACGAGGGAAATCCTCATCCAGACGATATTCCACGGAAAAAGGAGAAAGAGGAGGTCAATCTTGTCGGCGATGAAGTCAGTACAGAAGAAGTTGATCAAAGAATCTGAACGTGTTTCTCTACCCTCTTGAGCGCTAGTGTGCCTCAGCTTGGGTTCTGGATCCGACCATCTACAACAAACAATACGGCCATTCCTCTTTTCTCGCCTTTATTGAGAGACGTGTGGTGGTCCTTCAACCTGTATACTGAGGACGCTACCGTTACGGCGCTTTAGAACTTATCAACAGCTGGTCTTTCGGAAATCAGCTCGATACAGTTGGATCCAGAAGAACACTGTCAAATGACCATCGTTCACAAGGACGCCTGAACTACGATAGGACTGACCAACTCGGCCAATTAACTCAGCGCATATGTATCATATAAGTCCTGTTGGAACTACTGTTGAAAATATAAAACACGGTTTTGTATAGGAAAGCCAAAGAGTGTAGATTTTAGAACGACCAGTCACTGCTAATTTTCACTTCAAGAATACAGACTTGTCGAATTTATTCCTATGTTAAGTTATGAGAATTAAATACGGAGATGTGATATTCAGAAATAGCACGTCAACTCAAATCTACTGTTCTGGCGCATCCACTGGTACCCACGCTCTTCCTTGAGCATTCAACAGCTCGGTAACCTCATCCATATCCACACCCAGAGCATCCGCAACATACTTGGGCATATCAGTGTTATCCCAACCTCCAGCCATATCTAAGACTAGACGATCGCCTATCTCCCCAACAGCGTAACCATACAATGTGGTATCAACACCTGTGTGCCCGCCAGTCGACCACTTAAGCCCCGCCCTCTCATTTAGTAGATCCGCCAACGTCTGAGCAAAGCCCTCGCTAGCAATCAGACTCTGAATCTCCGCATCCGAAACATCGGTAATGCCGTACGCAGGAACAATCTCATTGGCGAGGAAGCCAGCTGCATCGGTGCCATTGTACTTGCTCCACTGCTCACTCAGGTACTCAACCGAGTGCTTTCCGGGTTGCAAGACTTGAGGGTTGTGTCCGGATGGGAGCGTGATACCGCCAGTCTCGTGGTCTGCAACAGCGAGGAAAGCGGTATCGGGGTGTTCGTCGATCCACTTCCTGACGATGTCGGTGACACGGTTGAATTCTAGTACGTCGTGGAGATGCGCAACTGAATCGTGGGCGTGGGACGAATGGTCGATACGCGATGCTTCGATCATGAGAAAGTAACCTTTATCGTTGGATTCGCTGCCGCGCGAGAGCGAGTTGAGTGCCGCCTTCGTCATCTCGGATAGCGATGGCTCCTGAACTTCGGCGGCTTGTTGCTGGCGATCGACCTCGTAGCTGAGGTCCCCGCCCTTGAAGAGGCCGACGTAGGGGAGTTGAATGTCGCCAAGACCAAGCTCGAGGGCATCGAAGCCGGCACGGTCTCGGGCGGTGTAGTAGCCCTGCGACTTGGCGTAGGAAAAGAGATCGATGTTGTCAGTTCTGCAGGAGCCGGTCTCGTTTTGGGGCTGGAAGTCGCAGCGTCCGCCACCGAGCATCAGATCTACGCTAATATTGAGGGGGTGGCTATACCCGACTAGCTGCTCTGCGATCTGGCCTAGAGAATTGCGGCTTGCTGCGTGGGAGAAGAATGCTGCGCAGATTTAGTGGTGATCAAGAAATGTGGTATGAACAGAGACTCACATGCAGGAGTTGCGTGAGCGATAGGTGAAGTCACAACAAGGCCAGTAGTGTAACCGGCCAGTTTTGCAGCTTCCATGACAGATCCAACTGGTTTGCCGTCAGGCAAAACTCCAATGAATCCATTGTTAGTCTTGTGGCCAGTTGCAAGAGCAGTGCCGGCAGCGGCAGAATCAGTCACTAGGTTGTTGGAAGAGTGTGTATGGGTGTTTCCAATAACAGTAACATCAAGAGGAAGCGATTTGATTCTTGGTGCCCGGGGGGTTGAGTCGCCGTTGACCATAGACAAATACGTCCGGACCAGGGTCTGAGAAGCCGGGCCCATGCCATCGGGGACGATGAAGATAAAATTCCTGGGCTGGATTGCTGCCAATGTAGACTGTGCCAAAGCAACGGCTGCTAGCGCTGTGGAGGTGCGCATTTTGGAAACGAGAATGGCGGGCTCGAGACTTGAAGGTAGTTGTCGGAAAAGTCAATAACCTGAGCTGTGATATCTATGTCTTGCATGTTGAAATGGTCTTATAGTTTTCAAATTTTTCAACAATTACCTATCACGGTATTCCCGAGAGAGGCAAATACATCTAGTACTCATGACAAGCATTTGAGCCGTCTCAACCGGAGTGCCACAGGTCTTGGACCTGCATACTACAGGAAGTAATAGTGGGCCATTGGATGCAGTTAGTGGAACACTTACATCTATGTCCTGCATACCAAAGACGGGCATAGTAAGTTCAAAAGCTTTTGAAGCTAAGTTCCAATGGTATATACATTCTTTTCCGATCTCTCGCATCGTTTTTGAACGTTTTCCAGCAACAAGAGTCTCGGCTTAGTGTTTGACAACGAGAAGCATGGAAATGTCTCATGTAGTCCAACGGTGGGGAGTACCGGGTATTTTGCAGAACATTAGCCACTCAGATTTGCGAGTATGCTCACGTTGAGACCCAAAAATAATCTCGGCGTGCATGCCCAGCCTCCGACGCCTTTTCGCTCGTATTGCCAAGTACTTGGGAAATAGGAACATCCTAACAACACAATACTGCGATTACACAAGACGTGGACCACGTGAGGCTGCCATAGGCTATCTCCGTTCAGTCCACATGTTTTCCAGTCTTCTCCTTCTCCATGGGGTAAGGATCTCCGTCGTTCCTCCGCCTTGTGAACCTAGTCTCCAAGCAGTGCTACCTTGGCATCGATAACCAGTACTTCTGAGGTACTTAACCAGTTGAGATAATCATCCGACGTCCGGTACCTTCGTTTGTACATATAAAGACGATGGCCTCTAAGTTGGATGCTGATACGGTTGTGCATCTCACCATATACACACACATATACATGTGGTGCATGTGTCACATGACACTGCCCCGGCCCCGTACATAATGCCGAAGTAAGTAAGATCATCAGAACGTTGAATTCTTGAAATTTCCTTCAACGTCGAATGTAAGTATTTATGAGAATACGAGACTGGATCGAAGAGTATTGTTGCCATGCTTTAGCGTCGGTCGTCATTTTCCCGAGTCGCCAAGCCACCTTTCATGCGCTGCACCCCGCAAAATAGTTGGAGTGTGACCTCGGGTGGGGCGTCATTATTCGTTCGTTCCCTGAGTTGCCGAATTTCGTACATGGAATTATCCGTAACCTTGACCAATACGGGTTACACTCCGATCAATCTAGCTGTTCAAGGGAATGATGTGATCGAAGTTTCTTTTACTCGAGTTACGACCTGCTGTAACCATCTTACGAGCTGATGCGTATTCGTGGATATTCTTCACCCCGGTCGAACATGCGAGGTCACATCGTGTCTGAATTCAGGTATGTGTACCTGATATGTTCCTGTCCGGGCTAAATGTCACCCGGTGGATGAAGTATATTATGGAGGTAGGTGATCAGTTGTATAGTAGTCCAGAGATAGTTTTGTGTCTTTCTCACTACCTCGCAACCGACCATGCGTGCTCACAATTTTCCCCTATACGCATGGGGTCTATGGTCGGCATCCACTGTGAATGCTGCCGTATCGCGCCGACACATTGACCAGGCGCTTGACAGTCTCATAGTTACGAACATTGAGGATGTACGCGGCAATCTTCACCTACCAGAGACATCTGGAGACTTCAAGGTCACCTGGGCAAGCAGCCACCCATCAATTATCTCACCGGATGGTATCGTGAAACGACAGGATGCCGAAACCACGGTTGATCTTACGGCAATTATCGACCATGAGGGAATCATTTCTAATCGCACATTCAACGCCAATGTCCGTCAAGCAGCAGCCCTTGCACCTTTCGAGGGTTACGCCTTTGCATATTTTACGGGCAACTCCATAGCTGGCGAAAAGATCTACATGGCAGCCAGTCAAGGCAACAATGCTTTGAAGTGGAATGAGCTAAATGGCGGACAGCCAGTCCTGGCCTCTACTCTAGGCACAAAGGGCCTGCGCGACCCTTTTGTTATTCGATCAAACGAGGGTGACAAGTTCTTCTTGCTCGCCACTGATCTTTCGATCGGATCCGGTACCTCGTGGGGAGATGCAGTCAAATTTGGCAGTCTCTACCTTGAGATTTGGGAATCGAAGGACCTCAAGACCTGGTCAGCCCAGCGCCACGTCAAGGTTTCTCCGTCCACTGCTGGAAACACATGGGCGCCTGAAGCCTACTACGATGCCAGCCTAGGCTCATACGTGGTTTTCTGGGCTTCTTCGCTCTATGAACCAAGCGATACCGCCCGTACTAGAAGTACCTACCACCGCATGATGTATGTCACCACGCGAGACTTTGTCACGTTCAGCCAACCTCAGGTATGGCAAGACGCTGGACTGTCGCGTATCGACACGACCGTTATCAAGGAGGGAAACACTTTCTACCGATTTACCAAGGACGAGGGAGGCACAGGTACCAACTGTCAAGACATTATCCAAGAGCGCTCAACATCGTTCCTTGCTCCTGTGAGTGGATGGACTCAAGTTGCTGCATGCATTGGTCGCAACGCCGGTACAAGCGCCGTTGAAGGGCCGACTGTATTCAAGGCCAACGACAATGACGTCAACGGAAAGAAGTTCTACCTCTTTGTGGATGAATATACGGGCCGCGGCTATATTCCTCTGGAGACTGCAGACATCTCCAAGCCAACCTGGAAGGTCTCTAGCTCCTACAGTCTCCCACGCAGCCCGCGCCACGGAACTGTTATCCCAATCACTGCCAGCGAACTTGCTAACCTACGATCCGGACTCACAAGCCGCTCAGATTCTGTTGCTCCCCGCAGCCGCTCCCGCTTAAGTGCCAGAGCAGGAAGCCCTGTTCTCCCAGGCCTTTATGCCGACCCGAACATTGCAGTCTTTGGCAAGAACTACTACCTCTATGTCACAACCGACGGCTTCCCAGGCTGGGGCGGCAACGTCTTCTACGTCTGGAAGTCACCCGATCTAGTTTCTTGGGCTCGTTCAGTGAAGCCTTTCCTGACTCTCAATGGCACAAGCGGAAACGTACCATGGGCAACCGGTAATGCATGGGCTCCAACCATCATTGAGAGGGGTGGCAAGTACTACTTCTACTTCAGCGGCCAGAACCCCAAGTACAACCGCAAAACCATCGGCGTCGCCGTTGCAAACTCCCCCGAAGGTCCATTCACCGCCCAACCCGAAGCCATGATCCTAAACGACGGCACCCTCAAGACCGGCCAGGCAATCGACCCCGCCGCCTTCCGCGACCCCACCACCGGAAAATACTACATCTTCTGGGGCAACGGCACACCAGCCCTCTACGCCGAACTCGCCGACGACATGATCTCCCTCAAAGCCGGTACCACCCGTGCCATCAGCGGCCTCACCGACTTCCGCGAGGGCATCTTCCTCAACTACCGCAAGGGCCTCTTCCACCTCACCTACTCCATCGACGACACCGGCTCAGAAAACTACCGTGTCGGCTACGCTACCTCGACGAGCGTCGACGGTCCCTGGACGTACCGCGGCGTTATCCTCCAGAAGAATACTGCGCTGGGTATCTTGGGTACTGGCCACAGTTCCATCATCAATGTGCCTGGTACGGATGACTGGTACATTGCGTACCACCGCTTTGCTATCCCCAACGGCGGTGGAACCAACAGGGAGACGACGATTGATCGGGTGTACTTTGATGATGCCGGGTTCATTAAGCCGGTTGTGCCTACGCTTACGAGTGTGGAGCCGGAACCGGTTCCTGCGTGAGGAGGTTGAAAGGGGAGGAGGGGGTTGGAAATGTATGGATGGAGAGTGAATTTTTCTTCTTCTTCTTCTTCTTCTTCTTCTTCTTCTTCTTCTTCTTCTTGGTAAATAGTACGCTGTTTTGATTATGTAGTTGAATTGGATTTGAATGTATATCATGAAACTTATGGCGCAATACTTGAACGAATACTTTCGTTTTCTTCTTGAATTTCCATGCTTTTACTTATTAACCCCCCTTTTACTGCGTCTCACGTATCTCCTCACAAGTAGCATCGCTAGGTGATGCGTTGACGGTGCGTTCGAGGGCTACTAGGGGATGTGAATGAAGGCGGAGGAGGATTATACGATGAGAGATCAGGAGATTCAAGAACGGTAGGCGCTTGGATCTTGGTAAAGAGTCTTCTGCGATGTACTTGTTCAGTCAGTCACCATACACATAGAGAAGAATAGTTGCACTTTCTACTTACAATGTCTTGCTATTTAAATCTACATTATTCACAGTGTACCATCGATTCTGAACCGCGTAACTTAAATCCAAAACGTTACTCGACATGCCTGATGTTGGTGTATATCATTCGTCTCAACCCCCTTCGGCCCCTCCAATCACATTCCAATGCGTCCGTCCCCTACCCAGCCCTGGGTCTCTCCCACGCCTGCGCATCAGTCATCTCAATGCCCCCCGTTACACTCGCCTGCCCCAACTTCTCCACATTCCAGTCCACATCCCCTGGAACCGGACTCCTCAGCTCCTTTTCCCTGCCCAACCCCTCAACACCTGTCGGTCCATCTCCCCAGACCAAATACTGCGCTGCAAGCCCCAAATCGCAGCACGCCTGGAAGATACCGCAAGCCTTGAACGCCCACGGCACCTCGCCACTGCTACTCGCAAAAAAGAACCACATCTTAAACGTATCACCAATGACCCAATTCACAATAACACTCGGGCGGAACCCCTTACACCCACGCCTCTGCCAATTCGCCAGAATCTGGGGCAGTGGCAGCGTCGCCTCAATCGTCAACGCAATGCCCCCCAGCAAATCCGTATACGGCCCAAACACAGCCGTCGAACTCATCAGGAGATGCAACACCAACAAACTGCCCGCAAAATACGTGATAAAGGCCCAATAAGGGCGCGGCGCCCTCCACTGCCAAAAGTCGTACGGGCGATTCGAAACATCGTTGTGCTGAAACGGCAAGTGCGAGGGTGGTGGGCGATTCGAGAGCGCGACGTGGAGTAAGAGGAGGTGAACGCATATCATGAGGAGGGCCTGGATGAGTAGCGAGGTGCTGAAGTGGGCGCCGAACCAGTAGTAGACTTTTAGGATGCTGGCGACGAGCATGATGAGGGGGATATCGAGGGAGAAGCCCGCTGAGCTGCGTGCGCGGTGCATCGAGTAGATTTGGTCGCCATAGCTGGTTATCGGGCTGGTTGCTATGCTGGAACGGGGAGGACACGAAGGTGTTAGAGGATAGAGGTGGAGAGGAGAGGGGTAAGGGCTGCGTACAAGATGGGCGCTATGTTCTTTACGATTGCGCTGATGAAGAACATGGTTTGTGTTGGGAGGGAGGCGAGGCGAGGCGGTCGGGGCGGGCGGAGGACGAGGCGGTATTGTTCGGAACGGTGGTGGTGAGTGTCGGAATCCCTCTCTCCCCTTGTTTGTTATCGTACCCACTCTTCTTCTCTCGTTTCTTCAATAAACAATGCCCTCCAAATGAGATCGCTAAGCGTAAACAATAATAAACAATAAAAACAACAAGCACGTGACTGTCGTAAAAACCGTTTGGCGTTGTACCCGTTGGTGCGCGGGATAATAAAAGGAAGGGAAAGAGAAAAAGGAGGGAAATGCACCATGTAAACTAACTAGTACGTTAGTACACCGCGGACCAAAAAATCCCCACCTAAACTCCGGTCCCCTGCCCATTTCCCATAGGGCTGAACACGCGCAAGCGCGATTAACCCGATAACTCGTCTCGTATCCTTATCGCCCTAATCAGCCTCATATCCCCATTTACCCCAATCCCCCCCTCCCCTCCATCCTCCAAATACGAGAAAGCCAAACCCCCCCACCACCACCCCGCCTACACAAGCTTCCTTTTCCCCCTTGTTTGTTTTTCCTACCGCAGCTAGACAAACCCTACATCTAGAACTTTTTGTTTTCTTAGCATAAGAGCAAACAAAGAAAAGAAAAAAAAAACTACCAAAAAATGACCCACACAGCATTCTTCTACGGCACCCTAATGGCCCCTCCCGTCCTGCACCGCGTAATCTGGGGCTCCCCGACCCCTCCCACCCCCGCCCACGCTTCCTTGCTACACATCCGCCCAGCAATCCTACACGCCCATCAGCGCAGAAAAGTCAAAGGTGCGGATTACCCCGGCGTTGTACCCGTTACCGCTACCGCTTCGGTGAGGGGCACCCTCGTGCAAGGTCTCACAGACGGCGATATATGGCGGCTCGATGTATTCGAGGGGTCGGAATACGTGCGTCGGAAAGTTGGCGTGCGCGTTCTGCTTCCCAGTCGGAAAGTTGAAGGGGGAGGAGAGAAGGAGGAGGAGGGTGGAATGGGCGATTTGGCACAGAGAGAGGAGGATAATGTCGAGGGAGAGGAAGTCGAGGCGGAAACGTATTTTTGGGTTGCAGGAGAGCATAGATTGGAGGGTGAGGAGTGGGATTTTACGGAGTTTGTGAGGGAGAAGATGGGGAGGTGGGTTGGGGGTGTGGAACTTGAAGGTATGCATTGTCGCTTTTGAAAGTGATAAAGGGAGGGGGGATGACGTATGCTAACGAATGTGCGCAGATGTCGATAATGCAGTAGCAGCAGCACAAGGCGATCCAACCGGTGGCCGCGGCGCAAACGGCGATATAACACGGCAGTTGAACCAAGAGAGCAGGGCAAGCAGGGAGATACTAGAGAGTGCAGTGTGAATAAAGAACAGAATCCGTTATCAGTATATCTTAGCACATCTCTCCCTCAGTTCCCTGGTCCGTGAATTGAGCCTTTTTCTCCTTCTTGTTTGTATGGCAGTGCATGGCCAGAATACACCATTCCTCCTTCTGTGGTATTGTCCGTCGATCGAACTGGCAAATATATAAAGGAAAAGGGAAGGAAAAGCACAGTACATGGGATCCCCCCACCGGTTTTTGGTATCTGTAGCAAGCAACGCCATCGCCATGCTAAGAGATAGAAACGAAAAATGCTAAAAAGAAACGAACACAAAGTGGGATGGGAAAATATATTACAGAGGTGCCAGAAAGCCGTCCTGGTATCGTGCCGTCAAATGGTTGGTCAAACGACCTAGATTGTCCTATCTTATGTAATGATGGGACTCCTCGCTGGCTCAGGTGTTTCTCGCACTATTATACTATCTTGAGTCCCGTCAAGCTGCATTTGGTCGGTGGATTGTGAAATTGCTTCTACGGGGTCCTTGGTGCCCTCTTCGCCGCGTTGGAAGTTTTGGCTGGGCTGGCTTGGGCCCGGTGCTCTGGATCGACGAGCATGGTCTCTCTCGTAATCGTCATCTGCCTGGCCACCAGTTGATGCGCCCTTTTTCCTGAGCTCGACGATCTTGCTGCGCGGTGGTAGTCGGGGAATTTCCTCAAAGGAAGGTGAGGGTTGAAGCATCTGTATCGGCCTTGGTGGTCGTGATGATGGAATGTGGCATGCGCTGGCACGAGGCTGCAAAGGAGGACACAGCCCACGGCCCGCAATTTCCATCTCTTGCGAATCCTTGATTTCAATGGGAACATCCGGCGCGCTACCCTCACCGCTACGTGAGGACTGAGCCTTGGTTCCAGAATTTCCGTCTCTCTTTTTCCTCAATGATGGATCCATCTGTGGTCTTTTGGCATTTGGTGAGCCCGTCGGATGGTTGTGGTTGTCCTGTCTTTGACGCTTGCTCAGACTAAACGAGCGAGATTCTTGGTCCTTTTGATCAATATGTCTGGTGTGGCTAGTAAGTCTGTCAGGACTGCTATGCGTGTCATCGACTGAGTTGTGTGGCTGAACAGTCCTGTTGTTTATGCGGACCTCTGGACTATAGCGTCTCGGTGACACTTTAGAATGGCTAGCAAACCCTGGTTTGGCAGGAGACTTGGTGGTTGGGGATGAGTCTGGATCTTTAGCTGCGCCTCCCTGCGACGAGTGCTTGACTGAAGCTGAGCTGTCCTTTTCAGGCTCAAAGGGCGAACCGAGTCTTGGAAGAGGTAAAGTGGGAGACAATTCAGCTCGCGGTAGGTCATCTCCACCAGTAGCATGCTTATCACTTTTGGCCTCTGTCATTGGGCCCAGCGATTTTTCGCAAGCGGTTTCCTGAGTCGCCTGTTTTGATGCCGGATCAGGCGAAACCTTCGACTGCATCGACCCCTTCTTTGCCTTTTTCTGGGCCGCTCTTGCCTCCTCTTGTTGCTTGTGACATTCGAATATGATTTCTCGCATCTTATGCCTCATAGTTGAAGGGTTGAGCTCTGGCCAGTCTTCTTCGGCCGACATGGATCCCGTCAATAGCTTGTGCATGAACTCGTCCGGATTTTGGAAAAACTTCTCGATGTAACCGAGTAGATAAACGCCACAGTCGGTCCAGTTGTTCTGCATGGGAATCTGGGAACCTTTTGGGTAGTAGCCGTTCTCTTTGATGACTGCCTCCATGCCCCGCTTGCTTTTGCCTTCTGCTGCTATCCAGTCTTTGAGGGTGCGAACTGCCCCACTACGGGCAATCCCCCCGAGAGAATCGAGAACAACAACTACTGGTTGAGTAGGATCTCTCTTAGGGACAGCTTTACGTTTATTCTTGTTCTTGGCAAACGATAGACTTGATTGCACCAGCTTCCTTCGGGATAGGGCTTCTAGATCACTAGCGGTCTGCGGCGTCTCCATATGTTCAGTTTCCGATTCCAGATTGACTGCATTAGATTTGTCAACCCCAGTCCGGGGTCGAACTCTTGATCCAGGGTCATTGCGGTCAATTAGGGATATTGTCGCTTCATCGAAGAGGTTGGGATCTTCATCTTGTTGCCTGTGCACTTCTTCGATCTTCGCAGGTGAGTTTGGATTTGACCCCGGTTGCAACCTCTTGCGCTCTTCCCCATCGCTTGCTGTAGCTGATATGGTAGGTAATTCGGGTGTTTCCTGTATATGAAGCTGTGGGTCATCGAAATCTTCGACTATAGGTTTGCGCTGGATGTTTGAGACATTGCAAATAATCGCCAAGTACCAATGAGACCTATGAGAGGTTAGCAGATTTTACAAAGTAATGGGACTTAACATACTGCGATTCATTGATTGGTACAACAATGTAATCGTAAGTGAAGATGTCAATCTTGGATGTCCAGCGTTCAACGGCTTTGTAATTCATCGACTTGCGGCCAGCATTATCTGTGAGTTTGGTGAAGAAGTAGGTATTGAAGAAATAGACCTTGTCAGCAGAAACATTCAGCTTTTTAAAGAGATAGCTTCTTGACATTAGTGGCTGCGTGATTTGAGACTTCAACAATCCACGTACATCATGTAGAAGTCTATTAGACTGTCATTCAAGTACTCTTCTTCGTCCAGGCGTGGCAAGTCATCAAAGTGCACTATAGCGCGCTGGCGGCCTTCCCCATACTCAAGGGACCTTCATGTGGTTAGCGAAATTAGGCCATGGAGTCTCGGTACTTACTTGGTCCAGGGTCGTCCTAGTCCTTTGTCGATAGAGTATTTTGGCACCTCAACAATATCAGGACTATCCCTTCCAAGACGTGTGGACGCCAATGGTCGTGAGCGAGATGAACGGCTCAGTGTTGTGGCTGTTTTCGTAGTGTTAAGGGTGGATCTGTCTTCGACACCCCTTTCGTGGCGCTGCTCTTGAACTCCAAGTGGCCTCTCCGCTTGCTCAGAATGCGTATCATGACTCTTGGGATCGTTTACAGCGTTATCTGAGATTTCAGAAATCGCTACTTTATCGTTCCTTGCTCGGAGAGGCGCGGCAAACAGTCGGCGCATATGTTCACTGCAATAACGTTAGTAGATGGCCGATGGTGGCTCCGTGTTCACTCTTACTTGTCTTTGGAAAGAATCTTGCCACTCGTGGTCAGAGACGCTGCATGTGAATTGCAGAATGCCAAAAAGTCATTCGAGTTGAGAAACTCGAGATCAAATATGGGGATATTGCCATTTGCATTCCTAGGTCCCTCTAGGCGAACACGGCTTGTCTCGTCTGCATGGACCTTATTGACTTCTTGAGAATGGATTAAGATTATTGTCTCATAGCCCTCTGTGCTGTACTTTTGGAGGCGCAAACCTTTCGGGTCGCTTCGCAGAACCAGAGTATCATGCCCATCCTCCATTTTGGAGCCGGCCCCCTCAAAGCCATATGATCTTGCGAATGACAACGGCCAAGAATCGCCACTGGTTTTACTGTGTCCATTTCGTTTGGCACCACTTTGCACAGCCTTCTTCACTTTTGACGGTGATAGTGTCTGCTTCCTGGTAGCAACGGGTGAAATGGCAAGCTCATCGGCGCTGTCACTTTCTTCCATTTGGTCTAATTGCTTAGGCACCGGCCGATGTTGAGTACGGAGATTAGCGCTGTTGCTAGTGAAGGAGTGGTTGGTACTTGGCTGCTCTGTAGTCGATTCGTTGATTCGAGCTTCAGGGAAATGTTTAGATGCGACTTGTCGCTCTACGGATTTCTGGGGAGGCTCGCCTTGCTTCAAACTCCGTATGATGAACTGGTGGGCTTCCCCAGACAAGGTGTCACGGCGGACAGGGGAGTGGTTCTGGCGAGCTTGGCGCTTGTTGCAACTTGCTTGTCTGGGCTTCTTTCCAGGATTCATGAGACCATCAACTTCTCGGAACTCGTTTGTGGCTCGGTGTATCTTGAATTCAGCTCCGGTACTCCCACTTCCGATATTGAGACGTGATTGCGATGACATGGCCGAGATTGGTCTTTCATCAGATGGTCTGCGAGGAGTAGACGCTTCAGACCGTGTCACCACCATGGCTTCATCGTCTTCGTCTTCCTCTTCGTCTAGGTTTATAACATGCTCAATCTTCCTGCGCTTTGCGGATGCAGGTCCACCAGACCATTGATCCTCTTTGCCTCGTGACAGTCCATGTCGACTTGGTGTGGTAGGTGTTTTGCTTCGTTGGAACTCGGAGTAGGCTATCTGACCTGGACCTGGCGACTGGCCTATTAACCCGGAGCGGGGACGAGCATGTTTCCCGTACGTTGTAGGCTTCCGAATTACTGCTCGAGCTACGCCGTTGAGTGTGTCGACTGGCCTATATCCCTTGTTCGCGCCCGGCTTCAAGATGTCAGTGTGAAGGTTCATAATCATAGATGCGTACAGACATACCTTGCTGTGCATGGTTCGCTGATCCGACATCCAGGACGACGGGTTGGGTATAGAAACCGCATCTGCTGGAATTCTGATCGAATATTAGCATTCTCCCTCTCATTATTCGCAGTCATTGTGGTAATTTACTCGTAATCACCAACCAGGCGTCTCTCGTCCTCGCTTATAGCACGTTTTGATGACCGTGGGAGAGATTTCCCAGACGGTTGCTCGTCGCGCTGGAATTTCCTTGAGGGCTTTGTGGGCGAAGAGAGGTCTATGACAGTGGGGGTGGATCTTGAGGCGGGTGGTGAGTCCCTAGACAAGGGAAGTGGAGGCAGGTCGAGAGTCGGCGAGTGGGTGGGGGCATCGTTCGCCTGTGGCAGCATGGTGTTAGCTGGGAGAAGCGGCAGTGTTTCGTCAGATGTGCAAAGTGAAGTGGCAGGGCCCAAGTCAAGGCACTGGGAAGGCGATCAAAGAAAAGTGCGCGTACGTCTGTGGTTGAGTGGCCTCCGGCAACAGCTATTATGCCGTTGATGAGGTTAGACAACATTAGTGTAGCATTGCGGTGGCAAAGCGACCAGAGGTGGCATTCTTGGATGCGGACGCTAATCCTCAAAATGCGCGAAGAAAAGGCACAAAGCGCAAACGCGCGCCGTGGGGCATGTGGAGGTGAAGTTGCGCCAGCAGGTGAGTTCGCGATGACGTCCGTGCGCCTCGTCTGGACAAGCCTGCTTGGACTACAAAGACGGGGTGTGGCTTCTGCAATTCAACAAGATCTTTGTGCTAGTATCTTTGCTTCGCGTTCATTGGAGGTCACATAAACTATGCAGAACATCACGTATAGCATAGGAGTGAATTGAGGCAACGAAGCGCACTAGTCATGTGCGCATAGGTGTACATAGTATTATCATTCATGGTCACAGGTCTATGTGACATGCATCTGGGTGGATGCTAGCTTCAGCGGAAGCTGACCAATATCGCACAACACCAGCTGCGATGCAACGCTGTGTATAGTGGTGGGCATGGTCTGCAATGACCGGACCAGAAAAAGGGCTGATCCAACGGTTCATATGCCTTACATGCAAGTAGAGCACGTAGTAAATTCCACGCGCTCGACTAGGGCATGGCATTTCTGTCAGTGGCCCCCGCTAGTGGGACATAGAATCCTTTGTGGGTCTGATAACGCAGGTGCGCCTGCGCTTGTGCCTGCGCTTGCGGAAACAACGCAACGAGCGTATGACCCTGATGCCGAGCCTCAGAACAAGTCAATCGCTCGGTGGCCCGAAAATGATCTAAGAGCCGGCTACTGGCTTCTCTTCGGTAGACGTCACCCTCCGCTTCTCCATGAGATTCTTTTCGTGGCGGGCCTGGTCGATGGCTGAACGCTGGGCAATGCTATCATCGTGGCTTCGCCAAACAATGTTGGTGCCCTCTGGCAGCTTGAGGACCCGCCTAATCGTATCCCGAATCTTGACGTTCTTTACTCCGTCGCTCTTTGTCCAGATGCTGAAGACATCCTCGCCGCTTCGGACACTCAGAACAAAGCCGCAGAATTCATCGCCAGCCTCCATGAACTGATCCCCAACAAGCGCAAGCAAGAGGTCTTCCCAGTAACGGTCCGCAACGCCCTTTTTCAGGCGCATGATCCATTTGCCCCCCCGTTTGTTCTCGTCATCCTCCCATACCGGTCGTATGCCTTGCTTGAAAACATGATAGTCGGACACGGAGGGCAGACTCGAAGGCCGCTTGAGGTGTGAGAAGACTCTCCAAAACTCTTGGGCCGTGCTGAATCTGCAGAGTGGTACAATCGACTTTTCATAGTCGACATTCTTGGCCGTGGGTGGACGGTACCATACCGCCCAGGTGTACTTGAGCGGCCATGGCGCGTTGAAGTCTGGCGGTGCGGACGGGCTCGCGGTGTTTTCTTGTATTGGCGCCGTGGCTATAGACTCTTTTCGTATGATGTTGACCACCTTGCTCACGGGTTTGTCCTTCTTTTCAGAAGGGGTTGTAGGCGCTGTGGATGACATGGCTGCGGCTTTGAAGTCGAAGGCTGTTCCTGGCGTCTTGGGAGTCTTGGCCGCGGAGCCAAAGGAGGCGAATGCGCCTGAGCCGAGGCCAAAGGCAGACGAGCCTCCAGTGGTGGGCGACGCAAGCCCGCCGGGTGTCAATGGGGGGATGGCGTTGAAAGGATTTCGGCCGCCGTGGGACGAGTCGCCCCCGAAGCGTTTGGTTGCGGAAACGGTGCGCTGGTGTGGTTCGGATTTATCGTTGTTTTCGGAATGCGACATGGAGAGGGAGAGCTTGCTGGTGCTGTTGGAGGCGGGTCAGTAGGTGTGAAAGCGAAGGTGCGGGGGTGCATGCGAGCATACTTGGAGCGCCGGGTCCAGAGGTTCTCCCTGTTGTCCATTGGCAGCAGTGGCAAGTGGGTAAATAATACAAGAGAAGAAGAGGAAGAGGAAGGAGAAGAGCAGCGGGCTATCCAAGAACGGCTTGAGCGTGGTTGTGTGAAAACAAGTTGTAAGTATGCGAGCTAGAGGGCCGAGGGCCAATGTGCGTCTGAAGCGGGCGGGGTGTAGTTTGCGATAGTGTGGGTTGTGGTGCAGGCGAAGGGTATGCGGGCGTATGGATGATGTGATGGTACAGAAGAATGTGGAGAAGACGGAGTGGGTGGGATCGTTGAGCGTGGTGGGATGTGTGGTATGCAATGCCGAATAGTGGAGCGTCCTGAGAAAACGTTTGAGAGGTTGGCACACTCGCAGCTCAGGCGCGCGCCTTGCGCAGCAGGGATGTTGGCTTAGTCATCTGCCAAGGCGAACAATCTCTTCTTTGCTTGCGCGCGACCCAGCCCTCTTCTTCTCTTCTTCTTCTTCTTCAACACCGGCCTTTGACTCGTAACACCTGCCAGCTCGACACTCTCTACTCAGCTGGCAACTCGGATAACTGGCCCAGAACGAGCCATCCTCTTCTAAAACCATCATCACGAGGGCCGCTTTTCGCGGCTTCCATGATGCGGTGATGACCTGAAAGCAGGGACATTTTTTATCACGCGCTTGACGCGTTGAGACGGCAGCTGTTTGCAGCCGTCTCTAGCTGATTTTTGTATGTGTGCATCACTAATTTTGTCACGCCATGGCTGGGGATGAGGGTCCATGTGGACCACTTCTGGTAGTCTGAGTGTCAGCCAGATGTACACTATCGCGCAAGCGATTTCTCGGTTGAATATGAAGCTCAAAGGCAAAGTCTGAAGCGATTGGCTGTGTCTATGTGTGTGTGGCTGGGGTTGCTTTGAGAAGGAGGAATGCTAATTGGTGATTGCCCAGCAGTCTCCAAATCCACGACGCGTATCGGCGATAGCTCCTAGCCGTGTGCAGCATTGCAACCCAAGCAGCATTACTACCGTCTCATGAGACGCGAGTGGAGGGTGGGCAGTCAAGCCAAACCTTGCACACTTTGGCAATGCTGGTGTTGATGGTCGATGGTAGATGACGGTAGGCTGGCGCTATGTGCCGCTGTAGCCATGGCTTCCCTGCCCATGCAGGGTGGAGGGAAGGTCCAAAGAGAGTTTGTAGATGGATTGCGTACACAACAGACAGCATTCCATACAGGACCGCACATGCATAGCTCTTCACGTGCGCCCCTCCCGTTTGCATGTGATTGTCAGGATGCGCGCTTGGCATAGTCTAAGTACGAGGGCGCATCCGTGGAGGGGCGAGTCTTGCAAGCGTTGCAGTGTGCTGTGTGCAGTGTGCTGTGTGCTGTGTGCTGCCCAATGGGTGGAGCAAGCCCTCGCTTGTCGTCATGGGTCCGCCCCAGTCTTGCTGTTCGCCCTACTGTCTACAATGTATAGTCTATCGAGTAGTCGGGCATGGCGCGGCCGCATCTTGCATCTGTCAGACAAAGACAGCCGCGTTAAGCCCGGACGTCCATGTAGGCCGCTGGGATAGTCGTGTGCTGCGGGGGATGTTCCCTTGTCTTTTTTCTAGCCCTGCCGCCCTTGCAGGCAGAGCAAACGGCGGGCGGGGGGTGCAAAACAAAGGTCCCGCCGACGTCATCGTTGTGTGCTGCTCTGTCTCTTCACCAGGACAACGCACCCCCACCACGCCCACTGACTGCGCTTTCCTCGGCGGCCTCACTAACCCGACCCTATCGCTTCCTGCGCTGCCTGCCTGCCTGCTTGCCTGCTCGCCCATCTCCTCATCTGCCCATCTGCCCATCTGCTCATCTGCCTCCTCCTCCTCCTCCTCTTCATACAAAGCTCCCCCGGCCCCCGCCAGTTTTGCTTTTCCACACCAGTCTCCCGCTCCCATTCCGCTACCTCCCAACCACCCGACTCCATCCCCCGCACTACTGCTCTCTTGCACGTGCCAGTAGTACCCTTCTTCTCTTGAAAAGAAGCAATCACACCACCACCCATCGCCAACGCAATGACGGCACAATCGCCCCAGGTGCACTCGCCCACCTCGCATCCTGAGCGGCCAAAGGGTGCGCCCGTGAAAAATACCCCGCTTCGCCCGCACCCTTGATTAACAGGCCCAGGTATCCTCAAGAACTCCACTTCTTACCGCTCAAATTCACAAACATCACCTACTCGCGACTTGCCGCCTGCCACGAGCCCAATTTCCTCGGAGCGCCCGCAGCTTGGTCGTGAGCTGTCGGAGAAGGAAATCGTGCTCGAGAACACGCTACGCAATGCTGGCGCCCACCGCCGCTCGTCTTCAAACCCTCGTGGCCTGGCGTCGCGGCGCCAATCGGGCGCAGACCCCACAGGCGACGCCAGTCCCCAGCTCAAGTGGGATGAGGCCAATCTCTACCTCAACGAGCAGAACCGTGACAGCACCATGAAGATTGACGAGCCAAAGACGCCCTACGCCAAGCAATACGACCCCGCCGAGGACGAAGAGGAAGTCGAGATGCTCAATGCCCAAGAGCTCAAGGTTGACGAGCTCGACAAGGCGAAGCGCAAGCCAAAGATTGACGATATCCCAGAGTTTGACCTAGGCCAGCCCGAGCTACAGGCCCGCCACTCACACACGCCCGATAGCGAGAAGCGAGTCATTGTTGGCGAGGGCATGGACACGGACGAAGGCTACCACGGCGAACTACTCCCCAATGCGACACAGGAGGAGAAGGAGAAGCACCGCAAGTTCGAGGAGCTGCGCAAAAAGCATTACGAGATGAAAAATGTCAAGGACCTGCTAGGGTAAGTCTTGCTCTTCACCGCCCCCCAGTACGAGTCGCCGCTAACGGGCAGCTAGCCACCCGGAAGATGCAGATGAAGACGAAGAGATGCCCTCGCGACCCAATGGTCTATGAAGGGTTGATTACGTTGTATAATCTTTAATTTTTGCGGCATCATGATGGAGTTAACAGGATTTACCTTGCCAAAGGATGGCGCTGGAGGGCCTTGGGCGATATTAATTTTCATAGCTGATCGGCTTAGCATGTGTGACGAATATGACGATTGGACTCTTTTTGCTTCATAACTGCCGAGTGTTTAATTGTGCAAAGTCGCGTCGTTGTATATATGTTTGTACGTAATTACCATGATTCAATAACCCCAAACGTGCGTCCCATCCTATCACAAGAGCGAAGAAAGAAAAGAGACAAGAGAAGGACTCCTCACTTGAACTCCTGATCAACAGCCTCAAAATTCTCCAAGAAGCTCTGGAAAGTAAACACACCTAACCCGGGATCCAAACTACCCGTCGTAGCGCGGATACTATGCATGCTCAACTGCGGGATTCCGCAGTCAATAGCCCGAATGCCCGTCGCGGCACTGAGCATCGGACCCACCGTACCTCCACTCCGACTATCATTCCTAATCTGGAACACCTGGAGCTTCGGGTCCGTCTTGCGGATGCCGACATCGCGATCGACACAGCGCTGCAGGATAGCCGTGGAGACGGCATCAGTCGTCATGTGGGCATTCGAGTCCGCAGAGACAGCAGGGCCGACGTTCAAGCGGGGAGAGTGGTTCTCGAGGTAGGCGTTTAGGAAGTTGGGGTTCACGGCGTGAATGACGTCGCTCGAGACGAGGAAGGAGCTTGCGTAGGTGCGGCTGAGTGCGCAGCTTGTTTTGCCGTCGGCTGCGAATTCCTCGGCTATGCGCTGCATGATGCTTGGGAGGAAGTTGCCGTGGGCGCCCTGGCGGAGGAGGGAGCCAACTTCTTCGTCGTCGAAGAGGGCGACCATGCGGATTTGCGAGGAGGTTGAGAGGGTGGGCGCCGAGTTGAGGAGGGCTTGGACGGCTGCCCAGGAGCAAAGCTTATCGTCGATGCGACCGGCGAAGATGAATTCTTTGTCGAGGCCTCCGGTTCGGGCGGGTTGGGTGTCGAAGAGTTCAAGTTCCCAGTTCACAATGCTCGAGTCTGTTGGTGGTTAGTTGTGCGGAATTCAGAGATGGAGCATATAGTAACGTACAGTCGGTGACGCCAAGCTCTCTGGAGATAGCCTTGACGAGCCTCTCAGGCTGAGTGGAAGCAAAAGCACCCTCTCCACCAAGAAGGCTGGCCTTGAACTCTGCCTCGTTTTCACTCGAAGGTCCCAGATCACTGTTGTCGAGACCGATAATCGGGACCATCTGAGTCTCCTTGTTGAACGGGCCGTTGGCAGCAGCGCCAAAATGTGGTGCCAAAGTCGGAATCTTCGCAATAGGCCAGTCCAGCTTGACAAGCTTTGTCACAACCTTGCCGTTCTCCTTGACGAGCACTCTGCCGCCAATACCAAGATCGCGGTCCCACCAGGTATCACTGAGTGCACCAGCATATGGCGCTACACCAAGCTGCACATAGCCAGCCTTGGTGCGCAGCTTAGGGATGGGCTTGAGCTTCGCAGTCAGAGCATCAATGTGCCCTGCAACAATTGCTGCGCCATTTCCGGACGCGTATTTATCACCGACGGCAAAAGCAATCAACGAGGTACCATTGCGCTCGACGTAGTATTTGCCTCCAGCCTTCAACTCCCATGCGTTCCGCTCAGACAGCTTCTTGTAGCCATCCTTCTCGAGGTCCTTTGCGACGGCATCGACGGCGTGGAAGATGGTAGGGTTGTTGGTCATGTAGTCGGTGAAAGGCTTCGTGTAGCTTGCCGCGTCCTCTTTGGTACGCGAAGGGACCGGGATCCAGCAGTGGGAAGGTATAGTCTGAGGAGCCTCCATTTCTTTCTCAGGCTGCTCACTGGGTACTTCGGGAATCTTGGGTGGTACAGGTGGAGGATTCTGCTGCCTTGCTGGGGGCGGGTAGTCGTCGTCGTAAGCACGAATCAAGTCGGGATATGATGCTGCTACACTATGGCGGTTACTTAGATCAGAAGCACCTTCTCGGGTCTTCCACACTCTTGCTAAGTTTCCCCTGTCTGGACGCTGCATGTATGGCAGAGACGCGGTGGTATGCGCGCGTTGAAGTATTA